AAATGTCTGCATAAGTACCGATTAATTAAAATTAATGCAATAGATAAGGATCCGGATCATTACATCGAAATAAAGAGTGAAAATATTTCTTCCCGCTAAATTATATTCTATCGCAATTAATTATGATAGCCTCTTATATTATCCATACTCTCGGCTACGTATCGCCGAAGAAATTTTCGAGAGAAAAAAAAATATACATATAAATAATACGCCTTTGCCTGTAACTGTTAATCGCGGTATAAGGACATACCGAGATGTCCAATTAACATTGCAACACTTACTCTTTCGTTCAATCTCACAGTGACATACTTGTATAAAATTGAAAACTTACACATGCATTATCATTTCTCTAAACGATACCAGGATTAAACGAACAGTGCCCGGTGTAAATCAATATATTAGATTTGCGGATAATCGTTAAGTCAGGATAGAAATTTTCTTCTCTCGATCTGAGGAAAGGCCGAAGAACGCACAGCGTTCCTTAATTACTCCTAGAGTTAAGACAATCGATTGAAAAATTGTTCGAGTCTGGTGGTGTCGATTAAAGATCCCCTCTTTAATATCACGATTATGCGGTTACAAATCCTTGTAAGCAAGTCATCTCGGTCGTCGTAAAAACGCGGAGAAGGCAGTTTTGCAAGTTTTTCATTTCTCTTTTTCCCTTTTCTTTTCTTCTCTCCTCCATCAAAATACGTGGTGCTTATCCTGCATACGTTACTCTCCTCGAAGGCTCACCAGTAAAGTAAAGTAAACGTACTCGGAAAAGATTTTTAATAAACTAAATCGAGTTCCCGACAAAATCCACCCGTAAACATATTTCAAGCAATTCGGTGTATTATAGACGGGAGATAAATTAAATATCACGGGAAAAATAAAAACATCCAAGTACACGTACTCCAGGAACTCTTACAAATAACACCCTGTCGTGAATCGCGGTATCTCAGAAATCTGAAAATGAGAAATACCAACAAAAAAAATTGGCGTCTTCATTTGCATCCGAGAAGACGCAACCGGTACGCGAAGCTGATCCTAAGAAAATGTTTAGGAATTTTTTTTTTCTTTTCAAAATTCAATATCACATCCTTTTATTATTCTAGATAACTGAAAGCGGATGTAAGAGCACGATTACAACGTACAGGATGGGCGCACAATGCACTTGACGTTTCTATGCGATTTGTTTCTTAACACTTTACTTTATATTTAATAGACTGCTCCCGAGTGAAATTGTCCGATCTCTTAAAGAAATATTGCAAAATTACATCCGACCAATTTTTAAACCGCCAGATAGAGTGCTTGCCATGTCATTCTAGAAATGCTTCCAGGTTCTCGTTTTCACGGTTTATTAAATAGTTAGCTTGATGATATTGAAATAAGCAATTGCGAAAATCCTGGGAACATAATTCCCGAAAGGAAATAAAATAAGTGCGTTGTGCAGCCGATAAAGTACCCTATAAACACTTAACGATGTAATATATGTTTGATGTACCACATTAAACCATCACATCACACATTAAAGGTATATTACGTGCGATATGTGTAATATACTCTTTATGTGCAACATTACATGTACATTAAACGTGTGTTACACCTTATCAAGCAAAACTGTACTATCTTGGCATGACTTTCAATCGCTTTTCCGGGTGAAATTATCATGATCATAAGACACACAGTTTAGATTTCCTTAAAATTTAACTAATAAAAAGCTATTCCTTTTAAACACCATCGATATTATCCACTTTACTTCGGCGTAATACCGCAAACCCTTCTACAAAGAAAAAGAAATCCCCATTCTAATTTCCCACCCTGAATGCTGAAAGTTTACAAAAGCATCAGAGCCCATAAAAGGACAAGAAAAACTCACGAACAAACCATTTAAATAACTTAAACGAAGCCAGCATAAATTAGACATCCTACACAGTGACAAGAAAATTGAATTAAGATTCAATTTAAAGAAACGAATCTCGACCGAGGGAAAGTTTAACATTTCATCGGATAAATTTCAAAAACTTAAACGAAGCCAGAATACATTATACATCGTACACAATGTGACAAGAAAATGAAATTAAGATTCAATTTAAAGGAACGAAACTCGACCGAGGGAAAATTTAACATTTCATCGGATAAATTTCCAGACAATTCGGGGCCACATTAACACATTTGCGACCGGCAAATTTTGTTCCCTTTCAAATACCGAGTACCGGGGAAAATAATGAAATTCTGAAACTGGTTGCCACAAACTTGTACCGTGTATCGTGATGGACGTGATTCACGTCAGCGGGAATCAGGGATATAATTTAAAATGACGTTAATTCACGTCAGCGGCAAACCAGGAATAGAACATGAAAAGACGTGAATTCACGTCAGCGGTCACGAATGTGTTAACACTATTTCTACCACGATTTTGTGTATACCCATTTCGACCAAAAGGTTTCGATGAGCTGGAGGAAAATGATACCGCTAAATAAATTTAACAATTATTACACGAAAACTCAAAACATTAATTGAGAAAGAATTATTAAACTTTGAAAATAATTTCAAGTTAAAATTTTAAAAGGTGTCTTTTGACACCTTTGGTAGAAATAGTGTTAAGGGAAACAATTATAAGGGTGTAAATAAATCCCACCACGTGGCCCATAAAAAACCGTATCCGCGTTAGGATGCTCGATCGGTGTCGCGAAAAAGGGCTCATCTTCCTCATTAATTGAGAAAATCTAGGAGGTGACATTTAAAAAACTTTGTAAAATAGCCTTTCCGGAAGCACCCTACAGTACGCAGTTTAATCCTACCCCGTCGTGTTGATGCATACGTTACTTAATATTGCTGTACGAGTCGTCCGACTTTACGCTATTACATTTACAGGGCGCTAGAAGACAGATTAGCGTTTAAAACAGTGCTAAACATCGTTAGAGTTTCACGTAAGCACGATGGATTATTTCTTAGAAGCTTTATATCACGTACGGTGGCAGCTCGAGTCCACGCGGAAACAAAATCGCTTCCCAAACACCATTGATCCCGAGACCAGACTTTTCACCGACTAGGTATTGCTCGAGTGCCCCGAATATGCACCGAGAGAGAAAAAGAAGAAAAAAAAAATTGTTAGTTGACCGAAAGAAATATGACCCAGAAGCAACAAAGTCCTGCGATGCAACGCGTCGAAAGAAACGTCGGACCGAGTAAAAGAAATCCTTTTAAATCGCCGTCAATATTACTTCCCGACCAAACTAATTGTTTCTCCCAATTATATACGATTCAGGCAACGATATACATTTCTTTCGGTCAACTAATCTGTTTGTTTATTTTTTTTTCCCATTTTTTTCTTTCTCAGCGTGGTACTTTCTCTTCCAGCTCGCGAGAGCTTTGGCCTCTGTGCACGACTTCTGCACCGACTACGACGAAGGTCTAAAAAAACAAGAAAACTCTTATCACTCGACCGAGTAGGTTCGAGCTAGCTTATCTCGATCGAACTTTATGTTAAATCAATTCTAGCAAACGTCTGAAAAATCAGTCTCCTTGATCGATGATTAAAGACCGCTGACAACGCGTTTGCGCGATTCCATTACTGTCGAATGCTAATAAAGGGGGCAGGACGTTAATCACAATTGCGATTGGATTGTCAGATTGCAGTTTCTGATTTTCAACATCCCCTTAACACTTCCTACACCTGTTATTAACATTTTATCGTGATCAAGCCATTCACTTGGTGCATAAATTTCCTATACGAAGTTAGCAACCGCACCTATCTACAATTTTACTCGTCTCGAAATTACAATCTGATTCATTCAATTACCATCGTCATTAAATTGTGCCCTGTGTATCGATCCTAGAATACCAAGAGACGTTTCAAAAGAAGAAATAAACGGGACCTTAAAAAACCTGAATAATTGTTTATCGATCTACGCGTACGATTTTAATGTCTTCCTTCCAATAGGAAATAATATCAATTTCATTTTCATTTCCGCATTTTCCAGGAATTCAAGGGCCTCTACTCGAGTGTAATTAAACCGTCTTCCTAACGTAGCGATGAAAACTGGAGAGTAAAACAAAAGCGGCATAAATAAAAAGCTCGATTTATCGGCAATCAAAGGTCTGCCAACGTCACAAGGATCATCGAATCCTTGAAGGTATTTCTAATTCCTCGTTTTTTATAATAAGCGTGTCAACCATCTTTCCTTGAATCTATGATAACTTACAAGAAAAGTGCCTAAAGGGTGGCCAAAGTAACTTCTGCTTGTCGCGCAACACCCTGTTGTTGTGTGTGTGTTTTTTTTTCTTCTTTTTTCCTTTTTTTAGAACGAGTCAATGAGATGGTGATATGTCAACACCCGTGTCTAAATGCATCGGCAATGATCCTTCGATCAACAATAGGTAGCTTGACGAATTTATTACGAGGATAGGAAATGGCACGCAAAAGATCCTGAATTATATAGGGCCTTCCCGTACAAAAGGGTCGCATTTCATATATCGCATAGCCGGGGTGATAATTAAGAGAAACATGCGCGAACTCAAATACAGCTTTCAATTAGAGCTAGTTTTTTCGCCTCGAGTAAGGATTAATCGCAACTAAGGTCCAGTTAATTATGAAATTCATATTTCGCCTTACACGTGAACGGGCTTAAGGCGGAGTGAAAGCGGCATCTGAGGGATCATTGTTAATGAGACTTTTCTTCGAGCTGGGTATACCGAAATCGTATGAAATTATACCAATCCATTTTCGTATGAAATCGTAAATCGAATGAAATTATACCAATCCATTTTGGTATGAAATCGTAAATCGTATGAGATTATACCAATCCATTTTCGTATGAAATCATAAATCGAATGAAAGTATACCATTTTCGTATGAAATCGTAAATCGTATGAAATTGTACCAATCCAATTTCGTATGAAATCGTAAATCGTATGAAATTATGCCAATCCATTTTCGTATGAAATCGTAAATCGTATGAAATTATCAATCCATTTTCGTATGAAATCGGAAATCGTATGAAATTATACCAATCCATTTCGTATGAAATCGTAAATCGTATGAAATTATGCCAATCCATTTTCGTATGAAATCGTAAATCGTATGAAATTATATCAATCCATTTTCGTATGAAATCGGAAATCGTATGAAATTATACCAATCCATCTTCGTATGAAATCGTAAATCGTATGAAATTATACCAATCCATTTTCGTATGAAATCGGAAATCGTATGAAATTATACCAATCCATTTTGGTATGAAATCGTAAATCGAATGAAAGTATACCAATCCATTTTGAATATGAAATCGTAAATCGTATGAAATTATACCAATCCACTTTCGAACCTCCTCGAGAATACTGGACGAGATAAATGATACACGACAGTAATGTAAGAATTACGCCACCTTGAAATTGGTACTCCACGCTCTAAATTCCACTTTAGCCCCTCTGACAATTGTGAGATAATGCACGATCAGTTTATCTGCCGAAAACGAGCTCATAAATATTCGCGTAAAGCTTTTTCACCTACTGGCGTATGTATACATATTTATGTGCAATAATATAGAATATCGCGCGATAAGCAAATTTCCATTAAAGCTAAACGCAGTTTTTCAATGTAGACATCGAACAATATCAAAAACAATTCCCTAGAAATTAAGTTCCGTCTTGCCCTGTTCGAGCAATCTTCCCATGAAGCGCCTTCTGACATCGCACTTCGCCATTACAGAGAAAATCCCAAGTACTCTGACAAACGGAAAACACTGATACCCCATAGCTTCTCTAGATAAGGCGAACTGAACGGGAAACACCAAGAGCAATTGTGGCAATGCACACAAGACGTTCCAAAACACTATTTCCCTATACTCGAGAAACAATCAGAACGACTTAACGCTAGAACTCCCAACAGGTATGTTTTTTACCTGAGCACGCATTTGCGCTTCTATATCATTCGTTCTTAATGGAGTAAAACGCTGAAATATTGACTTTCGATAGAACTATCCCATCATGACAACATCCCTTGGTAATGTTTCTATACTTTGTATCTTTTTACTCTGAAATATGAATTTCTCCCCTTGGGTACACCTCAAGACCTAAGAAGTGTGATCTCCGGGAGTTCTAGTGTTAAGGTGGCATGAAAGTGCCGTCTAAGAAGTCGCTACCTTATCAAGAGTAGTTTGAAATTTCCCCACGTGAATGCGAGGCCCTTAAGGACGGTCCCGACACTCATGGAATTTCATTTACCTTTTAAACTTCTTCCTAAACACTTTTAAATCCTTTATCAACATGAAACGTCACAAGCGTCGGGGCCTTCCTCAGTTCCTCCACATTCACCTAGTGAAATTACAGACAATGTCGATACACTCAGCTTGAAGAAAACCTTCGCGACCGATCTCTTAGACGGCACTCTTGCATCGCCTTAAGATAATATAAAAGTGGCATCCGAGCGGTCAATCCATCGCAAAACTTCTTTCCAACCTAGGTGTACCGAATCAAACATTAGAACATGAACGTGTAGACTGTAAGGAGTATCCTGACACCCATTAAATTTCATTTTTTTCTCAATAACAAATGTTAAAAGAAATTCAAACGCCACGGAACCTTCCATATAGCCTCCACATTTATAATCTAAAGTTTGAAGCTATTCGGCCCACCCAATGCGGATAAGTTTGACAAAGGAGACCTCTTTACCGCCACTTTCACATCGCCTTAAAGTTACTCGCTTCGAGGGCGGTCAAGCGGCTCGTCGGACTTCATTAGTTTCTACTCAATTACGGGGCTCCGCATACGTGTTACTTGAGCTCGAGCATATTTCTGCTACTAATAAGCGGTTTCAAAGTATTCCGGATTGCTTGGGGAGATGAAGAATCGCGGTGTGCGCATTATCGAGGGCGCAGATAGGTCGCACTTGGCTCTAAGGACGTGCCGGAAGAGTCCCAGCGTCCCGCAATGGTGTGTGCGATGGATCCGCTACGTTCTTTCCGAGTGCTCGTGCTTGCGTAATTAGTTGTGCTCGCTTTCAGGCCACGTAGCTGAATGTAGCACCACCCTAGCAAATGCATCCACTCTCGCCTTCCGACTCGGCGCCGTTCTGCATAGGAGACTGATTCTGCAGGTCGACAGCTGCTTTTCTTTGTTAAGGTCAACATTGTTCTGCGGGACGTGACATTTTCTTCTCGTCCGAATCGATCACGACGTACATGTCGATCATGTTAATAAATGTTGGTCATTAACGAGATAGAAGTCCTCGTTAGTTCCTGTGGTAGTTACATGGACAATTGATCCAAGGCGTCGTCCGTTGTTACGGAACGATCTAGAAATGATCCACACAGGACTCACTTGGCTCATTTTTTTGTCCCTACCCTGTACGCCCAGTTTCATTGCGATTCAGAAAGCTTCCATCAAACGCATATAGCAATCATTAACTGTATTTCAATTAAACTGATAATGTGTATAAGTATGTATGTAACTCCTGCATGTAAAAAGCGTAAGACATGTACATCTTGATAGTAACCTTGAGATTACCTCGATTACAGGATCGCGTTTTACAGAATCCTTAAATGGGTGGAATACTTTTTGGGTACATCTCAGTGCTTTTATAAAAACTATATATAAACAATGAAATAGGGATTAGACTTTTTATAATGTCGTATATTAAGTTCTCAGTGGGCCTATTGGAATACTTGCAGGATTTTACTGATTTCTCAATTTAAAGGACATATCGATGTTATGTATGTATATGTTCCTCCCGGATGAACATATTAAGTAAATTAATGAATAATAAATATCTTATAAAGAAGTACACGGAACGAAACAGTTCTTGAAGAGACTAGGTACAACTTGAACAGTTCTTAAAGAAATTAGATATGGTGTACATCGAGCACAGATTTTTAGATCTATCTATTTAATATATTTCTTGCTTCCGGGGCTTAAATGTAAGGAAAGAAACTGAGCTTCGCTCTAACGTGGTGACAATGGACAGCTCATCAGATTGAAAGATGCCACAAAGATTAACCACGTATTCCGGTATCGCAGGGAGTTGTCTTCAGGGTTTTTTTCTTCTTTTTTTTTCTTTTTCAAAGTTTGCACCTTGCAGTCTACGGTAAAATTTCTACAGGCAATAGACGGTATTCGTCTCCTATTCTAAATTGCAATAAAAAAAATGTAAGTCGCGAGAGAAAAGGTTAAGACCGTGTATGACAATGGTTAGGACTACGATCAAGGTATCGCCAATTTCGTTTTAAGGCGCGTTCTAAATATCAATGTGAGGTAATCCCATTCGTAGAAAAGTCAGATGAGTTGCTTCGCTACAAATATAGTATTCACATACGTCGACTGATTTAAGCAGATAAGCTTACAAATTACAGAAATTCTGGTGGTAAAAAGAGGACGGAATGCACCCCAACAAGTCCAAGGTGAGGTTTTTTATAGGCATGGAACACCTTAAAATATTACAGTGGCGAACGTGCATTGGTCTAGCAATACCTTACTCATGAAATAGTATAAGGAGCCATATCGCCAACACGGTTCCACAGAAAGTGACCCCAAAATAGGGACACAGGATTTCAGATTTTCGCTGAGCTAACGATGCCAGCGCTATATGCGGAAAATGAGGGAACTCCAATCCCACGTGCCCAAAACAATTCCTACCGCTGTAAATGACCTAAAATACTTTTACTTTTACAATTAAGGTACGGAAAGAGAAATGATAATCCGCGGATGATACACAGAATGTGATGTTTTTAACGTGATAAATGACTAACTGACCCGCCAGCAGACGGTAATTTTTAGTTACAAAAATTTCCTCGAGGAGGAGCTCTCAGCACTAGATCGAAAAGAAATTCTGAAGATCTTGGACCCCTAAAATGGGGACGATTTCAATAAATGGCGTTGTATCTCCTTATACTAATTCGTGATATTATTCCTCTCAAAAGTAGGCTGTGGCCTAGCGACCAAATTAAAATAGGCAATAGTCACCTAGGTCAACGTACAAGTATTACGATCCTCATGCGGCGCAATTGCAATTAATACTAAAACAAATCAATGCGATAATGTACAAAGGATTTGAATAGTTTTCTTTATATAAATTAAAATAATACAATAATAGGAAGTAAATAGAAATGATATTAATATAATTAACTACATTAAGGTTGATTGTTTATCCATTTTCCCAAATTCAAGGTAATATTTACAATTCTTGTCTCGTGTGTGTACCTATTAAGTCCACTTAAATGCACAGACTCTTTCAGTGCAAGACTCGCGAGATAATGAGCGAAATAATTATCAGAAACGCGATTCGAGTAGAACTACATGGCCGAAGTTATTCCTCGCGTGAGAAATTATAATTTACACATTTAAAATGGTGATAGAAAAATAGAATGTATAGAGAATGAAGCGGCGTTACAATCTACGCATGGATTGCGGTATGTTCGACATTACTTAATCGCGGTGATAACATCATCTCTCTTGCTTTTGACATAAAACATCCATGGCATCCCCGAAGTGCCTTTTCAATTTTCTAGAAGAAAAAAAAAACAAAGTCTTTTTGCAGTCTGTTGAGTGAGCGGCGTGACCTTATTGCTACCTACAGTTTTTCGAGCAAAATTTGAAGGTGCATTTATACATATCCCTAGATATCAAGACACATACCTTCAAAATCTTGCCGAAACGTCAATACGACTGCATTTACGCAACAATTAGTTTTACTATTAAAAATGCACCCTGTGAATGATGTTGTACTTATTAAAAAAAAAACGAAACTACAAACGTGAACAGAATTGTTACGTCATCGACTGCATTCCCTGAATTGACCATACATCACTGATCGTGTTTACAAACGTGAGCAAATAATCTAAATGTGTACATTCAAGTTTCTAACTTCCCTATTGTATAACCAAGACTTGAATTTCGCTCTAAAGCATACCTTTAAACCGAGACATTTTGATTTACCGGACAATCGTATTGCCAGGCGAAGTTAATACTCTTTCAGTAGGTGGCACGTTTAATATACGCGGCCACAAATATCTGGAAAACTAAAGTTCGTTAACACAATTATTGCCTGTCCTGATTAAATTCCTATACAATGGCTATTGAATAAACGCAGTCGCTTTCAGCTGAAGACTAAGCCGACTTTTGGCTGGACCATTTACCGACCATGATCGCTGTGAAATCGATTAACTTTATGCCTTCCGTGATACTTGAATTATGCCACGAGCAATAAAAACAGGGCCAAAAGTCATTGAGATCTTAATGTCCTCGGCATAGGTTTTGATTTATAATTTAAATTTCTTTAGTTTATTTCAGTGTCGTGTCTATCGACGTTGCCTTAGCATGCGCAACTGCTCTCCGACGCTTTCAGTTCGATTGGAGTGTCCTTCAGAACTACCTCTTGCACTACAGGTTGAAAACACATTAAGGAAAACACAAAAAAGGATAAAACAAAGGAACGAAATATTAATAAGGTAGAAAGAATCAGCTGGAAAAAAAAAACAAACAAACAAACAATGAAAATTAGACTTTCGATTGCACCGTTCGGATTCAGACCGATAAGAAGATAAAGACGTTATATATTTACAAGTTGACTCTACGTCAGTTATTGCTCGGCAACAATCAATGTTAAACAATTGTTAGTCATCATGACCGAAGCAAGCAAATAATTACCGGACGGTTTACTTGCAAATTGGCAACAAATATAATATTTCTTTACTAAAGAGATGACTCCGAGAGCTTGATAAATTAAAACTCGTGAACATGACGCAATAAGCAGAAAAAAAAAATGTGATAACACAGAAAATATAAATCATTCATATGTAGAGAATTGAAGACCTCACGGGAAGAACTATGTGTATTAGTGACACGGTTATTTTCTTAATGTTTATATATATAAAAGAAAAAACCGCGTCATCTTAATTTTCCACGTTGATGCTTAATGTACGCGTAACTTCAACGATCGATTAAGTGACAAATGCGTACCGTGTTGCAAGTGAAAATAGCATGCGAACGGTCATGTTAATAAGTCGTTTCTTGAAAAGGATACTGTCTTCTGGAGGCTTATTCTCGGTGGAGTCCATACCAGGTAAAGCTGCCGCCACTCTTCGGAACAGCTATAAAATGAAAAGTGTACATGCCAGTACTCTCAGCTTTCAATTTCAGACTAGAGTAGGCAAAATGAAAATGTCGAGCTGGTACGTTGCCCCTGTGATTACATGCAGTCCTAAGTTTTATAACGTCAGCACTTTCAATTTCTGCCGAGTAACGAAAACTCGGCAGAGATTGAAAAACAACAGAGGCATTAATGTTCCCTCCCAAAGTTGCTTCCCTAGTAATTCATAAATACGTCAAAGTACCTGTTTAACATTATACCCAGCCTTAGCACTGGTCTCGATGAACATCACATTTAGCTCCTTAGCCTTTCGCTCCCCTTCTTCAGTGGAAACTTGTCGCTTATCGCTCAAGTCCGTCTTATTTCCGACGAGCATGATAATGACGTCGCTTCCTCTCTCCGTTCGAACGTCGTCGATCCACTTTGACGTTTGATGAAAGGAATTCGCATCTAAGAAGATCCAAATTCATCATCATCCTCAAATATTGTAATTGAATATTTTAATAATCATGTCGTCAAGTAACACGACTTCATGTACACAACCTCGATACACTGAGTGAAAAGTTACTTCGATAAAGTTCTTCTATCGAATAGAAATTTACTGACAACTATCAGCGAATAAGATCAAATGAAAATGAAAGAAATTAAGAACAACCCTTAATTTTCTCCAATTTTCACAAAGTCAGTTTGACTCATTATCGTTACACTTTCCGGGCACACCCCTGTTAAACATGAAAGTTGGTTCACATCGAAGGACGAAAGACTTTGAAAGAATTAATAATATGCTTGTAGCAAACTAGAATTTAATAGAATTATCAGTATCTAATCTTTCTTCTCAGGTGTCCGACCAGACGTGTAAAAATTCTTAAAAGGGTGTACAATAGCTGGCGCTAACTTCATTTATAACTAAAAATTCTGCTCCTTGACTGTGAAAATAAAATGTTCTGGACAGAATTTGAAATTAATTTAACTTACTGGTAATGTCATACACTACTACTGCTACGGTGGAGTCTCTGATGTAGCTAGGGATCAACGAACGGAACCGTTCCTGCCCCGCAGTGTCCCAAAGCTGCAATCTCACAGTTCGGTCTTCAAGGTACATAGTCTTGCTCAAAAAGTCTATACCTATCGTTGCCTGTCACACACAAAAATGATGAATAAATAAAATGCAACACTAACAAATAATACATGTAGCAAAGGAGTTTGAAACTGTGTATTTATCATGTGCACTTGAGATTATCCTAATTTACATTTTTCGATAATAATACAAGGAATTGTCTCCGGCATCGATATATAAAAATTAATCCATTACCAAACAATTGTATAATATAACGCAAAGGTATTCCACATAAGTCGTAATCCCACATTGTCTTCGTAGATTAATCGAACTTAATTTTCTCAGACAACAAATTTTTCAGAGCCATGTGTAAAAGTTTCAAGATAGTTTTGCATTAACCTTGAGAAACAATGGAAAACTATGTCATAGTTAAAACGACATGATAAAAAGTCAGTTTCAATACCCCTCAGGTGACGAGTTTACAACTCGCAGCACGTCATAAGTTATCATTGCAGCAAAGACCACGTTCCCGTATCTATGTAATACATGTCATCGCAAAAAGAAATACAAGATAGAATCTAAACATATGTATGACCTATTGAAGTGTCTTTAATATATGCAACTTTTCAAATGCACTGACACATCTATTTACAAGAACCACGATATAATAAACGATATTAAATGCATAAGACAATTAAAAAAAAAAATACCCAAGTGCATTTATGAAATACATTGAAATTATAACTCCTGTTAATAATTTAATATCATACATAGGACTAAATTCCTGGAACAAAATGTACCAATAAATATGCTTCTAATTTGTACTGGCATATATTCCATATAATTGATGTTATATAAGGAAAATGTAATGCTTACCTGATACGTATTGTCAAAGCTGTCATACATAAACCGCGTTATGAGAGATGTCTTTCCAACTGTAACAGAGAAATCAACATTAATATGTAATTAAGAAGAGAGTTAATGTTTTTCACGGCTCATCGTGTTTATTTAATAAGTCATTTTCAAAAATACTGTTGTCACAATGCGGTATATTTGTACGTTATCTGTAGAAGTAGGCCAATTAACCAAATAAAAGAATCGTAACAATTTGAGTAAAAAATAGTTGTCTTATTAACAAACGTAATAAAACAATTATTGTCAAAACCTGCAGAACAAGTTTATAAGAGTGCAGAAATTCATTGCAAATTGATATTAATTCTGACCTTAACACCATGTAATATTAATTTAAATTGTTTTTAATATAATATTCAATATTATATTTCTCTAACAATATATATTTACTAAGTAATAAGGTTGACTATATAAGACATCTAAGCGACAAGGATTAGTAATTCGAAAGTATGATCTCATACGACACAGCCTATACTACAAATGTAGGCGGAAGACACGTTTCAGAATCTTCACTAAATAAGAAGCTGAGAACCGTAACGTACGAAATTGATTGCGAAATTCAGAAAACAAGTTTATACATATCTTTACATAAGACTATGGACAAAACATATAGACAAAAAGTTTATTTTCTGCACATTATCACCTCAGTTATCCAAAATTCTGATCTCGGCAGCAAAATTATCATGGCAATATCATGTATTTAGCAAAGTTTTTGTACTTCAGGGGTGTGTGTCGAAGATAAAATAATCGACTATTACGTCAGATTTCAGAGAAATCATTGCATCTTGCATTAGTAATCTTAATTGCATGGGTAATACAGTTACTGGGTAATCCATGTACATTATTGCACAGATATATGCGCATCATGTGCATATTCTGCGAGCACACAATGCTAAGTGAGATGTGAAGAACAAGCCAACCCGTTTTTATGTTCATTGTAACTGCAATTGTAACATATTCCCATCCCAAGATACGGCAGATATTATCCAACGGGAATAATTAACCATCGTGCCTTTCTCATTTTTCACATCGTTTATTGCCATTAGGCTCAAACGAACCCATGGTAATAAACTACAAAGACAATAGTACATTGGCAATTTTGTTTGTACAATTAATATTAAGGTAATTAACAGCCTAGCAAGGAAGTATAAATCAGTATAAAAGAAAATCAATTAGGGTCTAAATGAACTCAAAAAAGACACAAGGGTTAACGACTTTAACGTTCTCAGAAGGTACAGCCTGCAATCCAACCGTAGGCAAACCCATTTAAGAAAGCATTCTTCCTAAAATATGGGGACCTAGTCTAGAAATAAGCGAATGCAGACTGAAAGTCAATGACCTAACTGTAACGAACTGATCAAAGGACGTAAAAAAGCGAAAAGCATCGGGTTAAAGCAACAAGCGCGCTTCGCCGATACAGAGAGTTGCGAAAAATCCGCGAGGCTGGCACCCTCTGGCAATATCGATTTATAACCTAGAACGGTCTTTAAAATTGATGCTCGCCAGCCTGTGGAGGGCAGGCTGACGATTCGTCGGGCCTTTCTCTGGGGTTAACTATCGGAGATCGAGGGCAAACGTTGGCCGGAGAGCAGGGAAAATATGCGCGAAAGCGCTTACCGCTCTGCTCCCCAAGAAAGACGAGCTTGAATTTCCGCAGTGGATTTCCGAAATCACCCGAAGACGACATCCTCGTATCGCGCCGAACACGCCGTAAGACTCGCAGCTACCGAGGCCCACTCGAAGACGACTCAACTGACGGGAGAAATCATTAAAGTCAACGGTACTCGTCGGAGAGCTGTGCGACTTGACAGCTCCCACAGCCACTCCTTCCTTCCCCTCGAGCGCGGCAGCCACGTTTGACTAGGAAGTGACGTCATTGGTCGGTTCTCATTAGGGAGGCCTCGCCGCCATCTTGAAATCTACTAGATCGACGCAGAGCAGGGACGAAGAGTGGCGAGAGTGCCTCGTTTCCGCATCTATAAGAGTCTCTCCATCTGGCGGCAGTGTCCGAAACTGTGCAGGATTTAGCATGGACACGCTGCTTCATATAAAACAGGTTCAGACCACTGAAATATATAGTAAACTGGAACGCTCACCAGCGGGTTCGACTCGACTGTCCTTGACGTCATCCCCACTACTAGGTGTATGTATGTACACTCCTATTACACATTTTTTTCTTCATAGAGAACTATCCTTAGATAATTAATTATGGAGTACAATAATTCAAGGTAAATAATGCGAAACGTCCTGCATGATTTTACTATACAGAAATATGACATTCTGTCAAACTATTGTCCTACCGATAAGGTTTGCCCTATCACTTCCTTGCATTCCACTGAACTTTCCTTTCGAACTGTACAAGTGATGCGCACGCATCGCTTAAACAAGGGCAGGTATATTTTCTCTGAAGATGAAATAATGATGGAGAACCCATCGCGTATCTTTGTCGCACTAATACTTCCTGAACTCTGTGTGACAAGGATGCAGAGACAGCCAAATTTCTTGGTAGATGAGATTCTACGAAGTGTGGGGATGTTTAGTATTTCGTCCCATTCAACGCTCACGAGGGGGCGCTGAAGAACGTACACGCAAAAATACATCACAGTCTGATGGGGCCTTTCGCTTTATCTAATATTCTTTGTTTAAGAGACGATGGAAACGTAACGTGATGCGATACATATATTCATGTTGAAATTTATATTTCTGCATCTGGGTTGTGTGCAGTGATTACAATTATTTTTACTAGATTTTTTTTTCTCAGCAGAAAATGAATGTTTGGACATATACGTTCCTATTATTGATGGCATTCAACGTCGGAGGTGAAGAATTCTGTCACCTTCGTGATAACGAGCCTTGTACTGGAAATAATGCAAATAAATACGTAACACAAGTAGATAGTGGAGGTACTTTTATTTCAATGTAATAATTCGCTCATGCTTTTTAATGTATATTGCGCGAAACTCTACTAAGTTTCTTGATCGTATACCATTTAAAGTAGGAATTTATTCTACTTGTTAATCTGTTTTAATTGTTGTGTACATATATATATATATATCACATGGCATGGAAGCGTTGTACTTTTTCAAATAAAAGTATTAATAATCAAACTTGTTTCACCTTGTTTAGAAATAAATGAGAGGTACGATAGGTACTTTAAAGCAATAGACGATGCACAGAAAAATTTTGTGGAGGTCAATTGTACAAAGAATCGTTGTTTCAAAGATATCATTACTAAGGACTTAAAACCCTTCAAGTTAAGAGGAATTAATAAAAAATTAATCGATGTTGCAAAAAGCAGGTACAAGTAATTTTTAATCAAGTATATTGAATATGTATATTGTATATAAAATAAAAATCTTTTCTTATCGTTCTTTTATAAAATACATGATTTAATGTAATTTTTAGGGGTACATTTTACCAAATAATAGATGGCCAATTATATCGCGAAAAAGATTGTATGTTCCCATCAAGATGTAGCGGTATTGAACATTTTATTTTCGAAATAATAAATAAGTTGCCTGACATGGATTTAGTCATAAACACGAGAGATTATCCTCAAACGAATCAACATTTTGGAGAACCTTTACCAATTTTTTCTTTTAGCAAGGTAAATTGCATCCGTAGGCCAATATTAATATCTCTTGTTAGTAAAGATTAAGTATAATACTAATCGAAAGTCAAATATGAATTATTAAAAGTTTTAAGTGTTTTTTTAGAAAATTTGCTGTACTTTTCCAATTATTCATTTTGTACTCAGTTTAACGTTAAGCAAACTATACAAATCAAAATTCAGAATGTTTATTAATGTAATACCTATAAGGTACATAATTTGCTTTTAGACTTCACAGTATTTCGACATAATGTATCCTACATGGTCATTTTGGGAAGGAGGACCTGCAATAGCTTTGTACCCCAGAGGACTCGGAAGATGGGACCTGCATAGGAAGTCTCTAAACGCAGCCAGTGAAAATCTACCTTGGCCGCAGAAAAAGGCGAAAGCATTTTTCAGAGGATCCAGAACAAGTTCAGAAAGAGATAACTTAATTCTGCTAAGTCGGAAGGAACCAGATCTCGTCGATGCTCAATACACAAAAAATCAGGCCTGGAAATCTGACAATGTACGGTTTTCAAAAGATTCTTCAAGATGGTACATCCATCTTACGATAACATTACATCTCATTATGAAGCAATATTTTTATTTTTATTCCTTTGCAATAATTCAAACAATTTAACTATTACTTTTCTTTTATATTTCAGGACACGCTACATGTACCTCCAGCTCTAGAAGCTCCACTAGAATCTCATTGTGAATATAAATATTTATTTAATTATCGAGGAGTTGCAGCTTCCTTTCGCCACAAACACTTGTTCTTATGCCGGTCATTAGTTTTCCATGTCGGTGATGAGTGGCTTGAGTTTTACTATACTCTAATGAAGCCATGGATTCACTACATTCCAGTTCCTAAGAATGCCAGTCAGAGTGAATTAAGGTAAACATTCATAATGTTGCAAAATTACTCTTCTCATGTTTACCATATATAATACATATGCAATTTGCTCATTATGATTTGGTATGTAATGGTCATTTGGAATGTAACATTTCAGAGAATTAATTAAGTTTGCAAGAGACAACGATGAAATATCTGAAAAAATTGCGAATAAAGGGAGAGACTTTATATGGCAAAACTTAACAATGTCAAATGTTATTGCATATTGGAGAATATTACTCAAAAGATATAGCAAGCTGTTATTGTACAAACCAGTTTTAGGCAAAAGCCTTATAAGAATATACAAGAAATGAAAAAACAGAAGTACCTCAACCTAGATTATACTATTTCTATAAAATCTGTATATTTTTTACTTTTTTTTACAATAAAAAGTAATTGAAATGGCTTTGATGATATGAATGCAAGTCAAGGAGGAGCAAGAAAAATTCACGGGTTCACAAAATAATTTTAGGAATGTATCAAGTTGGGATTATATATAACAGTGTTCTTAACTGAGAAGTATAAGAATGAGTAAACTACATGTTATTTATAAGAAAAACCATATTAAAGGCATAGACCGTTTTCTTAATATATGTTAATATATGTATATATATTCTTTACCAAATATTTGAAGTTGGACTTCAGTGCAATAGTTTTAAAATCATTTTGTTAATTTTAATGTTCTGAAAAAATGTTATGACAAAATAATAGTGTGTAAATACAGTCCCTTACCAACAGATATTTATATATAACTACTGATAAGAATTTGTTCGACTTCAATTACTTGATGCAGATTTAACATAATAAAAGAACTAGGTTGAATAGTTAGAATCATCATTTTAATATAAATCAGATATTAAGTGCTAAGTAAATGAAAATAAATAAATGTAAATGTAAATACAATAGAAAAAATATAAACTGTATGTATTACTGTTTAGTTTCTGTATTTATGATGTATTTCTCTCGGAGATAAATTTTCAATGCATCTAAATTCTAATATTCTTATCCCAACTAAAAATGGTAAATGAAATATTTGCTTTGCTGTATAGAAAAGTATATTGTTGCATATTCTATGTAATTATAGAGAACAAATTATACATTAGAACGTTCATTATAATTGGAAAAGTTATTAAATTGCTGGGGAACCATTCAGTATACAAAAAAATTGAAACGTAATAACTATTTAGCTTTAATGCACGCTCACAAGGGTGAGCTTCATAAAGCAGTAATTAAAATCAATTCCGAGGAGCATTTTTGTAAGTTGTAAATGATTTATTATATTTAAATAAGATTGAATTATGATTACACTTTTTTTTACAAATTTACTTTATACAGATAAAATTGAAGTGATACTAAAATTATAAACAGACACCTAATACTTTATAATCATAGATCAATTATCACACTCCACTTTTTCAGTGAATGCGATGAGTAAGTAGTGGGTATAATTATTAGCCCCAAATATCTTCTGATCGACCAAATTTAAATGTCAATGATCCTAAGAATATAAATACATTTTGCAGAAAGAGACCAACCCCAGGCCAATGATGTGGAACGTCTAAACAAAGAAAATGTATTCAATCTTGTAAGAACCTCATGCCAATGCTAAATTTCATGATATCCGACTATACAAACCTGTCGTAACAAAGTTAGCAAATAAAATCCAACAAGCAGCGATTATGGCAGCAAATCCCATTACAAAACCAACAAACAGCCAACCCCGGGCACCTCTTGGCCCTAAACATCCACCATTGTATGCATCCCCTCTGATTTGAGCATTCGTTACCGAATTCACCCTGTGGAAAAAAATGAAAAATGACCGTACCAAGTTAGAAACACCTTTATTACAACATAGTAACTACACTTACATAAACAACGAAATAGTCCCAAAAACTCCACATACATGATATGCACTCGACATCTCGCTAGGGTATTTAGCATGTGCATCAATTATGAACCACCATCCCATAAAAAACTGAAATACAATAGAGTATTATATGCACATACCATATTATCAGACCAGACCAAACAGAACCAATAATTACCATACAGTCTTAAATATGACAAATGCTATAATATTTGACAGTATCGTATGAAAAACTGGCAGATTAATATTGAGAAATTTGTCAATGACAGGAAGAAATACAACTTATAAAGTTAACGCTGAATTAAATAATTACATAGTATTTGTAGATCTTACCAGAGCTCCTGCAAGCATAGAGACTACGGCATTTCTTTTTTCGCTACCTTCAAACCACACACACGACGGAAACTGGATATCTCGTAAACACGAAGTCATTTTTCTTATTGTCTCGAAAGAAAAATTTATCAAAACAGTAACTTCTAACCTAAACGAAGACCGTGTTCGAATTCACTTCAGTCATCGACCAAAGAATATATGGACGGTGCCCAAAGTTTCATCTTAAACCAGTGGGGGAGCTGCGCGTCGGAAAGGGGGGAGGTATCGTTGACAAACTTTTCAGCCTCCTGATTGGTAGGTCACCTGCTTCATATTTCTTATCTACTCTAACTTATTTCTTTTTGCCACTCTTATAATACGTAAAGCATAATTTTTAACTTTCTTTATGTTAAAAATGGCACATTATACATCATTCACCATTTAATTGTTCACCACCAGCACCGTTCTTTACTTGCTACTCTTAAAATGACAACTAATCATTCAAGCATCACAGCAGACAAGACAGCCAATCAGGAAGCTAAGATTTTGGAACAACACTACCGCTACCTTACCATTGTTCCCCCCTTACTTACTCCGGCACTCTACTCTCTTGTTTGGGCTCCGTCCATATATTTTTAGGTCTATGGCTATATATTCATACTACATTCGTCCAACACTGAGATAAGAAAGTGTAACCCAGGTGAAAACACTATAAGTTCTTGCATAAAGTTAGTAGGACTTCGTGACTCAACAAGGGCGCATCCATCTTGTTTTCTAGTCGATTAGACATTAACCTTCGGTTAAGTAATCAATGAGTTAACCAAGGTTGGTGGAACCGGGCATAGGTCCAGTTCCACAACTCGAGTTAATCGCGGTTTAACTGATTTACACATGGTTTAAACTTGCAGTAAATCCGTTAAGCTCCGTTAACTCGAGTTAGCTGCCAGCTTTAGTATTTGAAACGTTTTCATAGGGATTTTAATACGAAGTGTTTGGCTGAAGTGCATGCGGCCACGATGTGAACGCGCATTGAAGTTTACCGAGTGTGTGGCTACGTTCGCCTGTTAATTTTCCGCCATTTATCAATTAGAAAAATTTTAATCGTTCCACGGTTGCTAGTGATAGGAAGAGAAATCGAATTCTCGCGATGCCTTTTATGGACTTTCTTCGTACGAGACGAAATCGTGTCGTTTCGACTTGAATTTCATCAAGTTTTGACCGACGACGACGACGATTGATCGGCCAATCACCGCCTTAGGAACCGTTAGAAATTTCCGTTGTGTGCGCGTTTGAACATCCGAGTCGACTTTTGCCATCTACGTGTGCGAACCACTCCCGTGGTTACTACGGTCTTCGGTTTCCGCGGTTTTTCGTGATTGCTCGAAACACTTTCCCGTAGGGTTCGTGTTCACCTCGGACATTTGTCAAAATTCATCCCCAGTAGGAACTGCGACCGCAACTTTTGAGAAAAAAACTGAAACCGATATTCCACGAATTTGAGTAAATATCGTAAGTACCGCCAAACATTCTAGAAAATCTTTTATGGAAGTCCTACTTTTCCGTCATTTCGCATCTCAAAACCTATTCCCGATGTCTTTCCGTATATTTTAAGTACTAACTAACGATTGCATTAAGGAAATAGAAATGGAAACGTAGGAGATTTCTGGTATTTGTAATGCATGCGGCGTGTTTTGGTTAGTAGCTTATCGCATTGATTCGTATAAAGTAATCCAATTGTGTTACCATTTGGGCAATTATGCTAAAGTTTTCAGAAGTTCCATCTGGATGGGTCGATAATGATTGTACTTATGGTGATTTTACATTTTGAACAGAAACGTAACCATGGCCGTAAATGTATACGCAACCAACGTGACAACGGAAAATCTCAGTCGCCACGATATGCTCGCCTGGGTGAACGATTGTCTTCAGTCAACGTTTACAAAAATTGAAGAGCTGTGCACTGGTGCAGTCTATTGTCAGTTCATGGATATGCTGTTTCCTGGCAGCGTCCCCCTGAAGCGAGTCAAGTTCAGGACCAACTTGGAGCACGAATATATACAGAATTTCAAAATTCTTCAAGGAGGGTTCAAAAAGATGAACGTCGATAAGGTAAATTCAAATTCCAAACTGAAGGTCATTAAAGAAATATCAATTTGGAGCACAAGGGATCGCGGACGATACGTCGAGTTTGACGTACGATTAATCGTAATGAGAGTACTGCGAAAATCGTTCAGGTCATACCAGTGGACAAGCTGATAAAGGGCCGTTTCCAAGACAACTTTGAATTTCTGCAATGGTTCAAGAAGTTTTTCGATGCAAACTACGATGGCCGTGAATACGATGCCTATGAGGCACGTGGCTGTGTTCCTTTGGGTTCTGGCGTGGATGGCACTCATAACTTGTCCAATCCTCAATTGGTACCTCTTCCGCCTCAATCTAAGGCGCCACAGATGCAGCAAAAACATATTCAGCAACGTAGCGTTGTAGCACGGCAACAGCAGGGTACTCCAGTGCACTTTCAAAATCCTAGTATATCTTAATATATCGCTGGTTGCATGAGTTCACTTTAATTGTCATTATATGTTTATTAGTTTGACGTTAGCAATAGTAAACATGATTTTACATGTACCTTTTTAAACTTTACCACGGCCACATAGAGGGAACCACGCTTATGTAAATTTTTCATTTTCTTCGTTCCAGGTAGAGATAGAGTCGCTAGTTACTCAATAACTTATCACTGATCGGTTTCTTTGCTTCGCTTCTAGGATCAAGGCTTAGCAGTGTGGTGATACAGGCACGATTTATACAATGCTTATTCATCATGTATTATAGCATACAAAATATCACAAATTTAAAAAGTTTTTCACTTGAAATATTAGGACCAATGGGTTCAACGAAGAATTAGTTCTCATAGGATATTTAGTTTCACCATCAATACATCAAGTGCTGCATTAATTTTGTGTGACTTTCTATTGAGGTCACATTAGCCTATACTGCATTAAATACATATATCTGTAAAATATAATTTATAATAACTATAAAACTGCACAAATCATTGGGAAAAAGGGTCAATGTTCAATTTGTGCTGAAAACCAAACTATTTACATTTGAATAATATATAACTAAAGGTACATTTGTTTAGTATTAAAATGAAATGATAAAAACCAGAATTGGGGGGCAATAGCCACAAAATATTCTCTCGGGATAATTTGTTTGTTCATTTGCTAGCAAACTTATCAACATCTGTCACGTAACATGAAAAACAGTTATTATTTTCTTTTTTTTTCTTTTCATTTTGACATTTTCTTGTAATTAAAGGAAACAAATCAAAATCTATAATAACATCTTGACAGGGTGTAAACTACATAGCTAACTGTATTTTAAATTTAATTATTCAAATTTAATTATGCCATTTTATACATTTTCCTTGCATCGACGACAGACGTACTTAATGTAAGTTCTGTCACTTGTAATTACATCCACACTTAATAACTAATTATTTCAGTAGAGTGTCCAATTGAGACTAATACCACATTGTTCTTATCTCTTCAATTCAATGACCTTAAATCGATCTCGTGTTTTTTACGAACAATTCCTTATAATTTAATTTTTTTTTTAACCTCTAACACTCGATTCGATGAAACAGCATGATCAAATGTTGTTAGTTATACACGAATTTATAGCGATTAATTATTTTGTTGCATCACCGATTGTATAAAAAAATATCACACGGCATGGATTACCAGTGTCATTTTCCAGGTATATTCTTTAATTTAAAATAACCTGACATTGTAGAAGTGACTTTTTACTTGTTTCCATTCTTACTATGATATACCTGTACAATATCAACATACTTTAAAACGTTGTAATAATTTGACACGATATTGGCATACTTTCATTATCGATTACTCAGCGAATAGAAATTTAACCCTCTATGACGCTACATAATTTCCAAATCGCATACCCATGTATCCACATTTTTCAAAAATTTCTACGTTCTTTTGTAGCGAGGTAGTCTATTTATACGTTACCTAATTTTGATTTACACGAAAAATGATCAGGTTAAAGGAGGGGCGAGGGGGGAGGTGAAAGTGGCATCTGAAGAGTCGATAGTTCATGAAATTTTTCTCCGAACTGAGGGTGCTGAATCGTTTCACACTTTACAACATGATTGTGGAGGCCATAAGAAAGGTCCTGACCCTCATGAAATTTCATTTTTCTTTACATTTAAAAATATCTATGAACCTAGTTTTGAAGAATTGAAATTTCATGAGTTTCAGGACCTTCCGTATACCCTCCATATTTATGTCGATTCGGTAGATCCAGTTTGGAGAAAAGTTTCATGAACGAAGACTCTTTGATGCCACTTTGACATCAGCTTAACAATAGATATAAATGTGAATGTCTAGTGGGATGATAAATGGGTGAAAGTGATAACAGCGTCTAATGGTATAATTTTTATTTGTTCGAGATTATAAACCGCGATGACGAATGATAGCTCGTCTGCCCGTGTGTTTTTTTCGTTGTAATGTCCTTTTCACGTTTTCTTTTGTTGCACCGGCTTGCCGTCGTTTGCAGATCGTGCCGATCGATAGGCTGGTCAAAGGCAGGTTCCAGGACAACTTTGAGTTCTTGCAGTGGTTCAAGAAGTTCTTTGACGCGAACTACGTTCTCGAGCGCGAATACGATGCTCTCGCAATGAGGGGAGGAGAACCAATGGGCAGTGGCGGAAGTAACGCGCCGCGAGGCTCCGGATTGGTCAAACGAAACGCGCCCCGGGAACTCCCGACCGCCAGACCAGCCGCCCGAACCGGTACACCGTTTAATTCTTTATTTAAATGCCTTTACTCTTTCTTTCTCACTTTATCGCAGTTACATTTACTTTCACGCATCATGGAGGTCGACTATTAACGCATTCGCGAACGGCAAATCTTATTCCTTTTAAAACACTGAGTACCAGGGAAAATAATGAAATTCTGAAACTGGTTGCCGGAAACTTGTATCGTGTGTCGTTATGGACGTGATTCACGTCAGCGGCAATCAGGGATAGAATTTAAAATGACGTGAATTAACGTCTGCGGCAACCGGGGATAGAACTTGAAAAGACGTGAATTCACGTCAGCGGTCGCGAATGTGTTAATCCCGGCCGTGCAGTGAAGATTAACCCGGATATTGATGCACTAATCGATTTGGTGAGAAACACCAACTCGTGGTAACAAACCGAGAGTCGGTTTTCTAGAGAGAAGATCTTATATTTCAGACTTTATTATTCAACCTGCCGATCGTTTAGACGTTGCGTTCGTCAGGAGTCGTTTAACAAAAAAAAAGGACAGTGTTTTAGGATCTGCAGTGCGTTGTACGAGGACAAATATTAGAAATATATATGAATCTAAATAAGTTTTGTCAGGTCGTTTTAACAGACAAGGGTAAACGTTAGTTTAGAAAGAAATGTACAGATTTATTACACTACACGACATCTGGAACGCTTCATTTCGCATATAATTCCCAACGTAGAATGCAACTGCCTTGAACATAAATGTTAATGTCGGAAACATGGCGTGCTAGTTTATGTTACCACTTAAGTATCTAAATTGATGTTACCGCCAAAAAAGGTACAGACAAGGGTAAACGTTAGTTTAGAAAGAAATGTACAGATTTATTACACTACACGACATCTGGAACGCTTCATTTCGCATATAATTCCTAACATAGAATGCAACTGCCTTGAACATTAATGTTAATGTCGGAAACATGGCGTGCTAGTTTATGTTACCACTTAAGTATCTAAATTGGCGTTACCGCCAAAAAAGGTATAGATGAATTTCATTTAGTCGGCATCGATGAAATTTCTTAGCGCTTTTAATATCCACCTTAAGATGCTGACGGTACATATTCAAATTTCATGCATTGTTTCAGTAAACAGCAACGTCTACTGTAGCAACTTTTTTGAGGTCTGCAGATCCAATTAAGCTTCTCATTAAATTCTGAACAAGTAGCGCAAAGGTCACCCTCAGAATTTTGCGTCTACGACGTTTCTGAGCCTTTTAATTATTCATGAATTTCATTACGGTCTTTATATGTGGTGCGAGTAGAGAATACAAATGGTATAAAGTATGAATATATTTCCTTGGTTATGAGAAATTCATTGAAATGAACGAATGTTTCATATATCGTACGATGTTCTCTTTCATAAAATCCTGAAGCAAAGAAGACTTGAAATTATTTCCGCGGACTTTCCGGTTGTTGATCGACAAGATGTTAACAAGATAGATATTCGCTATAAGTTTACTAAGAAGTGAATTTGTTTATTAAGTAGTAAATTAAAGGGAAAAAAAAAAGAAATGAAAACTTTCGACTCGTACAACTCATCTAACGTTAAGTGAAACAAACTTTAGGTGAGGGACCTCCGTCTCCTGTACAAGCGCCTTCTACCAAGTCCTTTGGAAAACCTAGTAATTATTATTTCATCATTGTTATTAAATCTGTGCTCGTGTTTTCCTCCCTTTTTCCATAGATTCTATTACAAACGGGAAGTGTAGGACATCCCCGAATTATGGGATGTTCAAGCGCTGCCTATTGTTTATCGACTTTTTCTTTCCGACGTTATGACGCTTGAATTAATAAGTGCATGGTCATTGAACATACCGAAATCTTTATCGCGTAGCACGTTCGAGAATAGTTTGGATGGCTTCTTGCATGTTATATTTAGCTGATTAGTCGTCGATATGAATTGCAGTATTTTACGTTTAAAGAGACTTTTTACCGTTCGGATAAGAAACCACCGTTTCCTATCGCCAGTTAATTCATGCATGTTTTACCTTCAGTCTCCCCTAAGCCATTGTGTCTGATTTTATATTAATCCGTTTAACTACAAGCATCATCTAACTGTTGTTCATCTGTTAATTCAGTGATGTTTTCTTCAGTCAATAAAGTTCAACCTAATCGCGCGGTACCGAAAGGAGGAACAGTCGGGAGCCGTGGCGATACTGGAAAAATCGAGGAGCTTAGTGCGCAGGTACGATTTTATGTAATTCGACGTTATTATAAATAATGTAAGATCGTTGATATGCAAGAGGGCTTAGTGCATGAAAGTTATTTCTCTACCCCACTTGGATATTACTCGTCTTGGTACTTTCTACACGCCTCGAAAATTAAACATTCCGTCCACGCTTTATAAAAGCTACTTTTTGTAACGCCTAGCAGTATTTCATGTATTCTAATCCTTTCATTTTATGACATTTCAGAATATGGAACTGAAGATGACGATTGATGGTTTGGAAAAGGAGAGAGATTTTTACTTTGGAAAGTTACGAGACATTGAAGTAATGTGCCAAGACTGTGAAAACGGAGATCCTCCACCTATTGTACAAAAGATCCTAGAAGTTCTCTACGCAACTGAGGTACCGACTTCTTCACTTAATTACGATCAATATTTACTTCTAAGATAGCGGATTTTTGTACAAATTCTGAAAGTGCTAAGGTATATGTATATCCCTCGTTAAGGTGAAGTGAAACCCGCCCTCAAATCAGTCGATTTTAATAAGATACTTTTGTTTAAGGGTATTTCACCGAACTAGCTGAAATTTTAGCCCATGACTCAGGAGTACCTAAAGAATATCCTGAAACTTTCAAAATTTGGATTTTCGACTAAAATGTATTTACTTCTCCTCGACCAAAACCAAAATGGCGTTTCGCTCTTATATTTCGATCAATATACGATTATTTAAGGCTTTGATATGTATATTTTTTTTTATTTAGCCTCGACCTAAACCAAAATGGCAATTGTATATTGATCGAAGTATTGAAGGCTCGGATCTGAGAAACGCTGGTATCAGAACGATTCCACGACGATTTAGAAGTAATCTAGGCACTCTCACTTAAACGCAATTAAAGCAAAGAAGTGTTGTAAGCTTATCTGCTAAGACGAAGGTAACACGAGATCCGGAGAAATAATTTAGTTTGCACTGAATGCCCAGAGAGCGCAATTTGCAATCAATTAGGGTGTCAAAAATCATGAATCCAGGGGATTTCCAGTTTTATCTCGATTTCTTTATAATCACTGTACAGAAACGACATGTGGAGCATGTCATTCTGTACAATACTTAATGTGATACGACACAACTGTTAATATAAGTACGAACGTCGGTAACGTAGGTATTTATAAGAATCATCTTTACCTACGTCGATTAAATTTCTCGGCGAGTTTCACTTCACCTTAAGCTTTTTCTTTTATGAAAAACGTATCAGCTTTAGGATTACGTTACATTTTTATAATTGCTGGGAACTACTTCCACTTTAAGGTGATATGAATGTGGCATCGAAAGGGTTTCGTTGGTGAAACTTTTCTCCGAAATGAGTGTACCGAATCGTTTAAAACTTTACAACGTAAATATGGAGGCTGTAAGGAAGATCCGGACACCCACGAAATTTCAACTTTTCAACAATTTGTGTATATGGAATTCCATGGTGGTCGGGACCTTCTTTGTAACCTACGGATTTACGTTGTAAAGTTTCATACGACTCGGTACATCCAGTTAGGAGAAAAGTTTCACGAACGATTGACCTCTCGGGCCACTTTCGTATCACCTTAAAGGTTTTGGGATCTTTATTAAATTGTCTGAGTGTCAGCAGACATTAATTCCGTCTTCTAGAACACTCGGGAAACCCGTTACGGTAAGTCGTTCCACTGTAATACTCAAGGGCAAAAAGAGGCTTACCGGTCCAAAGTTTTGAGAATCAAACTTTTAAGAACGCACCGTATTTCTAATGGAATAATATATGCGTATGAAGTTTTTTAGCAGAGTTCTTCCGAATAGTCCACAATTTTTTATGCAGAATGGCATGTTCTAAGTAAACACTGTTAGACACATCTAAAGTATGATCTTGTGGCGCTTTCCATTCCCAGGACGCCAATCAAGAAATTTTGAAGATCGAACTATTCCCCACTACATAGTGACATGATTTGTTAGCGAATAATGCGATAGAAATTATTAAAACCAATTGACCAAAATCATTTATGGTGAAGATTGATTATGGTTTCGGGCTTTTGGTATACCATTTCAATTCATCGTCGACTTTAGTTGACTATATTGTTTCCTTTAGTTTCTCGGTGAAGTAACATAACGCGGGGGCGAGTGTCGTACCGAAGAGGTTAAAAACATAGTTTTTAAACAATATATCGAATTAGTCATTTGTTATGCTGTAACATTTTTTTTATGTAATATACTTTTAATCACGTTGCAAATCTCAAACTTCGTTGGCAGAGTTAACGGCGACAAATTTTATACTCTTGTATCTTAGCAATTTAACTACAGCGAAGTCGGACGTGGAGACTACGAAAAGCTCGAGTACACATATTTAATATGAATACGATAGTCATTCGATATTCTTTGAATACATGGGAATGAAGGGGGCCACTATAGTGGCGTTACAATAATTATATATTGATCGATATATAAGAGCTCGACGCCATTTTGGTTCTGATTCCGGTTTTCTGCATTACCTAAAAATAGTGAATTCACAACAATTAGAGGGGGTAACTAATGTATCATTTGTGAAGATAAACGACGAAATGCTTTGGCCGAAAAGACACATGGGGTGTCCCAGAACTCGTAGTAACCCTGGGCCTGACGGAAGTTGGGAAAGTTTGAAATAAGAAGTTTCTTCACCATCTCTTCCACAAATAGTTATTTACCTGGGTATTAAGGGGACTTTCTACCTTACCGGGCTGAAGAACAGGTGATATACCAGGAATTAATTGTACGTCGATTAGTAGATGGATTATTATCATTTTTGGCAGGTGTATTCATTCAATTTGTATATTTCATCTTTACGTGTATAGTTCTACCTAGGTACATTGGAATTGTGTTTTTCTTAGCGAATATTGATGGGGATTATTAAAAAGAAAAAGAAAAGAAAGGCTTCGTGGTGGTGTACGTTCTGACCCTTTTCCAATTGCTTTTAAACAAGGTATACAACATTTTTTTAATTGATCCTCATCTACCTGCTAAATAATTGTCTCAGGAGGAAATGGTGAAGGATCGTTTAATTTATAACTTCGCTAACTTACATTAGATTCCGGAGGTATTACGGGTTTGAATCAACCTGTATATATTTCATTTGTCTGGGCAAGGGAATGCGTCGTCCTAGACGATGGAAATGATTTAAAAGCAGTTTACAACTGTCATAATTTCAGGATAATCCAAGTGGCACCGAGGACGAAGAACATACCTATTAGCATCTCTTCTCGGTTATCTTTCATTTCCGTACAAGACGATTCTTAAGGTAAAAACACGGGGATGGTAGATGATCACCGTTTGTCATTGGTTCGGCGATAACTGGGTGATCTGGGTATGTTGCAAGTGCAAGAATGGTGTTCCAGTATAACCGGTACCGGATTTTGTATTTAGTTGATCCTATGCGGAGATTTTCTTTTAACTTTCGATTTCTTAGCTTTCTCGAGAAGCGCGTCCCTACCGACTTTCGTTTATTTTTGTACGCTGCACTATTCTTCTGGGATTACCATCGTGAGTCTTAGTATTTTTTTTTTATTGACGGTTAACACGTTGACCGCCACGTGGTCGTCACTTAACGGCAACTTCTTTGCCCTGGTGACCACCGTGACGGTCAAGGTATTAAAATCGAGATAGGTAAAAGAGAAGTATAAAATATATTGATGTTGATGCAGGGTGTATCATAGATACATCTAGTAAAGAAAGAAAATCCGTGAGCATTTTTCTATGGAGATGTTTTCTCTGTCTGTGCTGCGACGTAGTCGATCCTTGAATAATGGGGTTTACGCTAATAGGAGAAAGGTGGTACAATATATGAAAATCATATTTCTTTGGAAAAACTGAGCTTTCATACGCCGTCCTGAATGTTTTCTTTGACGTTCACTAAAAAGGCCCTTCAGAGTCACCGTCTGCTCGAGAACCGTGAAATGTGCAACTTTGCACGAGCTAAATGATCAAACAAACTTTGAAACGGATTTCTAAATCGATTTAGTGCAGCGAGCACTTGTTTGGAAAATGAGATGGTGGTCACGTGTTTACATGGGAGTGATTTTTTTTCTAATAAGTATTTTATTTCTAGTTAGAAGTTCTAACCAATTAGACATTGTCAAACTTTTTTTTTTATATGGAAATGATTGTTTGTCGAAAGTCGTTTCAATTAAAAGATGCGTCTATTAATGACTTTTAAGGGGGGATGGTACTACCTGACAAACTCCGAGTTGACCACGTTGCTACGTAACAAGCAGCGGAAATACTTGTGACGGTAAAGTTTGACCCATTCTGGTTAGAACCAGCGGTTATTTCCAGTCTTTTCTTTTTTTCTTTTTCCAATAAATAAAATAAATTACATAAAACCCACTCGGTTTTACCCAGGGTTTTAACCGGTTAAAACGATCTTATAAAATCTATCAGTATGTATGTAGCGTTGAATTTATTCCAATATCGTATGCACCCTGTACCTACACATGCGCTCCACTCACATTCAAACAAATTAATATAAATTCTAACCTATTTATATGGTTAACCTATTATAGGTTTCAGCCCCTGTTTTTAGGCAATGATCTAGGCGGTAAAAACCATCAAATATGGTTTAAACCGGTTAAAACCATTGGGCTAAGATTTTTGTTAAAAAAGAACCGGTCCACGCAGCTCCAGGTGCTGTTTCTTTTTATTTAATTTTATTTAATTTTATTTTCATTTGATAGTCAATTAAGGGTTAATACCCCTCCGTTACGACAGAAATGTCTTGGTAACGTATGCTCGAAGTTTCTACATCTTCCGCAAGTAGCGCTAACATCGTTAGATCAGTGAAAATCCGAGATCCAAGTACCAGTTAATAATAATTGACGTGAAATTACCGCTGTTATCTGCGGTCAGATATAAAATATAAAACATAAAGAACGTACTTGAGTGTTAAAAGAAAATTCATTGTTCGTCGATAGAACCTTCTAACTATTTGTATCTAACTTGTCCCTAGTCTTTTTGTCAAATTTTGTTAAACCGTCCGAGTACGAACTGTGTATCAATCGTGCCTATTTGTCTCCTTTAGGTCTCATTATTCGAAATTGTTTTACTGTATGTTGCACAGTAGAGATATTTGTTAAAAAAAAAAAGTATGTGTTAAGTAAAGTGATCGTTGACTTATGTTGGAACAAAAAAAAAGAAGTATATTCAAGTCTCACAAAATCTATGCAATATCAAGTATTTATATGTGAGTTTCATGTATCGTGGTCTTAATCTTTTCACTCTATTCAGCTTGATGTATGCGCAATTATATTCGTGTAGACTAAATCAGCAATATCGAAGTATCCGTCTATTTCCAACGCCAGCTTAGTTCACGACCTTAATGTTGATATGATATCAAAAAAAAGCAATTTTCCTTGAAAGCAATTACATGGAAGGAGAAACGTTTCGTTTTTCGTATATCGTCCTCGTCCTTCATATAGTCTAAGACTCGTACCTCACTTGTAAGGTTAAGGGGGGTCTTTTATCCGTTGTTTGTAAACTAGTAAAACGTATTTTTAACGCTAAAATATACGCATAAATAAGAGCCTAACATACACTGACGGCCGTGAATGCCTTCCACGTAAATACGTGGATATGACTTCCTTGTCCATTAGGGTGCAACGGAAAGTATAAAGGTCGATTTACACACAGCCGTCCCAAATTAGGGCTAGCCTCTAAACTAGGAACCTCGAGGCAAAAATTGTTTAGATATGTCGGCGGCGTTTGTTCCGTGAAAATATAGCCGAGGATATCGAAGGATGAGTACTGAATGAAATACTGCGGGATTGGATACTAATTGTTTACGGAACAGATGTGTATAAATCGGCCTTGAGGGGTGTGAGCATGGGTGTTTGGAAAAGTGGTATGATGGCATTAAATATAGTTTACAATGGGTCATGACTAACGCGCAGTTTTCGATTTCTAGGATGGCTTTGCAGCTCCCGAGGAACTCGAGGGCGATGGCCTGGCACCAGATGACGAGGAAGAGTACTAACCCTTCTACTTGGTCCCCGATTAAAACATCGCCAAGGAACATCCGTAAACCACACAGCACAATTGTGTCGAGTGCATTTCCGTTTGCTATTGCCCGTGATCCAATAGCAGCACTCTCCTTGCATACTTAGTTCGCCACTTCCGTATAGCTGTATGAACGTATACATATATACACACATTCGTTTTTCGCGTAGGCCTCTCGTTCTACATATGGTCAGAAACGTTATCAATGTTAACGTCGGAGAATGTTACGGGTAATTCGGTTTGCGAGAGATAGCCATATTCTTTCCGAAAGTAATCATTGTAGTTTAAAAGCTGCGCCGTCATCAGCTGAACGCGAGACTGCTCATAAATCGGATTTATACCATTGTCGAGCGAAATCGAACGAAGAGCTGAATTCCTCCAGATCGGTGTACGCTTTCCATTCCGAAATTCTCGTTTACACCCATTTTGTACCGATTCTTGTTATCTAACCGAGAAAATTCACGGCGTTTTCGGTAGAACCGCTGCAGAAAACTAGTACCACGGGCCTTCTTTTTTTTTTTTTTTTTCGGTTACACCTAATGTTTCTCACTCACGCGACTAAGAAAATTCCCTTTTGTTCGATTCCGCAACGTCGACTTATGTTGTCATTAGTTGAGAAAACTGGGAGATTCTTGTTGGTGCAAATAATAAAAATGTTGACAATGAATGATGCGATCAGTCACGGACATCAAAAGCAAAAATTAATTCTTGTTACATATGCGCAGAACTTTCTTTACTTCTGCCGCCAGTGCAGCGGTTATGCAAGATGGCCATTTCCCAAGCGGTGCAGGAATGTTATTTTCTTGTACCACTGGGTCTGATATCTTTGATTGAAAATTGCTTTCCAGTGAGCAAAGCGCGATTAGACTCACGATATGTAGTTCTTTTTCCCAGGACCATACAGGAAATGAAGCGTAGGCGAAAAAGGCTTCGATGTCTCCACTTTCCACCTAGTTTCTGGCTTTAAACCCCACTCATTCCTAATTTCCCACTATATGGACGCTTTTCATATCACGATTCAACTAAAATCAAGCATTTACCTGCATTTGCTACGAGAAAGTATTGTGCCTAATAGGTGCGAACAGGTAGTTTGGACTCCTGTCAATTTTTTAGTACTCGCAATCGGCTTCAAACTGCAAACTTCACCCTCGTCTACGCTGTCTCATTTTCGTACTCGTTACATTATATATTACGAATACTACATGGAAATAAATTACTTGCTAGACGATACAAAAGATCTCATTCATTACATATTGTTATTATTGGCAGGTGAAGGTTGAGTCGTTTCAAAGTTTATATAGGCATAAAAAAAAGGGCAACCTGCAGTTAAGAATTATAAACACTGTGGTAGTTAAAGTAATCATTCAAAGACGTTTAATGCGTTATGCTAGGTTACATTACTTTATTACTTCAACTTATGGATTATTTAATCGATGCGTCGGCTTACTTTGCAAAAATGAACTAACTGGTCCAATTTGCAGTAATACTAATAATGGATGTTCTTGAACGTGATTGTATATGAGAGACGAAAAGCCTTCAAAAGAAACAAAAAATTAGTACCGATTAGTGACGTTATTCTACGATTATCTCATCCGTCTGAACTTTGTAGAATTGAATATTGGAACGCATTAAATGTTCTTTCCGGTTTCTGCTGTTGGAACTTTCTTTAAAAAGTGTGGTTTACAATTTCCAGTATTCACTTATCAGACCAGGAATTTTTCTGGGCCCGTTTCTCAATCTACCTTCTCACACCCTGTTTTGCTAGATACAGGAAAACACTTCAATTGGCTCAAAATAGACAGGGGTCAGTCATGTCTTTGCAGCTTCTAAGGTGCCTAGCTAATTATGTCGTTTCCATGTTCATCATTTAGATTGGACCCATCTCGACTTCGCCATTTTTTTTATTTGTTTTTTTCATCGACTCGCTTCACTATAATCCTCACTTCTAGGCTCCCTATTATCCCAGATTAATGTTTCGTACATTTTCAAATCTTCTCAGATAGATGCCGTACAGTTTCGAGAAAGCTGCATAAAAATCTGTTCGGTAGTTCTCAAAATTTCTCAGACAAACGAACGCCTACCGGGAACTTTATTTCATACTACGTAGAGATTTCATAAAAAAATTCCGTTTTGGTATTTGAAGCCATCATTCACACAGTTCCCTAATTTCCTTAAAATATCCTTAAGAAACTAACAGCCAATAGCTACCCAAGATAATTATGTGATACTTATTAAAAATGTTAAATTATGTGATTAGAAGGGAAAAAAAAAAGAAATTTACGGAGATTACACATGAGTACGACATTGACGTGTTTTTCTGCACATTCGAATTAAGAAAAAAAATGTATGGAGATATCAGATACATCCCCGACTTTGAGATGAGAACTCGTCTTTCTCCTTCGGAAAGCTTTACAACATTTCGCAATAGTCGCTCGTGGATTTCCTAGGAAAATTGAATACCAATTCCAGTTGCTATGCGTATGTATTACGGTACGCGGAGGAATCGAAAAGGTACCACTCGGTACGCATTGTACGCATCTAGTAGAGAGTAATAAAATAATGAGAAGCTTAGCCAAAATCTACCCGGGCTGTCCAATCGGTGTATTTCCGCAAACGATGCCGAGTTCCGAAATCTTTGAATTGACCATGTTTATATTAGGTTTAAGTTGCTCGTTGATGATACATTTTGACGAAATAAGCATTTTATTCGAGGTTTTAATACAGTAATTTTAAGCTCCAACTTAATCGGTGTGACGTGAGGATAATCGAGGATAGCATTGAAATATAAACGCGAGGCCATTTGCATTAAATTCCACCGATGAACGGATGAACGTGAACACGCAACATTCTACTGTATTTCGCCCAACGGATGAACATTGGTCGACTTGACCTTCGACTAGGTGAAAACCGCGTCCAAATTTCACCACGGCAAAGGAGTTAAGGAATTATAAAGCGTTAAACGATTCCGTGTTCTACACGTGCCAACAAGGATCTTCCTTCCTGCGCGAGGACACTTTGCCGGCCGCTGACGTGAATTCACGTCGTTTTAAATTCTATTCCTGATTGCCGCTGACGTGAATCACGTCTATAACGATACACGATACAGGTTTGCGGCAACCAGCTTCAGAATTTCATTATTTTCCCCGGTACTCGGTATTTGAAACGGAACAAAATTTGACGGTCGCGAATGTGTTAACACTTTGTCGGCCGCTCATTTGTCGCAAAGCCGTTCCGCTGTCGCCGGCGAGATTAACCCCTTAACATATAGATTAAAAAAAAAAAACGGCCAAAAAATCAATTTTTTAATGTAAAAAAAACACTAGAACATTGTCTTGGCAAAAAAATAAAATTCTCGGTTATATTCGAGGGTGAAAAATTATAGTAGCATAAAATACAACGCCGCGCGAATTATCTCGAATGTGCAGAGTTTGGCCTGTTCAGCGCGCTGGAATTAACTCGAGCACACAAGTTAAGGGTAAAAAAATAAAATTCTGGATTATATTCGAGGGTGAAAAATTATAGTAGCATAAAATACAACGCCGCTCGAATTAACTCGAGTGTGCACAGTTTGGCCTGTTTAGCGCGCTCGAATTAACTCAAGCACACAAGTTAAGGGCAAAAAAATAAAATTCTGGATTATATTCGAGGGTGAAAAATTATAGTAGCATAAAATACAATGCCGCGCGAATTATCTCGAGTGTGCAGAGTTTGGTTTGTTTAGCTCACTCGAATTAACTCTAGCACACAAGTTAAGGGCAAAAAAATAAAATTCTGGATTATATTCGAAGGTGAAAAATTATAGTAGCATAAAATATATTTCTTCATTGTAGAACATTTTGAAAGGTATTTTATAACTTGTAATAGATGTAACAATAAGCTTTCGATATTCGATGGCAGCGACGAAAGACAATCTCAAACTAACAGAACAAGCGGCCGCAAAAAAGATTTCAAGGAAAAAACGATCTGGTAAATTGGGAGGGGAAGACAGTGGAAATTATTATATAGTTCGTTATTTGTTGCTCTGAATCAATATATCTACCCATATAATCGTCGGAATGAAGCATTACCGCTGGCGTAAAAGAAGTCACGCGTACGTGACAGCGGCCGGCAATGTGTTAAATTACGATATAAATAATACTAATGGTCACATTTGTTCCTTCATTGTACGCTGCAATGGTAGAAATCCGCACTAAACATTACGCTACGTATCCAGTGACTGTGCCTTCGCAAACGCTATTGAGCTTCGAGATCGATTAATTTGTTAAATTTATATCCGATTCGAGTGTTCTTTGTTGCCAGTTGTCAAGTTTTTGTCCAAGTAAGGCTTACCTAAGGTTTTAATCCGATCATTTTACGGTTCGGTGGAATCAGGGTGACGCCATCGTGGGGCAATTAATACTTGAGAATCTAATTGAAATTTCAACGACATCATTCTATATCGTCACGCAGGGTTCCGTCGAATCAAAGTTGCCCCGTCTAAATTCTTGACTTTAATACGTGAATCTCTCTTTGGAGGTGGCAGGGAAAAAAAGTCATCGAAGACCTCGAATCTTATTCGGAAGCTTCGGTGTGAATATATGTTAAATCGCGGTACACGATTCAATTCTTTTTTTTTCTTTTTTTTTTCCGGAGGAGAATCTAAAAGATGTCGGCGCTTCGACAGTCTGTCTCCTAAGTCAAGGTAAATGTACGGGCGAAAGATAGTTGTTAAGAAAGTACAGAGTGTTTATATAAAGAAGCACAAACGAGTTCCAAGCAACGCAAAAACAGGTTCGTCTTTTCAAACGAACGAATAAAGAAATACTGAGGGAATGTATGTGCATATTTGCGAATGTTGGGCTCACGTGCAGGGTGTCCCAAAACAGATCATTTTCTTTTGAGAAATGAAGTAGGGTAGAATTTCGAGCCAGAAGTTCCTGTTCACACCTTGTGAATATTAGTGAATTATTATTATTGTTGTTGTTATTATTATTACTACTACTAGGTAACGACGCGTAATAGCGGTGAACACCAAAGGCTCCTAAATATGAGTAGCACGCGAGTAGGAGTAATCATAGTCAGTGGTTAATTTCATTCATGATAATTCCTTAACTGATAACCCGCACAAAAGAGAGGAACCTTCGATTCCAAATTCCACTCTCTATCATCCCTCAAAAAGGAAATGAACAATCTTGAAGTACCCTGCATAATGTATCGGCGCTGTAAAAAATGGAAGACATCATGCATTTCTCGACTTCGATTAAAAACTCTCATACGATCGATAGATTCGTTATGGGTCATCGTAATATTAAGGAGGTATCTACATTATTATTGTCATTGTCTCCACTAGACTTAACTCCACACCGAATAAGTTTTACTAGTTTTAACACGACGAGGGACTCTTTAGCATTCGCTCTGGTTTTCTCTCCCCGCCCTGTACCCTTTCTACCCTATGATTATCGCAATTGTAACAGCCGTGAGATGGATATATTTGCGATTTTGGAATTTCAATTATTATGTAATAAACATTTAATAAAATCACGTTGGGTTGTGAAGTGATGGGTTTGAGGCTGCGTTAGAGTCTGTATTGTTACGTTATTTTTAGAAATTAATTTTAATTATTAAACTCAATTTAACATAAGCCGAAGGCATGTCTGCAGATATTCTTTATGGTCCCAAAAAGTTAACCATTCACTCTCTGAAATCCTCAAATGTCTACGCTAAAAATATAGCACTCATTGAATGTTGCAGATTTCTCCAAAATTGCATAGTTGTCATCATTAAATCTGCATTTATCTCTAATAATTCCACAAAAGCTTTTCGAAGGATTCTGCTGAACTCTGGCAGTTATTAAATATAAAGTTCTTTGTCTCTGAAGGTCTTTCAAAAGCATTGCAATGCTCTTGATGGTCAGTGAAAGACCACAGAAACAAAATATCTCGAGGATTACTTTCCACTTCGAAGAGAGCGCACACCTAAAAGGATCGTTAGCTTCTTCGTATAAATTTGCAATATTCTTTCTCAGTTAAATAGATTTTATTTATTTTTGTCATACAATCTTTAGTTTATAAGTCAGTTTTTTCAGACTACGTTTTCTGAGAAAACTAATTTGAAAATAAGTATATTTGATACAAAGTTTTTTAAGGTTTTTCGGTAAGAAATGAGTTATTACATATGATGGCATTTCGAGTATAACGCTCCATTCTGTATATAAACTGTCAGTAGTTTTAGTGTCAATGAGCCGCTTGAAAAAAAAATGTATTTAACTTTTTCATTGATTATTTATCTAAAAGGGAGTTAAGTGTAGAGCCAATTAAAATACCTTAACACTAGAACGACCGGCAGATTGTTTTTTATAAGATGAGTCATTCGAAACAAGTCATTTTGACCCGTCTTGGTAGTTGTAATGTTAATGGTGTTATGTTGATTCCTTACTTGAGAATAACTGGCCATCTAAGATGCAATCATGTTCTAGCCTGGATCATCGAAATCCAGTTTCAAGTAGCATAGACTCTAATAATAAATTTATGTTCTCAGGTATTTCCACTTGTCGAACCCACATAGCCAAGTGTAGCATCTTTGCAGATTCTCGATGGTCATGAGCTACATTTTCAAGGATGCTGTATTTAACAGCAACCTCATTTTTATATGCGTTGTATATGATTTCTGCCACATGTCCTATATTAAAAATGTAACTTAGTATCAAAATCATTGATTCGGTGGTAAGTGACTAAAATGCTTTTACCACTCAGATTAATGAAACATAAAGTGTACTGGTTAGTATTTAACGATTCGATAAAAATGTGTCCATATGATTTGTACATACAAATTACCCACAACAGCCAGTCAATTTGGATCTAGATCACAGAAATACGATAAACTTGGAACGCATGTTGAAATAACTAACTTCCAAGTTGCCCCCATCCCCCCCTTCCTTCAGTGCACATTAGTGCAACATTTTTGCCAAACAAATCAATAAAATAAAGTATATTAGCTATTATGTTTTGAACGAATGAAATATTATAATGTCCATACTAAAGTTGAAAATATAATATTGCGAAATGGTCAAATTATCAAACTGTTTACAGTCGTTTCTGTGCAAAGAAAACAAAATCACTTTTATGATGGAAAGATTTGATTAGATAGTGAGCTTTTATAGTTTTAATACAAAACATCTCTATTTCGATACGATACTCTCGATATAATAAAATTGTATTTACAACAATTAACAACATTGAGAATGTAAAATGTATACAAACATTGACTCTTACCATATTTTTCAATTGGCCATGTCAAAAATAGATTCTTAGGTTCCTTTTTTAATAATACTGCAGTCCTTAATTGATACGAAAGATGTTCCAAATTTTTAACAATTTCGTGCTATAAATAATTATATAAATTAATCGACATGTTACTCTTAGAGGGTATGCGTATTAAAAACACTGGCCATTTTTTCTAATTAGACTATTTACTGACTGTACTTTAGTAAACGAATGATGTTGACATATAATTCTTTATGAAACTATAATCATTGCTTCTTTAAAAAAAAACAGGTGTGACTAGAACGAATAGCATATAAACCACAATACTTTGGAAACGATCGAGAAACTTTCTGCATTCGTTGACTTATCAAGGAACGTTAGCGATTTGCTGTATAAATCGTATACTTGAAACTAAGTTGTCACTTGAATTATTTAGAAAATCATCTACTGCAATCTTTCTTTGCTGTTTCAAATACGTGACACCAGTCTATCTAGGAAGTGTTAATCACACAAACATGAACCGACGATAGGAATACCAATTGCTTAAAACCCTTTCTTACCAATTTAATGCAATCGTCTTCTAAATCATTACAAAGAATGTCCAATTGATTTGAATATTCCCCATCTTTTTTAATACTTGTTATATTTTTTAAAATGTCCAGGCCATGTAAGTGGATGATATTCCACTCTTGAATATTATTATGCAGACTAGCAACTAAATCTCTGACAATACGAGGATTGCCAGTAAGATTTTTTCCCCGAAACAATTTTGCCAGCGGAGATTGTTCACCTGAAAGCAGTTTTCATCTATTATTGTAAGAATTATTGCATGTACGATAATGATTTCTATACAAATCATTACTAAACCAATATAACACAAAGTTGACGTAAAAGTTGAAATTTGGTAAATATTGTTATGAAAATTACCTTTCGCTGGTGAAATTTGCATAATTGTCACTCGGAAGAGGACGTACCTTTTATTTTTTTCTATGTAAATGTATATACTTTATTCGCATAATATATTAGGATTTAGGCCCGGTTTCGCAATTTGATTTAACCAGAAATGAGGTAACTCTCCCGCCACTGTAAATGTTTCATGCTCTCTATCCTGCTCTGTCCATGGCAGTCTATGGTCCAGGGCAACCAAAGGCAACAGCGGGCAAGTGCACTCGTATGCCGAAAGTGTATATAACCCTGATATAACCAGAGATATAACGCGAACAAAGCTTATGCAGTATAGGATCCTTGGATTCGAGCAATCCTCAGTAGTATGGAATCCTTGATGAAGGCCGAAATTCAAACGAAGATATACTGATTTCCTATTGGCTATAGGTCCGGCGTCAGCGACCAATCAGGAGACGTCATTTCGACTCTGTGGCCCAATGACAATTTGCCACACAAACACATGGTTTGTCAGGTCTGTGCAGCCGACGTTACTTCGAAATTTCTGCATCGGAGTCAGAAACGAAGCGGTTGCGGATTTATTCTTTGCAGCCAAGGTCCCACAAGATTTCCGGATTATCTGTATCTTTAAAATAAAAAATCAGGAAGAGTTAATGCAGTTGAATGTAATTAAGTACTGAGAGTTTGATTTACCGGTAACTATAACCCCGATTGATAGCATGTCAGAATTTACGTATTAGATACGTAATTTTGAGAGATTGTCTACAGGCTTTTGTTTAACGTTTTGTAGATATAAATGCGCCCCACGAAAATGTCGGTTATGTTATGGTTCATCTTTGCGATCTTTGCTCTGCCGAACATCAGCTATGGGGTTGCAGTGATGAGCATAGACATCGGCAGCGAGTGGATGAAAGTTGCTATTGTGTCTGTAAGTAGATATTGTTTTTCCTAAATTTCTTATAATATAACATTTTATAAAGATGGTTTGTTATATCGATTGATTAATTCTAATTTTATTTGAATATTTGTAGCCGGGTGTTCCTATGGAAATAGCATTGAATAAGGAATCCAAAAGGAAAACTCCTGTAACGATATCATTTCGAGATGGTGAACGTACTTTTGGGGAAGATGCTCAAACGGTAGCTGTGAGATCTCCACAAAATAGTTTTTCTTACATATTGGATCTACTAGGAAAGCCTATCGATAATCCAATAGTTCAATTGTACAAGAATCGATTTCCATACTACGACATTATCTCTGATGATGAACGGAAGACAATAGCTTTCAAGATGAATGAAAATGTGACGTTTACTCCCGAGGAACTGCTTGCTCAAATATTGCACAAAGCTAAGGAATTTGCTGAAAATTCTGCAGGTCAGGCTATTGATGAAGCGGTAATTACTGTACCAGGATTTTTCAATCAAGCAGAAAGAAGAGCCATGATGCAAGTTGCCGAATTGGCAGGCCTTAAGGTTTTACAGCTGATTAACGATTATTCAGCGGTTGCATTGAATTATGGCATCTTTCATCGAAAGGAAATCAATGATACTTCTCACTACGTCATGTTCTTTGATATGGGAGCTAGCAGTACTGTCGCTACAGTCGTTGGATATCAGAATCAGAAAATAAAAGACAAAGGATTTGTTGAGACACATCCTCAAATCAGTATTTTAGGAGTGGGTTATGATCGCACATTAGGTGGTTTAGAAATACAAATCAGACTGCAGAATTATCTGGCAAAAGAATTCGATGCACTCAATAAGACGCCAAACTCTGTATTTAAGAATCCTCGAGCAATGGCTAAATTGTTTAAAGAGGCAGGGCGTGTGAAGAACATATTGAGTGCCAATGCTGACCATTATGCCCAAATAGAAGGACTACTCGATGAGAAGGATTTTCGTCTACAAGTCACTAGAGAAAAATTAGAGGAGTTGTGTTCTGATGTATTCGATCGGGTTGTTACTCCTGTTAAAACAGCATTGGAAATGTCATGTAAGTATTTGTTAGAATCATAATTACAGTTTCAGTGAAGTTCTATTATGCTGCCAGTGTATTTTCATATAACAGGATTAAAAATTTAAGAGAAGCCCCCTGTCAATACGCTCAAAAACTAAACGCTTCGTACATAAATAAAAAGAAAACCGAACATGAGGTAAAAAAAAACTAATTTCTTTAGAAATACACGTTTAAATGATAAAAAACTATAATCTATTTTGATTCAATATATTCTAGCCCAAAATATATAATGTTAATTGTGTCGGTGCGGAAATAACTTTTTTTAACTTAAAGAAAAAGAAACTCATTTTGTAGTGTCTTGACAGGAGAGTTCTTTTAATGCTGAATATGTCATGCTGTTTACAAATGAAATCATATATTAATACTATTTCTAACACGTACTGAACATACATTAGGCTAGGACATTATTGCTATATCTTAATAGAAATTGAAAATGGACGAGAGCTGATCAGTGTTCCATATTTGTCTATGATTTGTTCATTATTTTGGATTTGAAGTCTTTCAATATAATTTGTTAACAGACTGTTTTCTCTAAATTCTAAAATTCTATTTCTATTTCATTTTCGTTTCACAGCATTAACCATGGACATCATATCGTCTGTGGTATTAGTAGGAGCAGGAACTCGAATGCCAAAGGTTCAGGAAAAATTATCCGACTTTGTTAAAACTGAATTAGCGAAAAATATAAATACCGACGAAGCTGCTGCTTTAGGTGCTGTTTATAAAGCAGCAGATCTTAGCCAAGGGTTTAAGGTCAAGAAATTCATAACGAAAGATGCAGTACTATTTCCTATTCAAATCGTCTTTGATAAAAATACTGACGGTAAAATTAAACAGGTAAGAAGCTTTGTATTATTGAGTTGAACTCTCAATAAAAATGACGATTTGCTTATTTGTAGGTTAAAAGGACGTTATTTGGCAGAATGAATTCTTATCCTCAAAAGAAGATTATCACTTTTAACAAATATGCGGACTTTGAGTTTGGAGTGAACTACGCAGAACTAGATTATCTGCCAGCTGAAGAAATAACGTAAGATTACGAATTTATTAATGATGTGATTTAATTTAGGGTACAACGATTCTCAATTTTCGATAACTGTGTAAAATAAATGCTAAATGGTCGTTACTGCGATTGTTATTTTATTAATATTACTTTTATGCTTTAAGGGCTATCGGCAACTTAAATTTATCAGTCGTGACGGTTTCCGGGGTCGACGATGCTTTGGCAAAACATGAGAAAGAAGGCGTTGAAAGAAAAGGAATCAAAGCTCACTTCTTAATGGATGAGAGTGGCATATTAAGTCTGAATAATGTAGAATTAGTTTTTGAGAAATCAAGTACTGCAGCGGATGAAGAGGAAGGTACTTTCTCCAAACTTGGTTTAACTATAAGCAAACTTTTTGCAGGTTTGTATTACCTGTATCATAAAGATAGGCTTCTGCATTTATATTAGACTCTAACAATTGTATTTAATTAGGTTCTGAAGAAAAAGCTCCCGCTGGTAAGGCTGAAGAGCAGCCAAAAGATGAAGCCAAACCAGTTCACGAAGAACCTGATTACCCTGGTTTGCAAAAAGAGGTTGACGAAAAAACAAAGAAAAGGAACGACTCGAAGTCAACAGAGGAAAAAATACAACAAAAAACAGAAAAGGCAGATAAAGAAAAAAAGCCGTCTGTAATCACAATCAAGGAACATTTTGATGTGAAGGAGATTAAAATGGGATCACAGATTTTATCAGGAGATAAACTCAAGGAGTCGCGTGAAAAGTTAGTTCTTCATCATTTTTCTCACTAGTTATTTTATTTATTCATCAGTGGTTTACAAATGCTTCTAAAATTGATTAAAAATGTATTCAAAACAAATTATTCTCCAGACTCTGCACGGGAGCCAAGAAAGCTTTTGCCCTTTGTATACAAGTTTCGATAATCTTTTTCTGTTTTAGAGTCGAAGCGTTAAACTTTCATGATTTAGAAAGGTCAAGAAGAGAAAGTGCTCTAAATAATCTGGAATCATTTGTCATCGATGCACAGCAGAAGCTTCAATTCGATGAATTTATTGCGGCTAGTAAACCAGAAGAGATTGAAAACATTTTAAAAGCATGTGCCGAAATCTCCGAGTGGCTTTATGAAGATGGATTTGACGCTACTGCGGACACGTATGAAGCGAAATTATTAGAACTTCAGAAATTGACTACTAGCTTATATGAACGAGTATTTGAACACAGAGAACGTCCAGAAGCTTTAAAAACAATGCTGTCCAAGATAAATGCCAGTAAAACTTTTATAACTAATATGCGTAACATAAGCACAGCAAGCGACTTCTTTACTCCAGTGGAGTTTGAAACACTTGAGAAAATCATCAATGAGACACAAGTATGTTGGTTTTGTATATCATGTTATTTATGTTTTGGGCAGTTTGGACCATTTTAAGGTGATGCGAAAGACGCCAAGAAATTGAATCGACGTTATTGACATTTGTAACATTCGTGATCACTTTAAGGCGACAATTATTTTCGTACTAGTAACCCACCCCTGCTTAGTACAAGCGTAATGTAAAATTAATTTCTTATCATTGATTAATGTATCATATACCCAAACGTTCCTGGAGAAATGCTCTTTACAATAGGACAAACCGCATAAAATTAAAATCCGTCTAATGGTTTTTGACATTGCCGCAAATGAAAAGGCAAACAGACATCTAACGGGGATTTTAATTTTTTTCTTTACTATTATAGATAGTTTTTAATCCTAATGTGCTGATTTTATGTTTGAAGGACTATTACGATTCAGTTGTGAAGGCTGCAGAAGAGACTCCTTTGTACGAGCCCGTAAAATATAAAGTACAAGATATAGCCAGTAAAATGGACATTTTGGTTCGCGAAGTGAAATATTTGATGAATAAGGAGATGATTTGGCGACCAAAGCAAAATGCAACGGGAAGCCAGGCAGATAAAAGTGAGAAAGAAATGCCGAGCACAGGAAAAAGCCCTGAAGCAGAATCCCCAGCGGGCTTTAAAACTAGTTCCGAAGCTGACACACCTAAGGAATCAACAGATCACTCAACCGATTCGATCGAGGAACAGTCATCGGAATCGACAGAAACGACAGAACGTGTATTAGAATTACCTGGTTCGTCAGAACCGTCTCGAGCGAATTCTGAAACATCTGAAAAGGATGCGCACCATGAACTTTAAAGGGTTAATGTATTTAAAACCATTACAAATTTGGGATCGTTATCCTCGGGTCCATGTACTAGCCAATCATTCGTTCCAGTAGGCATATTTTGTGGCGTCGTTCACAATCCGCAAGTACTTTAAGGCGGCATGTCAGTCTAGACGGTCAAAATAAGGATCATATTTCAGAATTTTGTTGATTACCAAATTGTCTTCTTGAAATGGAAGTTCGTCCACTATAAAGTACACGATTTCAGATAGATGTTCTTACCTAATGGTAGCCATGGGCGGAGAACATGCAGTTAAAAGCACGTTTGACGGTGCACTGAGCGAAAAATTTCTTTTCTAAACAAAATTAATTACTTCTGACAATCTAAATGTTTATTACTAAATAAATTGCTTGGTTCCAGCGAAATTGAATGTAGGAATAAACGGCGTTGCAAGTCAGATAATAACAATTTTATAAAAAATAGAAGTGGTTTTGCGAACAAACTTTCATGCACAACGTTGGCTTCAGTCACCGAGAATGTTGATAGACGTGTCATTTCTTTTGGATAAAATGTATTTAGCTCGACTTAATACTTGATATAAAAAACTATTACTAGCGAATAGATATTGTTACAAGTTGATGCAAGCATGAGTTTGCCGGCAAGTAACATAATTTTGAGGGTAAACATCTAATTTATTACAAATGTATCAAATTTCATGCAAGAATGTTACAGAGAAGAAATGATAAACCATTTTCTCTGTTTTCACCCCTACAAGGGCTGGAAGCGGGGGAATTTTCGCACCCAAAAATGTTTGTACAGGATGTCCTTTAACCAACGTGAATGGATGAAATCACAGCCTTTTAAAAATATAATTAATAAGTAAAAATCCGTATGGGCGGCCTACGAATCTATCATGGCAGTTCAATATGGCTTCTGCCGTTATTCGGTGAACATTTTCGGGACTTACCTAGAATCGTTAATGAAAATCAAATTAAGGCCACACAGGGAAAATTGTATACTTGTAAACTTCACACTCTATCAGTGGTAATTACTTTTAAACAGCCAAACTCAACATTTTTGGTGCGAATATGCTAAACTGTAAACTAGATTTCCCTCGCATAAAAGTTGAGCGAATTTACGCTAGGAACGCTAGTGTACGTCGTAACACCGCTGCACCGTGGAGGAAGCGCAGTGTGCTACCTGGTAGAATGTCACATGTTTCACATGTTTATAACGGACATTTTTTATCTACAGTAAATAGATGCATTGAAATCCTCGCTCTTACTGATTGGGATTGGTATGGGTTGTATTTAATTGCGTTAAATGTCGAATTTAAAATGAATGTACTTGTATTAAGTTGTATTTATGTAATGGATATGCTTTATGGGCGTGAGGTTTTAGAAATGGTGTACAAAAAGCGAAGACAAGGAAGTAAAAGAGCGTCATTTAGTTTCATCGTGATATCTGGGACTTAAACTGGAGAATCAGTTTGTCGATTTGTGCTACATTACTTCGGTACCAATTTTCACAATTATATTTCGTTGATCATTGTATAATAGGTATCGTTTAACATTTTCGCATACTTCGTTAGAATTCAACATAAAATTATCATTGTGGTTTGAATACATCAAGGAAAGTAAATAAGACTCGACGTGACTCGAATGTCTATGAAAAGAACTCAAAGCGATCGATATTGACAGATGAACTGTACAGATTGGAATATGCCCTTGAGATATAAGATAAAACAGGCACAGACTTGATATTTTGGTCTTTGTACAATGTTAAGTTAAAGAGGAAGAAATTGTCTCAACTAATTAATGATCGTTTCAGATGTGAATTCTTCTGAGAACTATTAAGTTTTGGGTTGGCCCTTAAGTTCGTGCTATTTAAACATAAAAATGTTATAATATCTGTTTCAAGTTAGGGATCGACAAACTTTTCTAACATTAGGAAGAAGTAACCAACAGGGGAGAAAATAATATCAATTAATATTGTGAAATTTGACTTCTTAAAATACATTTGTTTAAGTACTAAAAAAAAGAGTGGCACGAATTTATCGGACAACTCAACATAAGTTAAAATTATCCATTGATAAAAAATATCGACAGTAAATAAAATGAGACGTAGGACGATGTAACTTTTAATATTCCTCATTTATGTTTTATGTATTATCAGTACACATGCGTGTTTGCAGTTTCCTCCATTCTTTACTCTGCTGGTCAATAGAAAAGCAATGGGTTGCAACAAGCATCTTAAGTTTATTACTCAGTCACTTATTGATACTTTAGAAGATATCAATGTCTTCAGTATCTTTAAGTATCGTTAGTAAGTAATTTCATTTATTAAAGGTCAACTATGTATATTTAATTAAACGACATCGTTTATGTAAACGTATAAAATGAAAGGAAATAGAGAGTTGAAGTAACTTTCAAAGTATAATCACTTGAAGAAGTATAACCAAAGGAAATACATACAGAGGAGATACAATGTATAGAAAAGCGATACAAGGTATATACAGAAGAAATTGATTCCATCACGTTTGTTCAAGTATAATGTATCGAGTGCTCGAAAATTCAGACTAGGTATTAATTGGTGGACTGTACGTGACAAATGTTTTCAGATCTGTTAGCTTTTTTATCGATTACGCCGTAATATATGAAATTAACAAACGAAGAGTAATAAATTTCCATTGCCCCAAATTTCTAAATTCACTTTGATTAACTGATTTGTCAGCTAGTAATAGCTTTATACCTTCCATGTAGTCCTAAGTATAACACTATTTCTTCTTTTATTTCGTTATCGGACCAGTTACGTTTCTTTGTATCGAATTTTAGAACAGCGCTCGGCCTATGTGCGCTTTTCTATTGAAGTTAAAAACATGAGTCGGCATTAACGGTATTTTCAATAATACTGGTGACTTGAGTAACCAGTAATCAAATGAATAAATTTTAATTAAACAGGACAACATTTCCCGTCGAGCTACTGTGGTTGCAGTTGCGAACAAAATTCACCGGAGGTTGAACATCTCGAAAATTGGCTGAAAATGTCATGAACCCCTCACAAAAGCTTGAAACCCTATATCTGTCATCGCGATTGCGCGAGCTCCCGTCAGAAATGTATTGCGCCGCCACTGGGGGGGTAACAGGTGGCAAGTGCACTAGCCGTCCGCATCCTTCACTGGGGGCAGCACAGAACGCGATCGCACGACCCTGCCCGTAAGCAATCTCCCAACTCATCTGTGTAAGAACGTTTCTTTTACTCTCGTTTCCCCTTGGTCATACTATTTATGGAGCGCAGGCGCTTTGGCACCGAACTCCGGAAAGTCTGCTGCTGATCAATTTTGGCGTTTCCTTGAATTATACTCACCAGTTATTCAGGAACAAATTTGCAATGGTATTTGAATTAGTTATAAAAAGTTTCGCGTATTTCCTGTTTCTATTTGGAACTGTTATTCGTGTTACAAACCTCCCGATTACAGTGACGAATATTATTCATTTTTGACATTTCTATATCTAGTTACGTTTCATGTATGGAGAATGTTTCAAAACACGACGTTTTTTTTTCGCAGGGTAACGAGAGTTCATTGCCTATGGAATTGTGCTCAAACTGTAAGTTATTATCATACCATTTATCATGAAACAAGATGATGATTTATTGACATTCATTCGGAGTGGCTGCATCTGCTTGCCTGTATCCGACTGAAATGTATCTGAATATTTTAATTTTGTTAATTTTAGTCGATGCCGATGAAATCAGAAGATTAGGAAAACGATTTCGAAAATTAGATCTCGATAACAGTGGTGCTCTCAGTATCGATGAATTTATGTCGCTGCCAGAATTACAACAGAATCCCCTGGTTCAACGTGTAATTGATATTTTTGATGCAGATGGCAACGGTGAAGTCGATTTTAAGGAATTTATTCAAGGAGTTTCTCAATTTAGCGTGAAGGTATGCCTGCAGAGTACACGTTGATTTCTAAGATTATATTTTAATAATTACTAACTACTAAGAACTAAGATTAACTCTGAATGTTTATTTTATAGGGCGATAAAGAAAGCAAATTACGGTTTGCTTTCAGAATTTATGATGTAGATAACGATGGCTTCATTAGTAATGGTGAATTATTTCAAGTACTTAAAATGATGGTGGGAAATAATTTAAAAGACACGCAACTTCAACAAATTGTTGATAAGACGATACTTTTTGCCGATAAGGACGAAGATGGTAAAATTAGTTTCGAAGAATTTTGTTCAGTGAGTATAAATGATGCCATTTCGAATTTAGTAATAATTTGAATTTGAATGTCGTACAAATTGTTTCCCGATACTCTTTGTCGATAAAACTATTTCTGATGGACAAATATTTTTTTATACAGGTTGTTGGGAACACTGATATACATAAGAAGATGGTGGTTGATGTTTAATTAACCAAAGTTTGTTAGCATGTAAAAATGTTTAATGATCTTAAGTGGTAAAAGAATTTTGACTTCATGAATTTATTACTAAGATTTCGATTTCTCATATGGTCATAAGTAAAATCTCACTAAATGATACCATTATACAAATGTCACTCTTCTCATACACACACTTCTTATTGAATCTACTACTAAAAAAAGTATTTTTCTCTGTATTATAATAATGCTAACGTTGTACCACACAAAGGTGTTATAATCGGTGCAATTTAATTAAGTGCAATTCTGTTAATTGTATATCTCATGGGCTTTAGAAGAAGCAAAAGCACTTTTAATCCCCTATGAACGTGCAACTACAAAAGTAATGAATGTTAAATTCTCTGCGATGATGACAAGGTCTGTCTGCGAGCACTTTAGTAACAGACAGATCTTGCCATTAGCAACCCTTCCATATTCCATAAAATTTAAGGTCAGATTACATTGGACATATGAAGGTATGATCTTGGTCTATGGGGTTATTCACCTAAGTGTCACTTTACATTCTCAAAGAGAAAGAATTACGTTTTTAAAATGTGAAACGTCAGTAACATTCTTTTGAAAATGTTTTTGATATTGCATTTTCAGTCGAACCAGAAGTGGTCATTAACTTTCCTATTTTAAATGGAATACTGTAAATATTGTTACACTTTTCAATCTTCCCTTGAATTTTAGGGACATTTTGTTAAGCATACATTTGGTCTGAGTTGCACAGTTTGAGTTATTCGACGTATTTGCACGAAACTAACATGTGCCATGTCCTCAACATTTTTTCGCATCTTTGGAAGTTAATGGAAACACTTAGGTGAATTATTTAGTACAACATGTTTAATCCACATTCTTATTTACTGCAGATGCAATGTAATGGACCAAATCCTGTGCCAGTTAAAGGGCAGATCTATTTTCTATTAGTTGCCAACTATGCTCATAATAAGTGATTTTACTGTGCACATTTCAATGCACTCTCTTCCGCTGTCTTCTTAACATATATTATAGCACTTTCAAATCGCAAACTAGGATCGGGTACCGCATATCATTTTAAATGAATTGTCATTTATTTGGAACTATATTGCAATAAATTATTCCTGATCAATGAGTGATTGAATTGCAATTTATATGAATCGAGGTAATGATTCCGAACTGTATAATGTAATAATTTGTATATTTTATTCAGTAAATTATATATGCACGAGTTTATGAAGTAGAAGTTAGTTTTCTTTGTTTGTAGTTTATCATATTTTATTAATTATAATAATAAACCATTCAATTTCAGAATGAACATGCTTTAAATATTAATGAAAATGTGTGAATTCTAAGTAGTGGAATTTCTGCTTCAGTTTAATTTATCATTATTTTTCAACCATTTTCGTTAAATTTTCTTGCAAAGTTTGTTATAACTTATTTTTAAATACGATTTTGATATGTATGTATACCTGTGTATAAATGGTTTTCTTAGTTTAATAATACTTACTCCGTATTGATTGTTTATGCAATTCCTATTCATAATAATGTAATAGTCATACATTGGGTCAGAATAATAAATAACGGGTATTCAGTATTTTATAATCGATATATTTATCAGCACAAAAAGAAATCTGGGCAACTATATGCATTTGGTCCAATTTTCATTAAATTTATTTTCCTAAGACTTTAAGTTGATTACGCAAGATTTTTCCTGATGGATTTCTAGGAATAGCATCTATAAACGTTATACCCCCAGTGAGTCTCTTATATGCTGCTACCTAAAAAACATTATCATATTAACAAATTCTTTCATAATTTCAAACAGCTTATGTACCTCTATGTCAACCATACCTACCTTAGGGTCTATATGATGATTAATAATTTCCGCTGTCAAATTTGTATTAGGTTTTTTCACGATAAAGGCTTTCGGTAACTCTCCGGCTAGTGTATCTGGCACTCCTACTACTGCTACATCTGCTACCTCTGGCAGTTCCAATAGAATTGATTCTAGTTCCGTCGGTGACACCTGGATACGTGTAACAAATAAAATTTTAATCAATTTTATCATTCAAAGATCTAAATATCATATAGTGTTTAATTTCGATCATGAACGTAAAACAGGGTTGTGCAGTGACGCGTCATTCGGGGTTTTTTATGTAAAATACTTAAGGGAAGTATTTTACGTAAAATCCAAGTAAAATATCTAATAAATTACAGGTCAAAGATGGCGGGACTGTAACCTCACTTTTTTATAGTGGTTAAGGACACTTGTGAATAAACATTATAGTCAAAAAAGAAGAAATAAAGAATAATGGCGAATAGGAGAAAACCATTGAACAGATCTGAACTTCGACATTCCAGTTTTTCATACATTCCACGGAAAATGTTGAATATTAAGCTTATCAGGAACTGTAGAAACAAAGTTCCATATACATTCATGTAATATACATCACGCATGAAATTTGTAAAGTATAATATCTAGTAGTTTACTGTAAAAAAACTATGTAAATTACCGAGAGTATTTTATTTACTCAACCCTGCTCGTGATTACCAGTGATTACCGACATCGGTAATGACGGCTGAAATTTGAATCTACCGCGACTTCGAGAGATGGCGCGCGTGCGGTGTTGCAAGATTAGATAGACTACGTTTCCATAGCACTCGAAATACGGGATTTATCGAGTCCAAACCCAGTAAATTCGAATTTAAGTGTCGATCGAGACGCTCAGAATCGAAGCTGCACATTTATTAATGCGATAGAAACATGTGATTTACTGAATCCAGACTCGATAAAACCCGGATTTAGGAGTGCGATGGAGACGTGGTCATAGTATTAGATCTATTACTTCCTGGCCAAGATGGCGGACGCGTCTGATGAAATCATCGAGCAAGAGTCGGTCGCGGATAAAATTAGTTTATGTTTAGTCGAGTAGATCTCTGATCGTACTCGTGTATACTCGCGTACGCTCGCATACGTGGAATGATTTTATCAAATTCCTGCAACCCGGCGGAACGTCGGCGGGAAGCCGGTCAACGCACGGCAGGGTGAATTCGCCAGGTTGGCAATTCTGGCAGCCCTTTTCCCCTTCGGTGTTATCTTTTTAGTTAAGTGCATCCGAGTCGGTGTATTTACGTTGTCGCGTCTGCCGAGGCAAGCCAGAATCCCGTCGTGATCGCGGAGAGGTGCGAGAGGCGTTGGGGAAGAGCCAGGTTGAGCCGAGGAGGGTGGCACCGAAGGCTATCATGGAAAACCCGGAGGAGGTGCTACAAGCGTTGGACGAGTTCCAGAAGCTGCGTCCAACGGAGATTCCACGTGAGCTGGAGGATTACCTCTGCTGGGTTGCCAAAACCGGAGACCCGGTGTACCAGTGGTCCCTGATCAAGGCGCTTTTCAGAGAGAAACTCACCAGGGTGATGACCGACTTCTACGAAAGTTGCCCCAGCCTCGAGCTGACCCCTTGCCCGAACGTCGAGCATTTCAACTATGACTCCATGAAGAGCAACCTTCTCGAGCGACTCGAGTCCTTCGCCAATGCACCGTTTACTGTTCAGCGCATCTGTGAGCTACTCACTGCCCCACGCAAGGAGTACAACCGGGTCGACAAGTTCATGAGGGCGATCGAGAAGAACATCCTGGTGGTGTCGACCAGAGAGCCAGGCTCGTCCGCCAGAAGGAGCGAGAACGGGGACAGTATGGTGAATGGCTCGGTGGAGGAGGACGCAACGTCCATGCAGCCGTCCCATGAAATCGAGATGGATTCTTGGGTCAAGGATTGCACCACGGTGGCAGGAGTTACTGTCCGCGCTACAGGCGATGCCTCCCTTCTGGAGACAGTTCTGCCATCGACGACCGTGGTGAAGAGTTTGCCCGCGGAGGACGACGGGTCGACCCTGGATAAGACGGAACGAGTCTCATCCGAATCCAACTCTTCCCTTCTTACTCAATTTGTTCCATCAACGTCAGAATTTTCCGACGTCGGAAATTTGAGTTCACAGATTCAATTGCAGAACTCTTCGGCAGCGAGTGGTACTCAGAATCTGTCACCAACGCCAATGCTCGTTGACGAGGTACCGGAGGCGATTATAAACGAAGACACTAGCTCTCAGCCAAGTCTGGACCTGGAGAACGAGGAACATAGTAGCACTGACCCAGCGCGGAAACTGCAAACAACTTTTCAAGCAAAAGACTTTGTTCCTAATGACACAAAGTCTATCAAAATCTATTCGGACGATACGGCACCGAGCACTGACGTCGAGAAGGTCGATACGCCGAGTGTCGACGAGACGCCATTGGATCGGGTGGAAGATCGAAACGTGTCCGACAAAACCAAGTCGGAATGCAAAGAATCTCTGGACCATCGAGAATCGATCTTTCCTATGGTACAAAATTTTTTGCAAGCTAGCATGGATGTCAAAATAGCTTCGGATGAAACTAAGACCACCGTGGATGGGTCCACGGATGAAAATTTATCCGTGACCACTAAAAGTATATGCTTCATTCCTGATAACTCAAGTACGGAGAGTAAAGATTCTCCTAAGGAGGATATTAAATCATCCAGAGTTTCGTCACCGAAGCCATTTGAAGATGATACGATTTCACAAGAACCCAGGGAGAACGTGTCGCCTGTATCCGACGACAATTCCAGCTGCCAACTAGACACAGAGCAGAGCGACGAAGGGAGGAAAGAAGACAGTTCGCTTTTGGATATGTATTCAAAGACGGAGAATTTGAAGGAAATCGACGTCGGTGATAAAGAAGATCGAGTCAAGCCGGTAATAGAAGAACCTCCATCGGGCGAACCTCCTACCAGTGTGAACGATCCTTCGACAAGTTCTGTCTTGGAACGTAATTGCTTGACGATACAGGAAACTTTGGAGGATGATTGCAAAACGACGAAGAGCATAGTTCCAGATCCACTGCCAATTGTGGAAGAACCTAAGGAATCAGAATCCCAAGTGAAAAATTCAGAAAGTTCCACGGTAGTGGTTGATGTTACCAGTGAATCAGTGGACCATGCAAGTGTCGACGAACTCGTGAATAAAGATACGAAATTAGTGGTGGATTCAACCACAACGGATGTGGACAGTGAAGAATTGCAATCCCCGACTCCACCAGAGAAGAATCAGTTACCGGAAACGTCAAAAACAACCAAATGTAGCGAAACCGAAGGAGATGCGATGGAAGTGGATGGCGAGGAGTTGGCTTTGCCTCTCCATCATGACGAACCAATGGAAGAAGAAACGACGGACTTAGTTAAGAGTTAATAAAGATAAATCCAAGCTGAATTTTAATGATACTTTAAGAAGAAGTTGCGATTGTGTTCATGAACCTTGAACTGGCTTTGTACGAAATGTTACTGTACTTGAGAAAGATGAAAATTTCCATGATCTTTTAATACTACCGGTGCGTGCTACAAAATCATTTAACAAGTATCAATTTCATGTATGAAACCTTTCCCTTCTTTCAATGTTTAAATCATCGCACAGGTTTTACTTTATATCATTTTAAAATCATATTCAATTTCAACGGAACATTTGCTAAAAAAAAATGTAAGCATAAAGAATTTAATCGAAAGGGAAAATTGTCTACCAAAATATAAACCACGTGAATAGGTGAAGATAACAAGTTTGTAGTTAACTTATAATTATGTCTGAAGAGTAGGCATATTTTTAAATACTGCATGCCCATGTACACAGATTGCTTACACTGTTACATGTATCGTACATTAACAATGACTAACTATCGAAACAATTGTATCGCGAAATTATTGGTGCTTCATATATACATCCACATTTTGTAAATAATTAAAAATGACAAGGTTCTTAATGTCGAAATTTCAAGATATCACATAGTCTGTACTGTACAGCTACAGGAAATTATAATGTTATAAGATCGAAAAACGGTGCACTTATGTGTGCAAATAAAGATTTAAACTGGGTTAAGTTTATATACAAATTGTTAAATTCAGAAAAGCACCTAAATATGTGTTTATTGCTACATAAAATACATGTCCTTGTTATACTTTTGTAAATAATTTCTACTTACATTTATCATATCTAGATCTGAAGTTCTTTCAAATAACAAAAAAAATTGAAATAACAATTGATAAGGATTTTTCCCTAAATTGCCATCGTCATCAGTATGCCTTCGATAGTTAGTCATTACTCTTCCTGAACTAACAGGAATTCAAATACAGAAATAGACTATTGTTATTATCGTATGGTCTAAAACCAATTGACTGTCTTCGCATAATCCAATAATTTTTTACGAATGTAACTTGATGCTAATGTGAAAGTCATGGAGATGCGAGGAAAGAGCGTAAAAGCATTTCTTGAAGTAGCGTTGAAAACTTCAATGTATGTAGATTAAGATCATGTAAGCTTCTTAAATCAGAATATTTAAAGAAAAAATATATAAGGCTATAAATGGAAGGTTTTATAGCAAAACAAGATCAGTAATGGATTAATTTAAAAATCATTAAATTAATAATTGTTCAAGTGCAGACAATTTATGACAGCTATGTACATTATTTTATAGCAAAATACATGGAGATTACTGCCAGAACTAATGACTGTTAATACCATTTTCCAAAATCAATGATTTGATGCCGTAAATTGTTTATCACTAATTTTACTTTACAGATTTAGCATTGTTATAATTAGTAAGACAAATATTGAAATATATTTTGCACAACTTTTTAAATATAAAATAATCATCTCGCAATTTTCCATGTTTATTATAAGTTTGAAATGAGATTAAAATGGAAGCACAGCTTAAAATGAATATAACTACTTGCCAAGGCATTTTTAATATATAATTTGCTCATAAAAGAGCATGTACACGGGACAAAATGGTAAGAAAAACCATTGCACCGAGCAATGATCCATTTTTGACACATGGGATCCTTGAACCTGCGATTTGCTTTACCATTTAACAAAGTATTTATATAACATAAATTTATCTTTACTATTCACAAGCATGGAAAAAAACAATTTGACATATTTTTGTTAGCAGGGACTTTTATCTATAAAAAGTAATTCTTAAGTTACGAAGTAGGTTTACAAGTATTAAGCAACTCGCAGTTAATGACCGCGTTTTCATCGTACTCCCTAATCCAAGATTTATTGGGTCCGGATTCAGTAAATAGCATGTCTCCATCGCATTGACTACGTCTCCACCGTATTCGAAATCCGGGTTTTATTGAATTCGGGCCCAATAAATCCGAATTTAAGACCCTGGTTTGAACTATAACAAGTGTTGAATGCTATGAACTGACGCAGTGCCGCCATCTTTGCGATGTCTACTAACTCGATTCATATCTACCTAGGACTCTTACCGGATATTACCAATTAGAAAATGGCATTTCCCTTGATAAATGCAAAATGTCTTTCTAGGATGGTAGATAACTTACAAATTAATGGCAATATTATTCAAGACATTGAAATAAAAAAAAAAGATATATTTACTGCAGGTTCAATTACCACCAAAACTATCGTCAGCGACAAATCGATATCAAATTAAAAGCAATTGGGAGCTGACAAAGACGAAAATGTTAAAAAAAAAAAAAAAGGAATAGGACAAACAATTGGAGAAAAACACAGTGTGCAAAAATATATCATGTGAGTTACTTCGGAATATTGAAATAGTCCCAGATTACGGTACGGAGCTAAAGTATATACTGGTGAAAAGTTTGATTTAAACTACTTGCGTCTTTTATACACTAACCTGATTTCCTTTGACTTTGATCAGCTCTTTCGTCCTGTCCACAATATAGAAGTATCCATCATCATCGTAATACCCAACATCACCAGTATGCAGCCACCCATTAGAATCGATAACTTCAGACGTTGCTTTGGGGTTATTTAAATAGCCCTTCATTATCTGAGGACCTTTTACAAGAAGTTCTCCTGGTTTTAATGGTTCTGTGATATCGGTTCCGTTTGTTAAATCGATTATACGAGCTTCCGTTGATGGAACTAATTGTCCACAACTTCCTACTTTAGAGCTCGGCATTGATTGGGGCGTGTACAGAGTTACAGGACTAGTCTCCGTCATCCCATATCCTGTAAAACAAAAATTGCCCCAATCTTTAGAAGCATTTTTCTATATTGATAGTATTAACCATTAGCCATATAGCCTGTCGGCAATTCCGAAAGACATTTCTGTAGTTCGGAAAAATTAAAGATCCCCATATCTCGCTGGGCGAACTTTAAAATCGCTTGTAACTGACATAGCATGGAATGTTTGTGACTAAAAACTTACAATGTGTATTGTAGCGTACCTTGATTAATAACACAATCATCGTGATTCAATTTCTGTTTGAATTTGTCGATTAAATTCTTACTAGCAGGTGCAGCGCCGCACACGATTCTCTTTATGCTATCTAAACGTTGAGGTGTAACTGACGGATGAGTAGCTAAAAACAACAATAACGATGGTACAACGAAGAGAACCGTTGGTTTGTACTTCTCCAAACATTGCAGATAATCTTCAGGAGTAAATCTCGGCATCGTAATGATATGTCCACCGTGGTAAATAAGAAAATTCAGGATCGCATTGAAGCCATATATGTGAAAGAACGGAAGAACCGTTAAAATGGTTTCTTGAAACCCTTCGGACGGCGATAAGACATTGGTCACTTCTGGATGGGAAACTTGCATTAAGTTAGCTACTAAGTTCTTATGGGATAACATTACTCCTTTGGGTAGACCCGTTGTTCCAGAACTGTAAGGTAGCACTGCAACGTCTGTACTTTTCACTTCTGGCAGAGTCACGTCATAATTCTCAGCCAATAGGCTCTGCATACCTAAAACACTACCCGACATAAATGTTCGTTTTCAAAATATGACCAAATCATGAATATGCAATAAATGGTCTGCGCATTCTTATCTATTGTATGTAGGATAGCATGTCCAGGCGAAGGTTGAAAGCACCAATAATGCTGAAGCGCATAAGGGTGAATAACACCCAAGACAAGGGAGAGAGTTGACACAGCCCGTTAAGGTGAAATGAAACCCTCTTCAAATCAGTCGATTCGAATACAACACTTTTTTTTAAGGGTATTGGACCAAACTGTCCGAAACTTTGACACATGACTCGTGATCATCTAAGAATTATCCTGATAAATTCAAATTTTGGATTTTTGGAAAAAAATGTCTACCTTAGCCCAGACCAGAACCAAAATGGCGTCGAGATCTCATATTTCGATCCATATACAATTATCGAAGGCTCTGATATGAGAAACGAAAGGGTCAGGACAATTTTACGACAATTTAGAACACTCTAGTAATCGATAAACTCGCATTTGAACGTGATAAAGGGAAAAAAGTGTTTTATGAGCTTCTATGCTAAAACGATGGGAATGCGAGGTCTCGGAGTGAAAATTTAATTGCCCTGGAAATCACAGATTGCGCAGGGGGTCCCTCTGCAGTCAGTTAGGGCCCCTGAATCCATGAATCCGGGGGATTTCTGGAGCTTTTCTTCGATTTCTTTATAATTATTGTACGAAAACGACTGGTGGAGTGTGTCATTTAGTATAATACCCAATATAATTCGACACAACTGCCAATATAAAAACGAACGTTGGCAACGTAGGTATTTATAAAAATCTTCTTCATCGACGTCGATCAAGTTCCTCAACGTGTTTCATTTCACCTTAAGGTAATACGAAACTAGCCTCTGAATCAGAAGAATATTTATAAAACGAAAGAAAATTCGTAATTTTACAAAAGCTTTCGCTTAATAGAAGTCCGAATTGCTGTAGTTCCCCTGTATATTAGAAGAACGATTTCAAATATTTTTCTTCCGGTGGCCAGCATATTATCGGAGATGTTTCACGCAATTATCCAAAACAATATTCCGTTGGCTGTATAAAGATTCTGCATATCATACCGAATATTAGATTACCGATATAATCAGGTATCATTAGTAATCCAACACTCGCCATGATGCACAACTTCGTCGAATAAATGTTTACGTCTGGACATGAACGCGTACTTTACGTACTGAAAAATGTATTTAAGGAAAATCTCTTTATTGCGCATTTTATCCTCACTTTTTATCGGGCTCAGTATCTCCCCCGATGCTGATGGTTTGCGTATAGTTCGGCAAGTTTCTCATTACTTTCAATGCTGTCTCGAGTAATTGCGGAACTGTGATAATGCATTTGACTTCCGCGTTCTTGAACTGTCTGACCAATTCTTCAGCAGTGTACAATGGGTTGGCAAATGTGATAGTGAGGCCTGCCTCTGCACAACTGTGTACCGTAATCAAATATTCCGGAATGTTCGGGAGAAGTAGGCCCACTCGGTCCCCGGGATTTAGGCGAACTCTCTCAAGGAGTGCTTTTGCACCGCGGTTGTGCAACATCTTAGCCATCCCGTAGGTGTAAAACCTCCCAGTGACCCCACATGTCTGTGGAAAATAAATGAAAAGCCATTTAAATGACCTGTGCCCTAACGCGAATACGTCTTATCGACTACGTCATAATCGGTATCCGCAAACCTTTGAACTCTACATATGTGTATTTATCGCTAATAAAATCGTAAACGAGTTGAATGGGTCATAAGCCCTACAAGTACACGTTAGGAAAGAATATTGACTGGTTTTGTTATGTCTATTGTTTCTGATTGTCATCGAAAATGTACAGGGTGTTTTAGAATGAATGCTCAATAAGAAGCGGACGCAGTTCTTGATAAGAGATGGGTTAATAAAAGCGCAAACGAAATCTTTCCTCAGTACGTGGGGCGCACGGCGTGGGTTTTTTAAAAGGAACAATGCGATCGAGTATTTAACACATTCGCGACTGGCAAATTTGTTCCATTTCAAATACTGAGTACCGGGGAAAATAATGACATTCTGAAACTGGTTGCCGCTAACTTGTATCGTGTATCGTTATGGACGTGATTCACGTCAGCGGCAATCAGGAATAGAATTTAAAATGACGTGAATTCACGTCAGCGGTCGCGAATGTGTTAAGGTGATGTGAAAGTGACGTCGAAGGGGTTTCGTTTATAAAACTTTTCTCTCTATTCGGTTAACCGAATGGCTTGAAACTTTTCAACGTGAATAGGGAGACTATAAGGAGGGTTCTTAAACTCGTGAAATTTCAATTCTTTTCAAATTTGTTTATAGGTATTTTAAAAATATTTTAGAAAAAATGAAATTTCTCGAGTTTCAGGACCTACCTTAGAGTCTCCATATTCACGTTTTAAAGTATGAAACGATTTGAGACACCCAGTTTGTTGAAAAGTTTTATGAACGATTGAGCTTTCGGATGCCGCTTTCACATCCCCTTAAGGTGAGTTGCGCAGGGTCAGTCGAAGCTCGACCGCCGTCACAGAAGCGAAAATGAGGAAAAAGCTTGCCAAAACCTCAACAATGCCTATCGTCGTTACCGTTATTATCATTAGTAATAATATTGATATTAACATCGGTTATTTACCACTGCTGGCAATTCTTCCCACTTGGCTGAACGGGACCACACAAACTGGCTTAACGTTTGATCCGGTATCGTGACGTTTCCAAAGGGGCTTTTAATAACAGCAGTACTATATCTTCTGACGTATGACCTTGAAAATCCACGCATGGCCATTTTGCCACGCATCGATATCTCACGAAGGATTATCATAGCTACCGAAAACTTTAAGCGGTATATTATCTAAAAGTAATCTGCATAGGTATTAACAATATGTCAAAGACGTCTCAAAACATTAAGTTCGACCCTGTTGCTGCGTTATCAAGGAATCGCTGCACTATTTTCAATTCCTGCTACTTGTCACTAAATGTTCCCCTTTTTTAATTATGTTATCTCGAAGTACGTATATTATGTTAAATGACAGCACATTATTTTTCCGTCCACGTTCAGCAGTGGTTTAATTCAAACTGCCGGAGCAATGCATCATATAAGTTCTGGTGGCGGGAATACACCACTAATAAGGTTGCGATACGTGTTTAAGAAAATTAGAATTAGCAAATATCTTATCAATGAGATCTTCATGGTTCCCGCATTCAAAGTCCAAACTGCAAAATAAGCATGACGGACAACTGGATTTGATTCATAAACAAAAACAGCAGTCAAGTACTTGAAAAGCATGCATTACCGCTCATAAGCATTTCGCTTTATTTATTTCTATTTCTATATTACTGTAAATAATACCGTAGCAAATATTAAATGAAATATACTCCGAGTAGTCAAACTAATAAAAAGCCCCGTCATCTATTTCCTAACTAGAGACTTATTCAATTTATTAGGTGAGAAATTAATTTCGCAAGATGGCGTGTATTCATCCGAGACGATTCATTTTCCGTGCTCCTCGCTGATTTAATTACAATTATAATCATTTCTAGCACTTCTTTTCTTTATCTGATTAACAAATTTCCAAATATGTATATACTGATCCCTCGCTTTACGATGATAAGTTGTATCTGATTAAGTAACGATTAAAATATCTTCCCTCGTACAAAAAACCGTTAGTAATATGTATAGATTTAGTAACGAGCGATTATGCCACAACACGTATATAAATATTGTATGCGATCTTTAACTAGGATTTTCTTATGATTTGTCATTTTACACATTAGCCGCATTTATTCGACCGTTAATTATACATTAAACATCATGATCCTCATCCAAGAAGCGCTCGTCATCATTATCGTTTTCCAATGACAGATTCCAAGGCTCTTAGAGCGGAATGATTATTTATCGCTTCAGCTTAAACTACTCAGAGATTGATGCAAATTCGTTAGTTTGTTTAGCACTGATTAGAACCAACATGATGTACGTCATCAACGTTGTTAAAACTCGTGTCCACTGCCAAGTAACTTTCGACATTTCTTTTTAGAGCAGCTTGAATGTGCGTGTACACATCCAATAAAAATTTCCGCTCGTTCGCTTCCAAAATCCTCCATACTACCAGCATGAACTATTTGAGAGCAGCTCTCACAAGTTTTACTTGCTCGTGGATACGAGTCTTTAGACCCTCTTTCCCCCATCATATGGGAAAAAAAAAAGGTTGTGGTTTCGAGAAAAAATCAAAGTCAATTTCCGCGGTAACGTGTTTCCTCTCCCCAACAGTTGCACTTTCGCGCAATAGATCGTTCGAGATAGGCGCTACGCCCCCCCTCCCGCAAACTAACCTAAACCACACATTACTATATTCGTCAGATAATAATTCCTGACATTGATGAATTCCGACGACGGGATTCATCGGTACAACTTAAAAAGTTGGAATATTTTCATAAAACGTTTGCCGATATTAAGAAAAGAAAAAGGAAAGGAAACCGAAAAGGAGGAAAGGGAATGTAATTTAATACATCCCCAATAAGTCGTGTCACATCAAGAACCAATGAGAAGAAATCATAATTTCTGACGATCAGTATGAATAGTTCTAATTGATCGCTGTCAATTGGTTCACGCATAACCATCGCAAACTGCCTACTCAAATTGACATATTTAAATCTTGCGCCATTTTTGATATGGTAATATAGCTGTCCCTCTTGGGTCGTTGCTTCACCCCCGTGTCTAAATTACCATCTGTGGTATTCCCTCTATTTCTATGCCCGTGGATTTATCCAATCCGTAATTGAATAAATACCGACGATGGAGTGGCTATGTTTCCATCGCCCTCGAAATCCGGGATTTATCGGGTCCACACCCAGTAAATCCGAATGTACGCTTCACTATTTCGCTAAAAAATTTGTATCGAGCCAGTTCACATGAATGGTCTCGCATTTTCACCACCAAAAACGTTCCGTAATACCGGAGCTACTCATTTTTCACACTTTCGCTCGATTTGCTTTACGTAATAAGCCCCCTGCTTTGAGTTCTGTCCATATATTCTTAGGTCCATGTCTAACCATGTCTAACCGCCTTACCTCTTATCTACTCTTACCTATGTCTCCTTCATTCCAATAAGCTGTATGTTAAAAACTATGCCTTGTAAATAATTATGTTTATTTGTTAAACTTTATATGTAGTATAATTCAGTATTAACTGTTTTACAACATATCTTAATATATCGATAACTCGGATTGGTATTGCCTCACTTGGAATTCAGAGATTTTAATTATTCTTGATATTGCAGAAGATAAGTTTATAATTATCGTAGGAAAGCATTTGAGTGTGTATCGAGTATTGCATGCGTTTATCATGTCTGAGGATTTATTACCGTTGTTTTTATCTGGTAAAGTCGTGAAAGGATTTGGCAGGGGGTCAAAAGAATTAGGAATCCCTACCGGTAAGTTATGAGAATAATGTATGAATAATGGTATCCAATGAAAGTGAAAAGAGCCTTTTAAACATGAGATTTATTTCATGTCTTGTACAGAATACCCTATAGTATATAACGTGAATTTGCTTTATAATTTACTCTAAAAAAGGAAGTTATTTATATTGAACGTATGGACAATCAATTAATGATGCTATATACAATGATGTGTGCCGTGCATTGCAAATTCATTTTTATGAAAATATCATTCTTTCAAGTTTACTTAATAGCTCTACGTTGAAAGTAAATTACAATTGAATTGTTATTATTTACAGCAAATATATCGGATGATGCAATTAATAATTTACCTGAAGAACTTCAATTAGGGGTCTACTTTGGGTGGGCCTCGTTAGAAAATAAGGGTATCTTTAAAATGGTTATGAATATAGGCTGGTGCCCATATTACAAAAATGAAAAGAAATCTTTAGTAAGATGAAAGATCGATCTTTGCTACTTTAATATTTTTATTAATTTATTTCAAATAAACATACAAATTATTTTGCTTAAGGAAATCCACCTTCTTAATTTTTTTGATGACGTCTATGGCAAGGAAATTAAATTCATAATAACCGGCTACATACGTCCGGAAAAGGAGTTTTCTTCCATTGGTAAGTGTCAATTTAAAGTGAGAATCATTAAAAGATATCGAAATCACTTTTTAATAAGGAGGATATTAAGTTTTATTTAAAAAATGTGAAATTATGTTACAGATGAGTTGATAAAAGAAATACATAATGACATTAAGATAGCTGATGAAAAGCTTAACGATCCAAAGATGATTGCATATCGAGATAATCCATTTTTATGAGTGTAACTTTATATCGGTTGGAAGTTTTAATATGAAATAAATATGTTATGTTAAATTTGACTTTTTAAAAGAATTGGAAGAAATATTATAAACATGTTAAATTTTATATATTTATATACAAGCTTATTGTTCCTTTCTGGTAATTATTTCAACTCTAGAAATTATTTGTACTATATACCAGGTGGTGGAGGCGGTGGTTGCATCCATGTCGCTCTACTTCCCGAAACTCCTGGGTGTGGCCATGGTGGAGGTGCATATGGGAACTGTAGAAGTGGTAATGGACCACGCATCCTAGAGACAAGTGTTTATATTTTTAATCTCATCAGTTCTGTCCAATCAGAAAAGAGTAGAGAGGGAAAGAGAGCAAAGTTATATTTTAGGAAGACTGTGATTTCATTCATTCAAGCTATTCAAAATACATCCTGTACAAACATTACTGGGTGCCAAGTTTCCCTGCTTCCAGCTCTCGTAAGTGTGAAAATGCACATAGAGAAAATGATGTACCATCCCCCCTTAAACACGTTATCACACTTTCATGTTAAAAATGAATTACAGAAAATAATACAAGTATTTTTTCTCGATATACCGAAATGAAGTCGACAGTGAATGCCTGTAGAGAAAATATGAGATAATACTAAGACAGGTCTACGTACTGTGGCTGCATAAGCATTGGCCGAGGTGGATAAGGAAACATCCACCTATTTTTGTCTACTGGTTGACTTCGATGCCATGAATCATCCTGACGATCTGTATCATTCCGTACACCATGGATGTCTTCATTTTCACTGTAGTCATTGCGCCTATTTCTGTCATTATTTGAACCTTTACTACTACTGTTCCATGGATGATTGGATTGCCATAAGGTATTGGAACCTAGAAATGGAAATTGTATAATAATTGAAGATAGGGTGATTACTGCTGAATTTAAATAATTCACCTGTGAATCGTTTCCGTTTACGCATTTTATGATTCTTTTCAGCATTAGGCATTTCATTCTTCTGTTCCTGCTTCACTTTTTCATAGTAAGCTCTCTCTTCTTCATCATCGGAAAACTCAAGAGGCTCATCTTCTCCAATCGAATCGGTTCCCTTTACTCTAAGAAAGAAAAGTTTAACCCCTTTTTTTAATAATTGTACTTATTGAACCTTTGCTCTTTTTTTATCTAACTAGACGTATATACTAGTACTAGATATATTTTACTTTTCTTACTTTAAAAGTTCAGTCATAAACACCAAGGACGTGTATGGTGTGTTTGGACAGTAATATACCGTCATGCCAACTTTTATATCAGACTCTTCAACGTGTTTAGAATTATTGAAGCGGACACAGTAATGAGGCTCGGACACTTGTCCGAACACATCAAATATTCGGCCAAGAACTCGACGACCTTTCTCCACAAATAATAAACTATCAAGATTCAATGTTGGCTTCTCGGCTTTAGGGCGAACAACTACCATTTCGTTAACAATCCAACCTACCTGTAAAATATACATTTATTGGCCAGTTTAACACATTCAATGCCATGCATGGCGTATGCTAAATTAACTCATGGATAATAACATTACTACCTCTCCCAGGGGATCACAGATGACTTCTGGTACGCTGATTTTCAATTCCTCTATTGGCGGAAGATCATCAAATTCGTACTTCTCTTTTTTTCTTTGTAATACTTCAGATGTATTATTCCTTTTACAGCTTTCGGGAAATCGTTATTTTTTTAACAATTGCACAAACAATAGTTTTCAAAATAATACAATGATATTAATAGATGCAATCTAGATGCGTGTAGTGACTGAACTCGATAGAATTAACAATATATGTTATTAATTCTGGTTTAAGAATAGCAATGTTTTACCTATTGACACAATCATCCTCGTTACTACTTTTTTCCGATATTTCATCATCCTCTGTATCTGATGAGCTTTCCTCGTCGGAACTGCTTTCACTTGAAGATGTTTGATCGGTTGCCAATCGATAATCTTTTGAGGGCTTTAGACATTCAACCGTTGTACATTCCTGTGTTTGATCTGATTTTGAGTCCGCTTCGGATTCTGATTCCTCTGTGCCTGAATCACAATTGTTATATGCTATGGCTATGGCACTTAAAGATGACATCTTGCTGATAAAACCTAAAATTTCATATTCGACTCAATAACAATGTTAAAAATATAAGTACCCAGTAATTCCATCATTTTCAGAACCGTCTTAATATAAAGGGTCACCATAATCGATCGACAATTTAAAACAATATATTGCTAGTAAATTCTGCTTATATATCAAGTATAATTATTAACACAATGTCATGAAACAAAATTGCTATTCTAATACATTAAAACAATAATGTATAAAATGAAAAATGTAGAATCCATTTTATATTGCACCTTGCACCAAAATGTCATATCTTTGGATTTTGTTAAAAAATATGTGTGGGTTCCCTTCTTGTTTAGTGCCTTTTTCAAATTACTATTACAATATTAATATTGACAATGCATGCGGCGACTGACAACAAAAATCTTAATATTTCTTGTATCTATACATGCCTAATTATTCAGCCACACTCAAGCAATTTTTGTAATGTATTACAAACATATATTCAAACTAAATGATACTCATTTTAGAGATAAAAACTGATCGCTTGATCTACTTGAGAGCAATTCAATGGCTTAAATGTTGATAAGTGTAACAGCACATTTTCATATACTTTTAAGCACGTGTTTTTAAGTATACACATAGATGCTGGTATACAAGGATTACGTCTTCATCGCATTCCTCAATCCGGGATTAATCGGGATCCGAATTCAGTAAATCACATGTGTCCATCGCATTGACTACGTCTCCACCGCACTCCTCAATCCGGGATTAAACGCAGAACGAATTTCTGGTAGGGGCTCGCGCACTGGCGATGGTGGTGCCATCTATCAGTTGCCGTTAGCGGCTCACGTACTTGTGATGGTAATACCATGCGGCAGTTGACGGTGGTATGTACGCTTACGGACACTGCTCGCTTTTAATGGTAAGGAGGAACACTCGTGGTGCCCTCTTTGACTTTACCCTTCACTTACCTTATTTATTTTATCCGCAAATGATAAAGGCAAAACTACACCGTGGGTGATCGAGAGTTGAGTCGTACTTTATATACAATGTTTAAAAGCTACGGATATTAATAAAAAAATGATGAACGTTTCCTAGAGAAGACATAAAACCTAGATGGAAGGAGATACCCAACAACATAGCTTGACGTAGTCGGTATGACGTCAGATGTAACGCACGTGTCGCAACTTCAAATTCTGAAGGAAGGGAAGGGTGGGTACGGTTTTTTACGCACATTTTTTTCGTCACTTATTGTGCGATAATTAAAACGTTCACCGCCATAGTGGTCACCAGTGAACGACAATCGCTTTGCACAGGTAACCACGTGTAAAATGCGTTAGATGTTATGAAACGTTTTCCGTGTTTTTATGACTAGTAGCATCCTAATATTTGTCGAAATAATATAGATTTTGACGACGATTAATATATGATAATTACAATAATGTTATGTATCTGCATTACATTGTAATAATGTCATTCCAAATATAATGTTGCGCGATAAATGTAATTTTGCACTCCCTTCCTATCATTTATGAATAATATTTAATTATTCCTATTTCTCTTTACATGGATATGGAATTTCATTAAAGGAAAAGAACATGGAAAAGAAAATAAAGATGAAAAGAAATCCACCGAACCCAACGAGTCGGAAATCGAACACGTCTAAACGTTACTTGTCGCGTTCAATTACGTTTATTGAGGCTGCGTGTTAACGACCTTCTCGTTATTTTAGAATCTTTGAACATTGGTGGGATGCAGGTCGATAGGTCACTGACCTGCAGATAATGCATCATTCCACTTCCGGGACTTGCAGCGTCAGCTGTGTGCTGTTGTTCTCGCATGTGCATAAAACGTCATTCCGTAATAAATCATTTACATAGTGAAAATGCATAACAATAGTGTACATGTACTTATACATATAAGCACATGTGAACACATGCCAAACAGTCTGTCTACAGATATTTTTCGTTACACCTACAATTTTTTAATACTTTAAATATACCAGATTCATCGCTATTAATATTAACACACGTTTCTAGCTACGGTTACAGCTGACTTTTACAGAAATGCTTCTGCTACCTGTACGTGTAAGAAAGTTATTTTAGTTATTTATTTACCTATTTTTCTCCGTGTACAATTACTGTCTTTATATTTACTTCTTGTGTTCATTTCTGTCAGCCCTACAATTTATTTCCTGCTGATAACAATTATAAATCTATGTTAACAAGAATATTTTCTCTTCTGGAAAGAGATTTTTTCGTTCAGTGGTTAATAATCAAAGAATCAGGACCCAACTTTGACCCGAGCAATAAACTAGAAGTAATTGACAGTGTCTTTTAAGTCGATTATTATAATGAATTATTGATGACATATATATGAATGATTATTATAATAAATGAAAAGAGTTGGGACTACTCTAACAGTTGGCAACTGGTGGTCCAAAATAATCAGTAACGGTTTTCAAGGGTTATTCACGAGGTCAAGATAGCGAGTAATCCATTTAAAAATAATTTATTTGGATAAAAATATTCTGCCGCATAGCATTCAATTTAATGAATTAATTGGTTTACTTAAGCTTATCGCTTAATTCTTTTTCATTATAAAGAAACCTCGTAATCCATTCCTAATCTATTACCTAATCATTGGTGGCGTGTTAACGCGCTAATTAGTTGATTATTTAATTAATAACTCATTCCAGGACAAAATATTCGAATTATTGTACTCGGATTGTTGCTCCCGATCAAAATACTGGAGCCATCAACTCAGTGTTGAGTAAATTATTTGCGGAAATTGTCAGCGGCGAAGGGGTTATTAATTCTAATATCTTCCTTACACTGAGTAAATACCGACATCTAAATCTAACCTGATACGAAATACCAATACTTTAACGCATTATTCTTAATTCTTCCACAAATTATCCCTCACAAAAACACTACCGAAATTTAAAGTGGAAAACGTGCTTCTTCGAATTTAACGCCTTAAGAAGACATCCTAAAGAAAGTCTGTCACTTGAGATATTTACCGAAGTTTATAACAAAATATATAGAAAATATTCTATGCTACCAGGGTAGTGAGTAAAAATATGCTTTATTTAATAAATTTCCTTCCTTTCGTTGCACGATTATCCTAGAATTTCCTCTTCCCGCCCTTTCTTCGATTTAAAAGTTTCACTTCCAACGCCGCGCTTGGCGTAGCCATTTTGTTTTTCATTTCAAGGAAGGGCACCGAATCTCTTTAACATTCAAAAGACACTACCACGATCGATCGAGTTAGCATCTTTTATGTGCGGATGCAAATAGTAATCGACTGGCAAAATATTCGATCGCTCGAACGACCCTCGCTTTGACCTGCCCCGACGATATTCCCGCGGCTATCAGTATTTTCAAGTAGCTTCTTGTCTCCGACCAATCAGCAGGAAGCCTCGTTAAAAATTCCTCGCCAAAGCGCGCCCGAGAGGAAGGACGTCTGCAGATTTCTGCGTATATATTGCAGTTTCGGTGCAGTGTCGCCCCTTCGAGAACGGTCACAGTCAGTTCGGACATTCGATTGCACTCGGGATTTTTCGGAAAAGTTACCGACCCTCTTACTCAGTCGGTCAAAATGGAAATCTTCAACACCTCTGGGATGGAATCGCTGCAGACATTAACTCTGGAGCAGATTTTGGAGGACCACGTACCGGAAGGCTTACTGAAGGAGGTTAAACGTTTGCTTTACGGCAGAGAAGTAGAGTAAGACGTGGCATAATCTTAAATATTCTTCACCATTTAAATCGCATTCGATGCGTGGGTTTAATCTTCCTAAACTTAATACAGACGGTTTTAGATAAACATGGACCCATCCGGAAATGATAATCAAAACGTCAAAATTGAAAAAAAATGAGTTTATCAGTTATTTCACGCCACATTATTTCAAACGAAATTAATTCAATGTAATTTCGAAACAAAAAATATATGACTTAGACCACTTTCATAATTATGGGCACATATATGTATGTAGGATGATTATTTCATTTCACCTTAAGCTGGGGTTCAAGACATTTTATCTAAGCTTTTCCTAACAGCGCCAGGCTACGACCTACATAACATTTAATTGTGAACTCAATTTAATTATGTCTAGACCTTCCTTGTCAAAGCCAAGCTAGGCCCTAAGTAAGACATGGTAATGTATTCCAGAATATTCTTTTTGGCTGACGTCAAGTCAAGATCTAGTCATGGTTTAAGTTGACATCTGAAGAAAATTTTATTTAGGCTTTCCCTATAGGTGCCGTAAATACCGTTTCTTGATCTTAGGGCCCTTGATCTCCCACAATTTGGAAAAGACGTGCAATGCGAACTCAAAGGATACAGGATGGGTGGCGCCCTGAAGGAGCAACTCCGACCACCACGAATCGTCCGTGTAGGAATCATTCAAAATTCCATCGTCTTACCCACTACGGAACCCGTTCGTGACCAACGAGATGCAATACAGAAAAAAGTTCTGAAATATGTGGAGCACGCTGCGCAATGTGGTGTCAATATCGTTTGCCTGCAGGAAGGCTGGAGTAAGTCTAGTTTATATTCTATTTTAGAAACATGTACAATTTGTTATATGTATAGCCATTGCGACGGGAATTCTTCATCCCCTGTCTACAAACAGTCGTACGCCCGGAGTAATGTCATTGGCAGGAATTAAATCCGAACTTCGGCCTGTTCGGAATTCTGTTTGATTTAACCCTTTAACTGGTTAATGCTCAAAGTCGCGTCAATACACGGGTTTCCGTAAGATCACCGAAGTTAAGGTGAAGTGAAACACGTCGAGGAACTTGATCGACGTCGATAAAGATTTTTTTAAATGCCTACGTTGCAGCTGTATCGAATTATATTGGGTATTGTACCAAATGGCATACTCCACCTGTTGTTTTCGTACAATAAATATCAAGAAATCGAAGTAAAACTCCAGAAATCCTCTGGATTCGTGCTTTATGGGGCCCTAATTGACTGCAGAGGGACCCCCTGCGCCATCTGTGATTTGCAGGTCAATTAAATTTTCACTCCGAGACCTTGTATTACCATCGTTTTGGCATAGAAGCGCATACAACCCTTTTTTGGCTTTATCCCGTTCAAATGCGAGTTTATCGAATACCAGAGTGTTCTAAATTGTCGTAAAATTGTCCTGACCCTTTGGTTTCTCATATCAGAGCCTTCGGTAATTGTATATTGATCGAATTATGAGAGCTCGACGGCATTTTGGTTCTGGCCTGGGCTGTTAAAAAATTTTTTCCAAAAATCCAAATTTTTAATGTGTCAGGACAATTCTTAGATGATCAGGAGTGATGTGTCAAAGTTTCGGACAGTTTGGTCTTTTACCCTTAAAAAAAAGTGTTGTATTCGAATCGATGGGTGGGTGACCACCATCAAGGGTGGGGTTGACGAAAAAAATAAAAAAACATTTCATTTAAACGAACATTATAAGAGAAGGAGATAATTCAATGAAATGGATGATTAATTATACCAGACGTGACATACGTGACATGTACGATTATGTACAAATTATATGAAACGAATGTACATTTATTACAAGAGTTACAGCAGATATATGTAATAGAAACGCTTTTGAGACATTTCATCCCGTGAGACCATTCAAGTGATTGATTAACAGAGATTCCTATTGCATTCAACATTGACTTAATGAATCTGCTTCAGCACTTTTCAACCTCATATTAAAATAATAAAATTCCTTCCAGCAATGCCATTTGCATTTTGTACTCGAGAAAAGTACCCATGGGCCGAGTTTGCCGAGAATGCCGTGAATGGACCTACGACGGAATTAATGGCGAAGGTCGCCCAAAAACATAACATGGTCATTATTTCCCCCATACTGGAGAGAGACAGCATTAACGGTGACACTCTTTGGAATACCGCTGTAGTTATTGGCACCGACGGAAAAGTAATAGGAAAACATAGGAAGAATCACATTCCCCGTAAAAACGACTTCAATGAATCGACTTACTATATGGAAGGCAACACTGGCCATCCAGTCTTCGAAACGCCATTTGGCCGGATTGCCATCAACACTTGTTACGGCCGCCATCATCCTTTGAACTGGTTGATGTTCGGAATGAATGGAGCCGAGGTATTATTTCATTTACGCCCTATCTAACATCCAAAGGATACACAACAATCATTATTTTGTATAAAATATTACGTATAGTTTTTTTTTCCCGCCGCGCCGTGGGAATTACAATAACTAGGCAGCATTCATTTAGAAAGAAAACAGGAGCCTCTATAAAATGGTTAATTATTCATCTGAGAACACGTTTACTCGTTTTATCTGAAGTTATTCCCGTTTTTTATTTAATGCTGACCGGTAAAGGCTGGCGCACATATGATAAGAATGGAACATTACAGAGTTAGATGGGAAAATATGGAAAATACTTTTATAAACAGTTGTAAGACAATGCTGGCTTGTTCCGTAGGTAACGCGTGTTAGTAATACTTAGTAATGCTGACTTGTCCACCGTTGGGGAACGCGATTGATTGGCTGTGCTTCAATTAGTTATTACATTTTATATAGATATGATAGTAACAAATGTTATGTAACCTGTTAGCTCCATGTTACATAACTGTTAAGTTACTGCATTGTAACAAATGTCATGTAACTAGTTAGCTCTATGTTAAGTAACCGTTAGGTTATTACATTGTAACAAACGTTACGTTATTTGTTAGTTTTAAGTTACGTAACTGTTAGGTTTGGTGTTCACTGGGTATGTTACCCTTGAGTATTCAAAATGGCGTTACCGCCAAACAGGGTATAGATGAATTTTATATCATCGAGGTCGATTAAATTTCTCGGCGCCTTTTATGTCACCTTAAAGTTACTTAAACTCAGAATTATGGCGTTTTCAGATCGTGTTTAATCCTTCGGCAACGACGAGCGCCCTGTCCGAGCCTATGTGGTCCATTGAAGCAAGGAACGCTGCGATCGCGAACAGCTACTATACATGCGCCATTAATCGAGTGGGCACGGAGATATTCCCCAATGCCTTCACTTCTGGAAATGGAGCTGCCCCTCATCGGGATTTCGGCCACTTCTATGGTTCCAGCTACGTCACGGCTCCCGATGGTACCCGAACGCCCGGCTTGAATCGTCACCAGGATGGACTTCTTATTACCGAACTTGACCTGAACTTGTGTCGACAGATTAAGGACTTCTGGGGATTCCGGGTAAGAATAAGAGAGGTTGAAAGATGACTTTTTCCACAGTATTAGCAAGTTTTCATATATGCGGTTCAAGTGGCCTATACAGGATGAGGAAAAAGTTCCCGTTCAAGTAACTTGCGACACTTCTCGCTGGAGCACTTTACATTTACGGGTGCACTATCAATAAATTTGCAGGAAATTCTTGCCGCAAGCCGCTCTAGCAAGTACTTGCAGGACGACTTGTTAAAGCAGCTTGCTTTGGCGTTTACACCGTAGTCACAAACTAGCAGTTTCACTTGAACGCGAGATATTCGGTATCGAAAATGTAGAACGAAACGGTAGCTGCTGCAGTCGCTGCAGGGAGAAATAAACATAGGTTTACAGTATTCGTTTGCATAAATACAATTCCAAAATCTTGTATAATTTCAAAAATTATAGAACAGAAAATAACTACCGATCGGCAATAATGTCCCAGCGCATAATTACGTAATTCGTTTGAAACGTAACGTTGTAAACAGTATTTTATTTGAACGCCTCCCGTGTTAAATGTTATTTATATACTTTTATGTGTGTACATTGCATGCAGAAAAATGTCCTTCCAAAACATTTCTATTGGCAATTTATGTAAACCCGGTTTTGTAATCATATCATATCCTTTTAAGGACTGGCGCCTATTTTACAGCTCGTAGTGGGAATGTTTAACGTTATTTTTCCTCCGTATGCTTAGAGACTCATTCTTTGGTCTGACGTTTTTCCCCTATTCTATTTCACAGATGACCGCAAGACTGGATATGTATGCAAAGGAACTCGCTCGAGTAACGCAACCAGACTTTGTTCCCCAAGTGCTAAAACAATAATTTAATACATTTAAATTTATGGCGTATTCGGTCAAACTGAGGTTTCTTAGTGACATGCTTGATTTATACCTTTTTTACCTCCTTATGGACCACGCCCAAAGATGTACTATTACATACGGTAATAAAGTAACATAAGACATAGCTATTTTTTACATTAGATTTCCCTACAAGTTCAATTTATCAAGAAACTTATCAAGAAAATGGGTAGAACCGGACGTTCCTTGTGCATGAGAATTCACCCCGGATTTTCAAAATACGTCTCGAGTTTGAAATAATTTAATGTAACTCGTAGAAGTAAATGTGGCAAATTAAAATTACACGTTACACTGTTAAAAATATCTGTTCGACATATAGTATACATTTCAAGATACAATATCGTTTAATTTCTACTACAATTATGTTCTGGGTTATAGGATACGAATATATGAATTTCAGAGGACATGTGTACTAAATTTCGATATCTGTTGTATACTGATTTACGATCACTTGCACATACACAATTGTATCCATTTTGAGAAAAAACGCGTTGTGGTACAGTTATTAATATTTGTACCGATTACATTTCTCGACCTATTGTTTTGTCCAACATTTTAAATAACTTTGTAATTATACATACATACATACATACTTTTGTACTCGAAAGGTAGTATACATTTGTTCAATTTCCATTTCGAGTACCGCTGTTTCTAGGTTTAGTATGCATTTGGATTAGAAAGTATTCATAACATCGAAACATTTTTAACAGTGTTCCCTTTGAAAGTTTTGAAATACATAATAATTAAACATAAGCAGGTTACACGTATCCCTTTTTACATCGTCAATTATTATAGAGACTCGATTTTGGATCGACAGAAATGTTTCTGCTACCTATACATGTAAGGAAATAAAAATTAACAGGATTAATCCGTTAATAGGAGAGTTTTTAACCGTATTAAGGTGAAGTGAAACACGTCGAGGAACTTGATCGACGTTGATAAAGAAGATTTTTCTAAATGCCTACGTTGCCGACGTTCGTATTTATATTGACAGCTATATCGAATTATATTGGATATTGTACCAAATGGCATACTCCACCTGTCGTTTGCGAACAATAAATATCAAGAAATCGAAGTAAAACTAGAAATCCTCTGGATTCATGCTTTCTGGGGCCCTAATTGACTGCAAAGGGACACTCTGCGCCATCTGTGATTTCCAGGTGAATTAAATTTTCACTCCGAGACCTCGTATTACCATCGTTTTGGCATAGAAGCGCATACAACACTTTTTTTGCCTTTATCCCGTACAAATGCGAGTTTATCGATTACCAGAGTGTTCTAAATTGTCGTAAAATTGTCGAATCGACTGATTTGAAGGAGGTTTCACTTCACCTTAACCATATCGTGAACAATAATTCCCAACAGATAGGCTTCCGTAACTTTAAGACTCATCATTTTCTCCGTGCATGTTTGAACTTGCCTCAATTCGACATTAGAGGAACGGAAAATGTTACGTAAAGGTCGTTAAATATAATGTCAAATCAAATGCGTACCTAATATAAAGATATATTATATACACTGCTTACATGTTATAACAGTGTTTCTCAACTTACAGTTTATCATTCTACGTTGGTACCTGACTAAATAAAATCGACGATTGATACAAAACTATTACCGAATATTTTAACTATCGAGAAGTATGAAAGAGCAACGGCACTTTAACATATTGCCGGTCTTTTCTGAATACTTAATTCGCCTTTCAATGACAGGCGACCGATATTTCAAGGGCTTCAATATCCAAAGATTCGCGGATGAGAGATCTTGAATGTCGATTCTGCTTAACTTGAGAAAGAGCTTTCAAGCGAATATTTAAATGTATCTAATTAAACGATCGGTGGAAGTAATCTCTGAGTTGAGAAACACTGCATTCGACGCACATCATTGACATGAAATTTTAATATATTCTTTCGAGAGTTCGGTCTCTTCTGCGTTTTCGAGTCGCACGGTCGCAATCGGTTGTTTCGGAACGTTTTGACGAACCAACGTGTATACATTACATGTATACCATCGAGTATTTATACTTTATAAGGCTTATCGTTATCATTAACATTCATAATAGATTGCAGTAATAAACGAAACGAAGCGCCATAGAGTGAAATTTCACGGAGCTAAATCCGTTGAGTTTTATCGGTATGAAATTATTTCTCAGTCTTTAGTCGTTTCCACTGTACATTATAAATAAATTGACCGGATCGTTTTTTAATTGAGCTGCTTCCAATAGTTAAAATTGGTTAAAAGTTCCTGACGCACGAGGGACTTTCGCGTCATTTCGAAACTAAAGCATTGTACGTAATGACTCGGTATCACTTCCCATGATCCTATTAATAATTATCGATTTCCACGGCGGATAAACTCCTTCGGTACGATTTTCTTTATCGCTAAAACTTTGATTTGTATATGTTATGTTCTATGCAATCTATTCCGTTAAAAAATATTTCCAGTAGTCATATAGTTATACAGACCATGTTACTTGCCTTTACATATCCCTGTTGCACAAAATATCGAATACTTAATAGTAATGTACAAAAAGTATCTTAATTGAATTCAAAAAGCGATTCAGTACACCAGTAATTTATCTGCTATTTGGTGCGGGTGCCTTTTCCTGCAAGGAAAACGAACTCATACCTTACGTTTTTCGATTTCAACAACTGTACGTGCGTTTCAAGCAATGGCCGTTTCGAGTGCAATTAGGAAACCAAAAACGATCGCCTGATTTTCAATATAATTCAATGCAGCAAAAAAAATAACCACGCGAACCTTTTTGATTTCCGAATAAGCTATTAGTTCTCTTAGTACTCGGAGTGTTCCATGTCTAAACATTCTTAGATAAATATTATTTTACAATACTTTAATTAATCAGTAAATTCCGGAAGCATCCAGAATGAGTTTTTGGCAGTCAACGCGACGCAAATATAACACCACGAAATTTTTTCAATTGATCTTCTTGAAATCGATTGGAAGTGATACTTGGTCAGTCTTAAACCTTGTATACATGCATAAGGATCTTTGTTAATTATACAATCTGGGACCATTTTTACATTTATTCGGTAGTATAAAGAGAGATGATTTATTTTATAATAAATATTAATAATTTAGGGCATATACAATGATTATAATATAAAAATTTAAACGACGCGTCTTCATTCCAACTGGCATAGAGCTTTGCAAACCATAATTGTTTATAAAAATTAAGGATGATTCACCAAAACGGAACCCATAGCTTGGGCAAAGTAGTTATATCAATGTTTTCTCGTTTGGAAATTGTACAAAATATTTTATTTTATAGCTCGACAGTCCACAATTTTAATCGCATCGGTTATGTTTGTATAAACGATTAATCTCAGAAAAGAAATTGAGTGCCCGTGGTTCTATTGCCACCTTTTAGTTAATTACAATTATTTAAATATTGACTTTTTCTCAGTTATATTATTAATGTTCCGAAGTAAGACCAAGAAACGCGAAAGTGTGCATACCAATGAAGCGACCATAAAACTATATCTTTAATATCGACGGAACACTGTGAACAGGGTTCTGTGCAAGAATATAATTAACGACTAAGTAAATTAAAAAAAAAAAAAAAAAATCACCGTCCAAAAATTGTGCAGCTGTAAAATCCACGCAATCGTCCCACTTTTTTCAAGGTCGTAATTGACATAATTCTAGGATTTTTCCATCCTAGCAAGTTTCCTTCGTTATTGAAATCAGCGTTACAGAATATAGGTTTTCCTTGCAGGTAGCAACTAGATATGTACAATCAATAATTACTTAATATTTAATCGCAATGAAACGTTTAAAATGCTGGGAGACGAACGATTAATCGTACAAAATAGGTCTAATTACGCAACGTTAAATAATAATCAAATTGAATTTTGCCCACTTTTGCTAGTTAACACGTTCACAGTGGCGGGATCCCAGAATGTCCTCTTGATTGCCCAAGATTCTATTCAGTCAAGGCATACCAATTTTTCACTCCGAAGCGAACGTGTTAAAAATGCGAAATAACGATACAGAAACGGTATCGCGCTAAATGCCATGGACGAGGTCAATTGTTCGGCACAATACCTGTAATTTCAATACAGTTATCATATATACTGGAACAGTTCTTCGAGCTCAAAATAGTTGAGACGAATATGCCACTTTAAAAATAGGCAGCTGACCAACGCAACGCATAAAATCCACCATCTTTGGACTTGGGACTTCGTTATGGACCTACTGTTCCACCTACGTACACTGGCGGTCATGAACCTCTTCCCTTTGTGTACTCAGAGACATTTCTCATGTTAGAATAACACTGTGCATACAGTTGGCAATTTTAGGTTACACTTAATAAAATCCCAGGGACGGTTACAGAATTATTAGTTACGATCGCAATGGTTCGTACTAAAGGCTCGAGTCCACGTGCAAGATATTTGAGACACTTCCCGCTAGAGCGCGCTGCATTTGCGGGTACACTATCAATAAATTTCCAGCAAATTTCTTGCCGCAAGTCGATAAAGACAATTGGCATTACAAAGTCTAGGTTGTTAATGTACATTGTTGTCAAAACAAGCTGATGTTTCACCAAAGTTTTGAGTTATAACTAGAAATTCATCTGAATTCACATGGGCAGCGTCACATCCGCAGAAAAGGTATTTATGCCCGCAACTGTACAACGATATAAATGCCTTTCCTTCGTCCGCTGATGAACAAAATCCGTCAGTATACGTTTTACATATCCCTTTCGACTTCGTACAATTTCATTGATCTTCACACATACACGGTGTCCTACAATTCTACAAATCAGGACAAGTAGCGTAACTCTTCGTGAGAAATTAGTTAAATGTGCAACGTAAAGCTACTCGGTAATTGCACGCAGGATTGGGAAATCCTGTAATCGTTTGAGAGAACATTCTCTCGATGACTAGTCATCTCTCGAGTAAATCGATCGAATGCGAGTAACCTTATCAAACGATTACAATAAGCTGAAGCGCCTTGGCAAGTATTGAATTCCCAGGAGTATATATTAAGTAAAATAAGAGATATTTTACCGTCGGACAAAGTGTACTCCTACGAAATGTAAGAAGATACCCTAAGAAATGGCCATCTATCTGAAAAATTAAAAACTCCAACTGATATTTGTTTATACCTATATGATGGTAGCATCGGTGAACTAATATACTAAATTCTCTAGCTCAGAGAAAAAAGTTAATTTCACTACAAAAAGTTTCAGCGTCCTCTTTGAACCATGGAAAATAATTAAGAAATAGTTAATTTAATTAAATTGCTCTCTCAGTGCTATATCATTTCCCGGTCATATTTTAGCTCGAGAAATAACCAATCATCGAGGACTCTTCGACCAATTTATGAAACGACTGCCCCGATACTCCCAAATTCTGCGTAAACCCGCTGGTCGCACGTAAATCTCAGTTCGGCAATCACTCGTTAAGGTGATAAGAAAGTGCCGCCCGAGAGGTAGTATTAATGAAACTTTTCTCCGGATTCGGTATACCCAGTCGAATCGATTGAAGTTTTACCGCGTGAATACGAAAATCCTAAAGAAAGTGCTTACAGCCATAAAATTTAATTTTTTTTAAGTCTGTTTATAAACACCTTTAACATTTTTGATAAAACAAATGAAATTTTATGGGTGTCAGGACCTTCCTTATAGTTTCCATATTTACATTGTAAAGTTTCATACGACTCGGTACATCCAGTCCGGAGAAAAGATCCACGAACGATTGACCTCTCGGATGGCACTCTCACATCGCCTTAATTTCCTACGAAGAAAGAATTACGGAAAGTTCTGCATCTATATACTATCTGGATCTACAAGAAAAGCCCTTAACTGTCTATAGTTGCACATATACATCCGATCGAAGGCGGGATTTCTTAATCCGTACGAATGTTTTTAGGGCCAAGTATCGACGGTCCGCGTAATTATACATTACCGACCGCCAGAACAACTGCGGTTGAATAATTTATCACGTGGCCTTCACACACCGTTACGAACGATCCATAACGAGAGGGGAACATGGAATGGGGTATTAGCTAATAAAGTGTCTCGAAACTTTGGACGTTTGTTTGTACACCTTGGGCGGTCCTTGATACGGCGCGTTTAGGCTTCCGTCTCTCCTTTGAGCCTCAAACGAGCGAAGTCCTCGAAAATGATATCGTCGTCGCCCGTGTCGATTTCCCTGGAACGAGAAGATCAATATCATCGTGCAGATACTACGGGCGAGCCTTACTGTTTATAGAGTACGGAGTACATAGCGCTCTTATTACATGAACGAGGTGAGTCCGAAAGTTCAGGTTTATTGCAAATGATTCATCGGACGTAAATAGGGATCGACGGGGAAACTCGACGAATCCTTTATAATAACCCTGTACTTTGTACGCTAATTATATCAGCCCACCGTTCCCAAGTACATTGGGATAAACTGCCAAGAAAAAATATATTTGAATTTCCCTCCTTTTTGGTCCACGACTCGGGCCTGCACCACGGTTCATATTGGTCCTGCTTTTCGAGCTATCAGTAAAGTAGTGATAAGCAAAATCGCTCTTGGCCCTCGTTTTGCACATATGGTCAAATTTAAACTTTGATCTTTGTTTCGCCCTTTTTGCACCATAAGTCCAAGCGCGAGTTTGCTCACGATTAGAGTAAAATACATTTATGGAGAGAGAAAGATTAATCTTACGTGTCTAGTTGGATCAAATTCGTGCTAAGCGACACATCGCCATCGTTAGATGGATGCGTCGGGCTTTGTCGAACGGCAGAAGACGTTGGCATCTCTTCCTCCGGTTTAGGGTGCATCAAGATGAATGGTAACTCCGCGGCGAGCTCACTGCATAACACAATGGCAAATCAAATCCTCGAGTCAAACCAATATCAGACTTTCTATCCAAACAACGACCTTACCCTCCAAAAGGTCCTAGACATAGTTTCACCTTAACTTTGTATTGGACGATAATCCCTAAGTTCTCGCGCTGCGACGAATCCGCGACACTGTGACAAAGAATAACAATTAGTTCCAAAATATGTCGTAACTTTTATCATTATACTACAAAATATAGCATGCAATGTTAGCACAAAGCACAGCGGTTAGTATAGGCTAGAATTAACTTCCCATATGAATAACGTTAATAAAACTATTGACTTATGTTCCACTTATCGTATTAAGGGGATGTGAAAGTGCCATCTAGTGCCCATCTAGGGTATTAATCGTTCATGAAACTTTTCTCCTAACTGAGTGTACTGAATCGTTCCAAACATTCCAAACTTAACATGGGGATTATAAAGGTCCTGACACCCGTAACGTTTTATTGTTTATATAAAATTTGTTTAAATATGTATAAACAAGTTTTAAAGGAATAGAAATTTCACGGGTGTCAGGATCTTCCTTACAGCCTCCATATTCAGATTGTAAAGTTTGAAACGATTCGATACCCCCCAATTCAGAGAAAAGTTTCATAAACGAGACCTCTGTGGTACCACTTTAGCATCACCTTAATGCACACGGGATGTGCTACCGATATATCCTCCGTCCGCTAATATTATCATTCGGATTGTTTTATAACAATTCGAAGTTGTTAATGTCGGTGAAAAGAGAAATGCGATGCACGAATACTCGTTACCACATGCAGAAAAAGAAGAAAAAAAAAATTGCTTCGATCAACTTTTCGTCATTTTTGCCACTGTGGGAGGGTGGCACGACCGATTCCACTTAATAAATGCACAAACCGTGCATCCGATACGCGTGGCCAAAGTAAAGACAGAACAAGCGTCCGGAAATGTTAATGTCATCAAGAGATTCATGCAAGATCAAATGAGAGATGGCTGCGTTTTAATAATAACATGCACGAAGGTGTAGGTAACGATGAACGAACAGCGGATATCGTGTGGTCGTTACGAAGCGGATGTCACAATCGGAAGGAAGAGGACAGAGGGCGACATTTTCAATATAGTAATGACTTCCAAGAAATTAAAGTTTCCATTAGTATACATTTTACGAGCATTATAGAATGCTTAAATGGAGAAGCGAGAAGGTACACGCCGTGAAACTGATGGAGCGACTCGTGTGCATCGGGAGACATCAATGCCGCCCCATCCTGCACAGGCGATGCCGTATCTGCAGGGGAGGCATTCATGTCCGCCACTATGCACCAGCGGTCGTAACGGCTTCCCATCGTACATTGGCGACCCCATATCCTAGACAAACTGCAGGACATTAATCAGGGTGCAAATTTCGATTTGAACAGCTTCCCATCGTACATCGTCATTCGCGCAGCGATACCCGATTTCCATTAGTTCTTAGACCCACGAGGAGATATTTATCCCCGTCACTGTACGCCGATAGATATGGTGGTTCCATTGTACGATGGAAACGGATTTAAGCCCGTTTCATACAACGGTGGTAATCAAATGGCGTCAATGAAACTCGATCTATTCGAAAGCTCCCTAGCTTTGTAACGGGCATTTCGCAGTTTGCTATGTAATCTAGGCATTGCGCCCCTCGATGATAAAGCGAATAATGAAATCCTTTTAATCTTCCGATTATTCAATAATTTTATCCACTCTGTTCATGACTTTCAATGTACTTACAACTAGTATTCAATAAATATGGTGCGCTACTTCAGAGACAGGGGGAAATTGGTGACCAATGGATACCTCAGGTAATGGTAATCGTAAGCATAACGATAAGAAGTGGCCGATCAAATTGCCGAATATTAACTTTTTTGCAATTTCATCGGTCAGTTCATCCTGTTATACTTATAGTCACTGTTACGAGAGGTATCTGTAAAGACCCTTCCCGTTTACACACACGTAACCCACGCTGGGATCCCCTGGGCCCCGTACTTTTTGTTTAATAACAATTGCAGCCATACTGAATACATTGCAGTTCTCTTAATTATTCTTTATTACAGTTATTCCAGAATCGTTCAGGCCGTTTGCCCACGCATTGGCAAGGCCGAAAAGATCCCCGGTTCCATTGTCCACACACTGAGAGAAAAATAGCTGGTAAACTGAACAATTTGACACTGTTAAAGCCATTTTTGTTAACAACAGACGATGCAGGATAACAATTACGATGTATTCTCGAAATAGCGAACACACAATGGATGGTTCTGAATTCCATATAATGGTTTTTCGACCTATCACTAGCAACCCCACGAAACAAATTGCGTTCAAAGGCTTTCAGTTATTTATGGAACATCCTGTATATATATATATAAAAAAAAACAATGCAGGATGCAGAATATTTCGATTTACTATCTTGGTTCTGGTAAATCTATTGCACCCGTGCGTTATCCCTGTCGCTGAAAAAAAAAAAACTGTCAGGCGAAAGATAAGTATTATTTCCGAATGGAAGGATAATAATTTATGGGAATGTTTAACATCGACTTATCAGTTAAAATAGAACTATTACTCTGTAACTAACGAACAATCCAAGGCAGAAATGATAAGTGCTGAGAGTATAGCGATTAATGCAAGAGAAGTGTCTTCTTGGTTTCCACCCGCGTCTTGTAAGAGCCACGAAGAGTTAATGGCGGCATCGAGGAAGGTGAGTCGAGATTAAGCGTTTCTCTTGGTTAAAATTAATTAAGAACTTTCTTCGCCTCGACTTGACATTTCGAAACGGCATCTCAAACCTCATGGAATTGTTCGTTTCAAAACGCACGGAGCCTGTTCGCCTCTAATCGTCTCTACATTATTTGCTCGTTCCGTTTCAACATGAAATCCCAAATGTGAAGATGTATCGAGGGTCTCAACAGCGTTTTCGTAAAATCGAAACATAATCGCAACCGAGGTTCGGAAAGTCTTATATAGTTCTCGCTGGCTTAGTTAACCCCGTAGCTCTCATTCCCCTTTTCTTTCGACTTCGCTTCGCCTCGAAATGAGTAGTTGGTAACTTTATACCGAAAACGGGACTAAAGTGAAACTGTATGACGACGATACGAATAAGAGTACGGTGCTGCCATCGTTTAAAATGAAAACATTATCTCAAATCTTAACCTACAACTCCCGGTTGAAAACAAAGAAAACATGGCTTTGAACAAAAGAAATGCGTTAGTAAATTATTAACATGCATGGCAGATTGTAATTAACTCAAAGAGAATCTTTACAACTTATACAATTTTCGTATAGAATGTCTAAAATTCGTCAGAAGTACAGGGCGGAACAGAATTCGTGCCCACAGTCCACGCGCCGCTATCTCTGCCGAAAATGGAGTAAAGAAAAAAAAAAAAGAAAAAAGTCCAGTATACGCAAATACTATCTCATTTATTAAGTTGATATGAAAGTGGCACCTGAGAGGTCAATTGCTTAAGAAACCTACGTGCAAATTGGATGTATTGAATCGTTTGAAATTCTACCACGTGAAAATGAAGGCCTTAGAAAAGATCACGATACCCAATAAATTTCACGGGCCTTAAGACCGTCCTCGGGACCTCCATGTTCACGTTTCAAACGATTCGGTACACCCAGTTCGGAGGAAAGTCTCCTAAATGAGGACCCACGAAGTAGTATAAGGAGATACAACGCCATGTATTGAAATCGTCCCCACTTTAAGGGTCCAAGATCTTCAGATCATTTCCTCACCTAGGACCGAGAGCGCCTCCTCGATGGAATTCGGCAATTCAGAATTATCGTCTGCTGGCAGGTCTGCTAGTCTTTATCGCATTAAGAACATCCCATTCTATCATCTGGGGATTATTGTCTCACTTTGCGTAGCTTACTTGCAAGCTTAAAAGTATCTTAGGTCATTTACATCGGTAGGAAATGTTTCGGTCACGTAGGATTGGAGTTCCCTAATCTTCCGCAAGGGGCGCTAACATCGTTAGACCAGCGAAAATCTGTGATTTTGGATCCTGATTCTGGGGTAACTTTCCGTGGAACCGACCATTGGCGTTATGTCTCCTGATATTACTTAATGGGCGGAAAAATGGACCGAAACGAAAGTAAAGAGTCGACAGCGAGGGAATTCGTTCTTATTTAGCGGGGAGTGAAGCGGGAACGAGAGCCACGGTGCCTATCCAAGCCACCGTTAGGGAAAGATCGTGTGCGTAGAACGCAGAAAGGTTGAAAGGATTAATGAATCTGTCTTACAGGGTGCTGGACGCCAGATTGGTGTCCTCGTGTTTGAGTTGGCCGTCGAGGGCCAGCCCCCATTTGTCTTTGTTGTTGGCAAGCAGCGGCGTCAGCCAAAACACTTTGCTCAGGGTGAAACCTGGCCCCACCGGGCATCCCTCCCTGGTAAAATATTAGACACAGCTGTCAACGATCTTACACATTCGTGTCTCGGATAATTGCATTTCTAGCGAGCCTAATTCAAGAGGAGGAAGTAAATACAGGTATCGTTACTTCTTCGCTCTCCTAGACCCGGTAAGAAGGCTTCAATACAGGAAGGTTCAACATTTTCTCAGTATCAACGTAAAAGCGACGATTGTTTTCTATTTAATACCTGATTTTTCCCACGAGCCTAATTCACCCAGCAGGTATCAATGTTCCATTAATCTCGATTCTATTCAATTCTCATAGTGCACTCCGATTTACGTCAATTTCGTTCTATTCAAATCTTCTTACCAGGTAATTCGGAGACCCGACAATATTGAGGGTTGCGTAATAATGTTAGACTTGACTGTTCAATAAGAGAATACACTGTAGGTATATGATGTTATTTATACAAAAAGGATGATTTGTATTGTTATGTTACGGATCATAAAAGAGGAGATTCATCGAAACGCCTGAAAATCGACCCTGGGGATTACACGAATGTCCTTCTCGGATAATATCGTTTGTCCTCAACTTATACGCATTATTCTGTGATATTTGGTGCACGGTATACCCTCTCTCATTTCTCCTTTTCTCTCTCTTTAATATAAGATATACACATAGGGTATTCTGTAATCCTTGATATAACAACTTGTTAACTCTTTGCCCTCTTAAGACCAGGTCTTGGAGTTGATTACGTGCGTGGAGCCTATAAAAAGTATCCGAGCCCTTTTTGAACTACGAAAACTAGGTGAAAAATAGTTAATTAAACTAGATTTTTCTCTCAGTGCAAACTCGACAAGCTATTGCGACCCCTGGTTACATCAATGAAAACAATACAATAACTATTTATCGTAGAATGGTTGCACTTTCGCCTCAAGTCCCGTCGATTTTGTACAGTTCCGTCAGTGTTGCTAGGTCGGGATTTTTATATTCAGATCTGTATGGATGTAGGTAATTTGAGGTCTAATCTGGGATATTGTGGTGAAGCGATACTACGTACGTTATCTACATTCATATTTATGTTGATAGCTGTATCGTATTACATTGTGAATTGTACGGAATGGCATACTTCATATGTCGTTTCCGTACAGTGTTAACAAAGAAATCGCAGCAAAACTCAATAAATCCCCTGGATTTATGGTTTTTGATACTTCACGGTGACATGAAAGAGTAAGCCTATACATGTATACATATGAGACGTCAAAAGAAAGCGTAAACACTTTCTGGATATTTTACGCAAACGGGTAGAACTGGAAGTCAATCTGTGCGTGTTCGTATGCGGTACTGATGCTTTTCAAATTTAAGCCCGTTTGCCACCATTGTGCGTGAAAACAACGCCAATAAATGCAAACGCGTTACGCGTAACGCGCAACGAGGTTCGATCAACGTGGTACATTGATTTATGAAATCTCCAGGTATGAGTATTACAGACGCCATTACTCGTAGTAACGATATAAGGATAAACAGTCATTACAATGGAGAATGACTAAATACGAATCTGTAGTAGGTAAAGCATATTTCTTAGAAGTCAGTAATATGATTGAAAATTTGTGGAGCCCATGAAAGGGCGGCTTCGCTTTCAGCTCCCACTCTAGGTACTTAAGGCACCCTCCGTGTCCGAACGCTTTCGTTACCCCATAAGCACTCACATGGTGCTCGAGGCCAAATTGGTGTCCTCGTGCTTAAGTTGGCCATCTAGAGCAAGACCTCGCTTGTCCTTGTTGTCGGCAAGCGCTGGCTTTAGCGTAAAGACCTTGCTTAAGGTGAATCCAGGCGCTACCCCTATACTGCCAGTGCAATCATCTTATATTTTCTTCTTTACATGACAACTTGAACGAGTTTAGTCTAATCCAAGGTCAGGGCGAACCAGGGTTGGGTAGATGTAATACCTCATGTCAAATAAGTGCCTCTCTACGTGCGCATTACAACGTATGATACGTCTATAGTTTTCCACGCGAGCGCAAATTATATTACACCCTGCTATTTCTAAATATAAAATAATAAATATAGGTAGAAATTTCATAGAAAACAGGGGTTAAGTCGAAAAAAATGTTGAATGCAAGCGGCAAATTATTCCTTGAACGTTTTTACATGTGTTTACATGTGTGCTGAAAGATGTTTATCATGTAGGGGAGGCCGTATATCGGTGGCATCCTTCATATTGGAAACGTAATTTCCTCCTTTTCTACGATTTTCTACGGTAAACTACATGGTTTACCCAATATACGTGAAAAACCTTGAGAAACGCGAAATTACCCAACCCTGGGACGAGCCCTTCGGTCAATGGAGGAGAGAGAGTTCGTATTCGACGCGTAAACTTAAACTCGACTCGGGGATCATTTTAGTACACCGCGTGTATAATCCAAAAACAAAAAACTACAAAATGCGCTTTTAATCACTCGACATGAATTGCGAATGGCGATAGACCGGAGGAAATCAGTAAATCTGTTTAAGTGTACTAGTAAGGGCTAACAAACAATTAAAACGAAGCCTACATTGCCGCTCACCTCCGTTTACGTGAACTGAACGTTCATGTAATATAATATGACGTACAGTTTAATTGGAAGTATGAAAATCCTCGCGTTCCAAACACTGTAGGGGCTGTTACTTCCGATTACCTTTTCTTACTTAGAAAGGTACTCGGCGTCTTGGAAGAAATCCCAACTGGACATTGTGACTTCCCGTACCGTCTTACACTCCGGTTTAATCAATCAAAGTACTTCGGTATACTACATTTCCACTCGTATTCGTATTCTTACAAATGTTCCTCAAATACCTTCGAAACTTTCTTTAATGGACAGTACCTATTTTCTCGACATCATTATGGAACTCATCGCAACGTAGGAATGACGTTGTGATCTGAGAAACGTTCCAATTACTCGTCACATTTGCCGAATCACCGCATACGCCGTTGCGTCTTAATTACCTGATGTGTCGTATGTACATATGAGCAAGTAAATAAATATAAATTGGTCGAAGGTACTCACTCGCTTTCCGTTTCGGCGACGGTGCATTTGTACTGCGCCGTGGAGAATAGGCAGATATCTGCGAATTGGCGCACAGACACTTTTATTTTTTTAACAGTCCTGTTACTGTTGTTAGCTATGTGCACGTTCACCGCAATATTCTCTCCGTGGTGATAGAGTTCCTTGTCCAGCGAGGCCTCTAAGTGCAGCTTGTTCGGCGACATGACGAACTCTTTGCTGACCTCGGTCGAGGGTTGTTCGCCTTGTCTCGATGGGGCGTACATGATTTTCCTAATGGCCAATTTCACCGAATTTCTGAAATAAGAAGAGTACCGTTAACTGGAACTCGTTATCCACTGATACGTACTAATCCCGGGTTTTCTGTTTTCAGGTGCCACCCATTTGGCATTAGTTCCCGATCTTGGCGTCAAGCGACTTATTGCAGTGTCGCTGCATGTATGCAGTTTTCCTTGCCAAGTCGAGGACGCATTTCAATGAATATTAACATTAATTAATCTAGTAGAATAATCGTACCGTTTGTGTGGTTTATCATCTTGTGTCTCGCCCACGAAAGCCTTTAATTCGTAGTCGACGCCACACGGTTTACCGGTGTCGCCAGGTGCAGGTTGCAACGTTACCGACGCAGGGCAATGCGGAGGTAACTCGAAGTAAAAGGGGTAGGCATTGCATCCCAACTTCTTCACCAGCCTTTCTTGCAGCCGCGTCAACGTCCTAGGAGGCTCCGTTCCAGGAACGACAGGGTAGATTTGTTCAGCTGCCAGGTAAAGGTCCTTCCTGAAGGTGAGACCCAAGACATCCAAGTCTTCCCGGCCGTAACGAAACGCAGCCAGGACATGGCCGAATACCTTGCGATCCTTCACGTAGTCCGGATCGATCAACACAACGCCATCTATGGATCAAAGTTCGTATTAGATACTCGTATAGATAGACCATTCCCTCATTAATCAGGTAGAGCAATTTCATTCTCTGACACCTAATTTCTATCGATTTCAAATAATAAACTGCATTGCAGGAGCAAGAGAAATAATTGGTCGTTACTATTTCCACGGATAAAGTCTGTGGATTTTACATACTATTCTCTCCGTGTTACCTACCGATCAGATCTACGTGAGTAATGTGATCCACGAAATCCCGCTTCCCGAGATAGACAGTGATCTTTCCATTGGGACTCGACTTCTTGAAGACCCTCGTGGCTTGGCGTCTACTACCACTGTCCACCGTGTCCATTGCGAGGATTTCGGGGTCCTCGGTGGCCCCTAGCTCATTTGAATTCTCAGTATCTGAGAATTCCGACTCCGAACTGTCCCAACTGTCCCGCTGAAAGCAGAGAAAAATGTTAAGGGACTTCTTCCTGTACCCATCCTGCACTTTTATTATACATTTTACATCCGCTCCATGTAGGTCGATAATTATAACGAAATACTAATGAACACGGAGAAAAATAAGAGCCTTAAAATAACAGAAGCCTATCTGTTAGGAATTTTTTCTCTCGATACGGTTAACAACTGTCCCATTAACGGATTAATCCGGTTAGCTTTACTTCCTTGCATGTAATTAGCAGAAACCTTTTTGCAATAGCCATCTGTAATTGCACCTGAAAATGTCTGTTAACATTCAAGGGGATAAGACTGGTATATCTGATGCATTAAAAAATAGTAGGTGCGGTGAAAAGCATATTTTCTGCATGGATCGATAATCGAGTATACCGTATATATCTTAAAAAACTGTTTTCGCGTTATTACGTAATTAAATTGTTTCTCCAAGAAGAATAGGTAAAATCGTTTGCGGGCTAAAATATGCCCTTTTACTTGGTCTATTAAGAATTTCTCTATACCAGTGTCTTAAAAAAAAAAAAAAAAGAAACTAATATGGTCTATTTCATCCGTTTTCATTCATCTAGTAAAAGACATCTTTTGATAATAAAAGCGAGGTATAAGCGAGGGCCAAAGTATAGAAAAATTCTAACACCGATTACGGTTTATCTCGAATATTTCAACGTAATTCTGTAACTTTAATTGAATAATTAAACCTAACGTTACCGTGCTCATTTCGACAAGAGATTATCGAAGAACTCGAGAATGAGACTCTTGAAACGAATTTGACATTCGAAATTAGGCTTGGAAAATAGTATATCCTTCGTCCTTTTTCCCCTCTCCGTTGAAGTTCAAGGGCGAAACGAGTGTCCCATTTTGGTGCACGGCATAATTACGGAAGCACGATAAATTGGGGTAGGTTGTAACTTTCCTAAAATGCGGAACTGAGGTAAAGTAATCCTTTCCCCAAGATCGGCATGTCACGGGTGAGAAAATAACACCACAAATCATAATACAACTCGAAAAAAAAAAATAAAACAATTCACCCGGTGATGTCACGTAGTATTCTGTTTCAGAATGGCGGATCAATCGAATTTATTCGAGAAAATCCACTTTGGGAGACCGCCACAATAGTCACTTCACATGCCCGGAGTCAACTGAATCAATCTCGGTAAATTGATATCAATTCTAACCATCCAACTCGTGATTCATAATGAAATAATGCAACGTAATAATTTCAGTTACATCAATCTCGAAATCATTATATGCGAGGGTAGGTCGAAATATATTAAACATATATTACAAACATAAAGAAAATGTCTCATAAATTTGTATGCCCTTCGGCGTATATTAAAATGAATAAAATAAGGCGCATATAACAAATGCTGTTACCACGCGGAATATAATATACATAAAATCTCGAAGGTCATGGAGAACCACATTACGACATTTATGGGCCGTAATGTGCTGGATTTATATCAATTAGGAAAGCTAAGGTCACCGAAGTTAACAGCCCCACCGTGTCCTGAATTATAGTCTTCCGGCCTATATTTATAGGCTAATTACCGGCTCTCCAATGGGGAAACTAAAAAAAAAAGAAGAAAAAAGTATTAGGTTCTCACCTTTCGCGAGAAAATCGAATTTCTAAAGTTCCTGTGGATCGCAACATTTACGTGATAATCAATATTTCAGCCTCAAGTAACGAAGCTAAACAAACGTCCGTTTGTACGGTCGTACCTTTCGGCTTCCCTTCGGGATAGAGCTCCGTTCTTTAATCTAAATCCATGACGCTACTCTTGTCGAATAGGTTCGGATTAAGTAGAGCAATCATCGGTGTCGACATACTTTAATTAAGCGTCATTGCCATTATTAGGTACCACAGGGACTGGGACGCATACGATGCACTTTGACGGATAAGCACCGTCTACCCTATACTCTGCAACCATTCTAACGAGACCTCATCGGTATATCGCAGAAAAACACTTTTCATTACGTAGAAACGCAGAAATTATCCATCCAATCCGACTTGTGACCCGTTGTTCAGTGTAGAGTGTGTCCGTCAATCTACTCTGATGGACTCAACTTTCCCTGCTTACCCTGAGAAAATAGTTTATTTCATCCAAACACAAAAACGGAATGGAAACAAATTAAAACAAAAGAATTATTTGTATCAATCGACGAATTATTTGATTTCGGTAAAAGACAAATTCTCACGTGCTTCAGGTAAATACATTATTTCTTTGACGTAACTCTCTTAATTTAAATCAATAATTTTCTTTTAAGTAATCAGTCAACTTGTTTAAGTGTCTTGTATTTGAATTTAAGAAAATTATTCATTCGATGCCAACAAATACATTCCCACAAGGTCCTTCCGAGTTAATAGTAACATATAACGTTACTTGACATTAATTAGCTGCTGGCGAGATAGACCATTTTTAATATTCGGTCTTTCAATCTTTACGTGTACCCCTCAAAGCACGAACCAGCAGGACAACGCCCAAGGGAGGACATAAATAATTTTAGCGGTATTATGCCTAATCAGTTGCTTAAAAAATGTAGTCTACGACCCCCCAGGCATTGTGTTTTAATCAAGCAAACTACACGAGTTGAAAAGCAACTGTACAGGGTGTTCAAGAATTCTTGTCCCGGAAAGATACAAATGAGAATTCTGTGGGGTTTAAACATGGTTTAAAAAAAACCTGGTTTAAATATGGTTTAAATCAAGTAATCACGAGTCATATGCCGAAGTTTAAGACAGTTCGGTCCAGTACTCTTCAAAAAAGTGCCTTATTCGAATTGATCGGTTTGAGGTATTTCACTTCACCTTGAGTTTGGGGATATCCCAATTAAACATCAACATCAAAGATACTAAAACGTTGATTCCAACTTGAGTTTTAAAAACTTACACTTATTATGTCATACTATGGATCTATAACCAAGCGTTGTCCTGCACCTCTTGAAAATGTCAAACTCGTTTCAATGCTCGTACTTATTAATAACATAGCACGCAGGCACTGCCATATCGATAACGACCTATTAACATTGAATACAACCGATTAATAATCTGTCTCGAGTTCCATTGAAAATACGACTTAGCGCATCATTGTTTCTGCCTGTTTGCGTCACATCGGCGTCTACACGCAGTGACTACTAATGTTCCAGGATTTTCCCTTTCAAGATTGCCAAACATTCAACATGTTTATATTGGCTTATGTCTAGTAATATTATTAATTCTGCACTACGTCATAGTCTGTGCTATAATATATTAAAGTTGACGTCTTTAAATGGAACATTTACTTTCAAACAACTTTAAATGCTTTCACAACCTCACTTAAGGCGATACAATACATTTTTTATGGATTTCAATAAAGCGTGGCAGTCAACATGTTAAACTATTGAAGAATATAAATGTATTTTAACAAATGATAAAATATATCACAGAATTTTAACAAAAATATGAAGTATACATTAGTCTGATATAGAAGTCAATTTCGTCATTGTAAAAAAAGAAGTACCTTCAAAAACTGAGCATCCGATCCAACGCATACAAAAGGCTGGAAGTTGAAATATAACCCTAAATGTTCCTTATATGTTAATGCTTTCCTCCAGTTACTTAAGAGATGCTAAATTTTTTACATATATATCCACAATTGGTCTAGTGATTTTTACAACACAATATATTGCTACTGTCTAGAAACTATTTCTCACACGTAGATGCACATGGGCAGAAAAACTTTACATACGTTACTTTATACAAGTTTGGGGTGTAATAACGTCAATAACAATTCTCAAATCAAATAAAACCAAACCAATGCTTTCATACCCTCGTTTTCTATTTTTGTAAACAAGAGTAATTTTAATAAAGCTATTAAAACAGAATATGCGTAGGCTACTTGTACGATACTCTGGATCCAAACATACAAACTGGCACAATCTGAATGCGAAGGCTCCCTAGACATTGTTAAGGAATGCGGAGGAATGACATATCTTCCTAGGAAATGGAGTGGTGACTGACGTTGCCGCAATTGTCAGAAAACACTTGATGCGTGACGTGGTAGGGAACAATTCGCACAGAGAATCGTATATTCCATCGGAAAGCCCGCAACAATGTGTACCTACGAGAGTCCTCGACGGATACTCCGGTAAACATTCACTCCTCGCTGGGTGGCCGCACTAAAATGAACTCAACTGGAGTAAATAAAAGCAAGCGGTTCCGAAATGCATAGAACTTGCATCCAGCGGCGCGAATGCTCACCCAATGTGTCCCAGGTCCTGGTGAACACCCTCTCGATGACGAACGAACGAACTCTCACTGATCAACTTCCTCGAGTAACTTGATATTCACAAACCGGCGCGAACCCGTCACACCTTGGCTCGGATTGCGATAAAACGCGAAAACGACCAAGGGAACACCCCTAAAACAAAGTGCCTTGAGTCAACTTCGATTACACATACAGAGAACATTATCATAGCACGCGTATACGTCACGCGCTCCGACGACAGCGCCGCGATACAACTTGCGGTACAAGAGTGGAACTACCAAAAACTTCTGACATCTTCGCACATGGTAATTTCCATGGTAACGAAACTTTGCAAATGACTAAAGGTAAGTCTCGGTAAACTGCAACTCCCATTTTTTTTTCTTTTAAATTAAAAATTACCACTCACGCATAAAATAATTAATCTAACGGCGCCGCAGTTGGTACTTTAGCGAGCATCGATTAGGACATTTACACGTGTTACTTTACGCCGGTTTTATAACTGCTTATGTGTGACCATGGCTGTTACACGTGTAAATGATGTTTTACGTCGGTTATATCGATAAAACCGGAGTATATCACGTTTAAGGCCGATATTTCACTGGCGCTACTGCATCAAGCGACGGAACGATGAAGCGCGAATATGAGGTTTTGATTGGCTGAAATGAAACAACGGAATGAGAGAACTTTCACTGTACGTTCTCGGCAGCCAATCAAAACCTCTTATTCGCGTTTCGTTGTGCCGTCGATTTTCACTGTAACGCTAATGAAATATTGGCCAAACATGCAGCAGTTGCGAAAAAAAATGCACCAGGTGCTGGGCAGCCCGAATTCAGTTTACTATTGAGCCGCCACTGGGGGCTGTTAGGTAGTAAGTGCATGAGCCGCCCGAATTCTCCACCGAGAGCAGCACAGGATGCGATCGCGCGACCTGCCCTGTGAGCAATCTCTCAACTCATCTCTGTAACATTTTCGACTGATTCGGCGTATGCTGTGCAGTGTTTTAACGTGTAAAGTGTTGGCGCTTATACGAGAATTCAAATGCAAGGTATAATTTGAATAATAGTTATGCATAAGCTTTCAATTAAATATGAATATTACTAGTGATCATTTTTTCTAACAATTTTGTGATTTTAGAAAAAGGGAAAGTTGACATAGGATTTGTAGAGGAGTGTGAATCCTGGAGGTTGAATAGTCGTTTTTTCCCAAGCAAAGTTGGTGGAAAACCTGCATGGTTGGATTTAAAAAATATACCGAGCAAAGAGACCCTGGAATGCGAAATATGCAAAAATCCGTGCATATTTTTATGCCAAATTTATGCTCCGTACGAAGACGATCCGAATGCTTTTCATAGAATGATTTACATTTTTGTGTGCAAACGGATCGAATGTTGCAAAACCAACCAGGTGGGAAATTTCAAAGTGGTACGGTCACAGTTAGCAAAAGAGAATCAATTTTATCCATCGGAACCACCTGAGGAAAAACCAGATTGGAACACAGACCTTGGTAGGTATTGAAACTGTTTACATTTTTGATCTTTTATTTTTATCTGCCCTTATTTAATTAGTATTACTTGTCACATAGTCACAAATGCGTTAAAGTATTTTAGTCAAATAAAATTGGAATTATTATGTTTACTTTTTATACCTGTAATTGTTATGCAATAATTTCATGTATATTTATCTAGGCACGTCGATGTGGGCAAAACTTTGTCACGTATGTGGAATTTTAGCCCCTAGTCATTGTTCGAAATGTAAGAAAGTTCATTATTGTTGTCGTTTACATCAAGTTATGGATTGGAAAAACGGTCATAAGGAATTATGTGGAACGGAAAACTTGACACCGACCGACAAATTTTTATTTCCTGAATACGAATTAACGATAGAAATGGAAGAAAAGTCAGATGAAGAAATGGAAGTTGACAATGTCAACGACGAGGCTCGTGAGATCAAAAAATATAAGAAACTAGTAGCAGATGGTAAAGCAGGAACTCTTCAGCACGAACCAGATGTAGATTCTGATTTACAAAGAATGAGTAATAGCTTGGAAGATGAAACCTTTTCGGAGTTCTGTGCTCGGCTTAAGCAGTATCCAGATCAGGTGCTGAGGTATGTTTCTTTGTATATATGTTTACAGGGTGACTTGTAGAAAGTGTTTTAGGCTGCTTTCTCCGCAACTAGAAAGCCGTTATGTCATGCACTGTAAAAGATACGTAGTATGGTCAACTCGGGCTTTTTTTTAAACGTACCATTCCCTCTTAATAGCCGTGTCCGTCTTCTTTTAGTTTATTATACTTTAAAGTGCATGCACTAGGTGATAAAAACTGGTGTGTATTCTCATTCATGTCATATTTAGTAGTACGTAATTTTATGTAAGGTACGACAGGGGGGGCAAACCTTTGTACATCTCTTCTGAACACCAACCTGAAAGGATTCCACGTTGTATCGAATGTAAAGAAGAACGGCAATTAGAATTTCAGGTATGAGCACAATTTACAAGATCCATATTAATTAATAGCAGCATAAAGTAATAGCGCGTTAATAAATCGAAAGTGTGACTGCGCTGTTAATATGTTTGTACATTTCCTAGGTGATGCCGCAATTACTAAATTATCTTCAATTTGAAGATGTCTTCCATAGTCTTGATTGGGGAATACTAGCAGTATACACGTGTAAAAAGTCGTGTATACCTAAATCTGGCTATGTAGAGGAATACCTTTGGAAACAGGATATTGTACATAATGAAGAAAATAATGCATCAGAAGACAACACAAGTTAATAAATAAAAAGTTATTTACTTAAGATGTTTATTATTCGTGCTTTTCTGCTATTATGAGAAATATCCTTACAAAAGTTAGGATCTCAGAAGAAATTTAATGAGAAAAAGAGAGAAATTCATCCTGCAAGGTAAAAATTACATTCAATTTGCTGGGTAGATCAAGAACTTTAGTCAAAACGGTAGAATGGAAATACCAGAATGATTATCAGGGTTGGGTAAGTATAATACGTCATATAATATATGTCGTTCTCTACGTGTATATTACAATGTATGATACGTTGTAATATACACGTATAATGAATCCAATTAGAAAATTCATATTAAACGATGTTAAGTCGATAGAATTGTGAACGCAAGCGTCAAATTAATTAGCAGAAATAGGCTGAAAGATTGCTCACGGGATGGGTCGCGTGGGCACAGTCTGTGCTATCGGTGGAGAATGCGAGCGGCTCGCGCACCCCCAGTAGCGCCTCAACTCAGGGATCATCTTCATCTCTGCTCTCAACTCACCTCTATGATAACAAACATCCTTCAACATCTTTTAACATCTCTTACCAACAAGTCCAGCAGGATCTGCGGCAATGAACTACCCATGATGACTTGAAAAAAAAAAGTATCCTGTTGTGATCCACCTAAACCTGGAAAGGAGCACAAAAGGACAGGCAAAACAGAATATAAAAAAAGAATCCAGGAAGTCTGAGAATAGACAGCGAACAAATTACTAAAAGTCAAGAATATTAATGGTACATCGATCTCGTTAAATGTACTGAATTAGTATTTTTCACGTCACTAAGTATGCAAAAATCCATTCAAATGCAGACCCGACAAAATATAATAAAAATGATTGTCCGCCGTCTCTTCCCCGTCAATCCTGACAAAGTGACACAAAAAAAATAGTATCGTAAATAGTAAAAATAGTAAAAATAGTATCGTAAATAGTAATAGTACTAAAAATCGTAGGTGCCCTCTTCTTAAGGGGCCGCTTCGGCATATAACCTCTTCGACTCTTGCAGTGTTTTCGGGCAGAGCCCCCTAAGTTTCGAACGCTTGGCAATCCCCTGATTTTTCAGATTAAAAAAAACTCACTCCGCGAGCAGATCCAAAAGCTAGCAAAACGACGACCTGTGATCCGAGGATGGCGGATGGCGGATCGACATCTTATCATGGCGGCTTCTCCGGGGCAACTGCCGGTCCGTTAGCCGGGCCGCAACCCGGCTTCCGGATTGGACGAAACCGTCTTTTGTCAGGCCGGGCCCGCTTGGTGGCTCTTAAGCTTCCATATTCACGTTGTAAAATTTGAAAAACGATTCGGTACATCCAATTTGGAGAAAGGTTTCACGAATGATTGGTCTTCAGATGCTACTCTCACATCCCCTTAAGATTTGAATCTTATAACCCTCCGCAGCTAAAGTACAATACTGAAATATATTTTTATTAAAATGTAACACATTTTCGGTCTCGAGTACGGGTAGTAAGATGGATAGGAAGAAGTAACGAAATGCTCATGGGAAGTTTCTGCTTACCCGCGAGTCGTTTGAAATAACTGCGTAAGATATAAATCATGATTGAAATAAAAGTTTTTATTTGTAAACGCCTGTCATTCCGAACAGGCATGTAGCATCTGCGTGACGTGTGTACTTTAATCTGTGTATCATTCGTTCGACAATTAGCAAATCAGCTCGATTACCAAAAATGGACAGACAGACGGCCTTACAGCCGCGATGTTCCCCAACGCACACGGAAGTACAACTTTATTAACGTTTCTTAAACATTTGTACGAGCAACGTATGACTACGTATCCGCTGCGCCGGGTGAGCACAGCGTCCGAGGCGAATTTATCATTACAGTCAATAAATATTACATACAATAATTTTTTTTGTTGTTTTCATTAAGTCATAGTTATAGTAGCGGTATCGTTTTAATTGGACAGAAATTGGTTTTTCTTATTTTTCTGTATGTTTTCCCTTTTCCCTCACAATATGAACAAGTTTAGGATGATACCTCAATGGTAAAGTACTGCTTCCCTTGTCCCTTAAATCGCTGATATTGTAGCCAGCATTAGACATGCCGATCATACGGAAATTGTCGTTCAATTTTCTGCTCAAGCCGAGTAGTACAAGCACAAAAAGAGAAAAGATCGGTACAGTCGATGAACTTCTTTCGAATTTGTCAAACGTCGACAAATATCGTTATAAACGCGAGAGAATACAATTGTTCCTTCACAGGGCATAATTTCGACACCATATACGCACTTGCTTAACATTTGACGTATCTCGATACGATTCGAAATCAAAGCGAGGATTTCACTCTAAAACCTTGCTAGAAATTACTATAAATCTAATCATGTTCACGAGCCGGTCACATGTCACGCGACACAATCTCGCATATGTATATTCACTGACAACGAGTATAAATATAATTGTCTTTATTCGCGATACATTTTGACTTTTGAACGTGCACATTTTTCTCTTCGTATCACCGGTGCAACGCAAAGTAAGATTAGAGCAAGTAATCCAGGAGATATAGCATTTCATTAGGGAGTAATTAAAGCAAGACATTTTGTTTGGCGAATCGTTTCCTGCCAGTACAAGTAATTAGTAGAAAGGAGTCTCCATGCATAACGTGTAGGGGTCATTTCTTACAGGGGATCCGGGTCACGGAAATCGGTTTTTCGTGAGTATTTGAAAAAACGCGCTTACCTACGAAAAAATTCTTCGAATAAAAGTTGAAGAGGACTAAATTATCTATAAAAAATCTCTCTTCGATTTAGTTGTAAATTCAATCGTTACGGCGATAAGCTAAGTGATAAACACCTGCCGCTGCCTTGGCTTATGAACTATCAGTCTGCACCTTTACTTGGCTTTCTACCGCAATGATTGCGTATATGACAAACTCAAAGATTTCTTTTTCACGAACATTTTTGTAGAGAATTTAGACCTCTTCAATTTTTATTGGATGCATTTTTCCGTACGAGTGGTGCAGGAGACTTTTTTTTCCAATGTTCGCGAAAAACCGATATCCGTGACTTCGACCCCTTGTAAAAAATTGTCCCAGCATGCTAAGCATGGGAACTTTTTTTTTCTACTCATTTCTCGTGCCAGAAGAAAACAATATATGAATAAAAATTTCTTGCTTCAACTACTTCCTAATTTGGTAGTCATCATATCTATTTTTCCTGGGCTATGGGGGCTATTGGATTGAAAAAGTGCACTCAAATTACACGCGGGTCGTTATATTTTTTTTTAAAGAAATACTTTCGCTAATGTAAATATGTATCCACTTAAGTAATTAAACATGCATTATAGTAAACATTAATCCTTTATTCCACAGCTCCTAAATGCATTTAAACGGACACCACCGATCTTTTTTCTCATTGCAATGCGGCATAATTACATTTAGAGAACATTGATTCTCGAAGGACTAGTTTCATTAGCCAAATAAGAAATTCGGCGTCCTCTTACAGTGAATCGCACATCGAGAGTCTAGAGAATTCCTTCGCGGAACTCTACACCAGTGGTCGAGAATTAATAGTTGTTACTCAAGGCGAGCCTTTCCAAATCTCGAATCTTTCGGAGACTTTGTCGTTGCTCACATTTTATGCCAATGGAACGAGGAGGGTCTATGATAAAGTACAAGGAATTCGGATACGATCCTCGCATGAGTATTTTACATCCATTCTTATACGTTTTACTCTGAGTAGTATGTAAGCGATAAAGTTTAAGGGGGACAAACTCTGTCACGGCCGAAAACATAGTTCTGTTCTTGAGCATTGTTTCTTATGCAGGTAACGCAGGTAGATAAATTAATTAATTTGCACGGAATTAGTCATCCTTTGAACGGTTTAAAAGCATTTTTCTATTTGATTAAATATGTTATTACTGTGGTATAACATTTGACTATGCAAGCAACACCAGCTCTGCACGTGGCAGTTCTTAAAAATCATTAATGTATTTGGTGCGAAACTCTACCGAGTTTCCTGATAATTCTCTTTAATTTAGAAGTGTCACTTTCAATGCGAATGGGAGCCACGTGACGGATTTTTTTTTTTATTACACGTGTCATTTTATGAACAATTAAACAACTACAATTTTCGTGCGCTTAGCTGAAACTGCATTTACATTATTTATGAAAATCCTGGGCTTTTTGGTTTAAAAAGACTCTTTCGAACTCCAGGTGCGAGGCCAAGCCTACTAGAGATAATTTAAACCGAAATAAAAAGGTATATAATCAAACAAAAAATGCTTTTCGACGGTTTAAAGCATGACTAATTCCAGGGAAAAAACATTAATTTATTTATCTGTTTTTACGGGTGTTGCAATAATTCTCAATAAAGTGATATTTTTCAGGCTTCACAGGGTTTATCCCCGTTAAGGAATCTCTGGTTTTTACAATAAGCGAGTATATAGAAAGCTCTAATTCTGTACTGTGGGTGTGTCACCATTTACATAGTATGGATTGTAAGATAAAAATAGACAAGTGTTACATTACAAAGTGTGACAAGCGATACTAGTGAAAAATTAGTTTTAGTTACAACGTCTCTTTATTTTGTCTTCGCATTAGAGTTGAGAAATGCTCTAAACATTGATATTAACTAAGTGTCGCAAAGAAGAGATTTAAAATAATTTCATATGAAATAAGTCTCGGAAAAGGAAAGTTTGAAATGGACAATACTTTGTGCAGTTTCCTTTTGAATTTCATGGAATTGATTCCGGGTGCAACATCGCTTCTCCCGTAATTGTTTATAAGATGAAGTCTCTGTAAAGAATGTTACTTTCCAGTTTAATTAAATCCCAAGTTTATTGACGAGTCTCGGATCAATAATATTAGTGTTCGGAATCAATGTAACGTGCATCTTTAATCACAAGATAATTCTTATCGAATAAGACATTCGTCATTGCAAACTCGGACGATATTTTCTCAAAAGATAGCTTTCAAGTCCGGTGTCATGATCGTTGACAAAATATTTTACCGTAAATATTAGATACTCTTCCTACATATAAGTACACGTGGTTTCAACATCCATTTCGATGTCTTTACACAGTAAATGACTCGTTATTATCACTAAGGTGATACGACAACGCAACCGTGACGTTTCACAATTTGACAAAAAATCATTTGAAGCACAGTAAATGTACAATTTAAAAGAAATGCTAGACATGCGCAGCATTTGGAAAGGGCAGAATGATCATTAACAACTAATGATAATTCCATTTTAGAATCTGGAAAGGAAGTGCAGTTCCTTGGCCAGCAAGATCTCTCGACCTGACTCCCCTTGTCTTTTGTCGATTAAAAACGTGCCAGTTGAGCAAATAAATATACATGATTTGAAACTTACGACGATAGCCTCTTGTAAAACCATTCCTTTGTAGACTTATGTAAACGTGTGAGAGTCTCTGATATCGATTCAAGATTTGTGCTAACAAGGATGGCAAACAATCTGAACACTTTCTTAAGCCAACTTAAATAGACCCGATAATCAGAATGCTCATCAACGTCAATTTCGTATTGTCCTTGGTTCGGATGGGCATAATTAAAATACGTCTTCTCAATCAGTGTATGAAAAAAAAAAATGAGTCGAATCTCCGATTTTCCGATTACTTGGTACGTGGACGAATACTCGCCAGATTTGCGCACTCGTCGAGATATATCTAATGTGGTCCATCTTATCGCTCGTTTCATTGGTATGGATTAGGTTACTTCGTAGTAGCAAAGTCATATTCGATTTCGACATTTTGAAAGACTCACATTATATACGGTAATCCGCAACCGCATTAAAAGATTATAGAGAAGAAATTGATTTAAGGGGAAACTCCCGTGAAAACGCGAGAAAAATAAACACTTTTCAGAAATTAGTTAAAACAAGAACTAAACGGTAATCCGGTTAAGAAATGTAAGTCCTCTAGTAATACATTTTTAAATGATAAAAATAATGTAGTCTAGTTAGATTTAATATATTTTCCCCCGAAATATGTAACATTCTTCAAGAGATATAATTTCTATTGTAACGTAATAAATGTTACGTAGTTGGGACGAATATATACTAAATCATAGTAGTCGAATTCTTAGTTTATCAATTAAACACGTGTTACTAAAGCACTTAAAAGGATTTACCTTCCGTCGTTTGGTTTTTTTTTTTAATTTTGATTTACGAAAAGTAATTCATTTTTCGGAGCGTTTTGAGAGAAGGATCCCCTTAATGGCTTCGGGCAATCGATGAGAAATCAAGCTCATTTACAGAGTTCTTACCAACTAAACTTATTCGACTAATATTGCAGTCGTACTGCGGTCCTGATCAATTTAAAACTCAAACTGCCTTTTAAACCAATCGCAAAAGTAAAGGACGACCATTCAAAAGCCAATGTGAGCTTTATACGAATCGGCAGATACAATTAAAATGAATCGACGGTATACATAAATTATTCGTAATTATTCTTAGGGTGTACGTGTGGGTGTTAAGTGTAACGTGTGTGTGAAATGTACAGCATAATGTGACCGTCGATTGTGGAGGAGTATGTTACAATCAAGAGGAATTTAACGAGAATCGTACTAAAAAAATACAATATATGAAACAACTGTATACATATAAAATATTTAAATAACCTACATAACAAGATATACCATTAACTGAGACCGATGTTGCGGATGAATAGGCATGGAGACCACGCTACTCTTGACAATATTTCACTTATCCGTCACGTTAAATTACCGCCGAGGTAATTCCGGGGAAAGTGTCCAGCTGGTTGCCAATTTCGGAGACGACAGATGGAAAAGGAAACGGAATCGTCCCTAATGGTTTCCTTCATTTTAATAATGTACACGTAGATCACGGAGCAAAGCAAGGTCGTCTCGCTAGAGGCGAAATACGTGTCATCTGGGTGATTAAAGTAATGTTCTGGAATGCTTTCTAGTTGCCTTTGTGGTCGTTAGTCGTCGACCCTCGGGAATTCGCGTCGACCTATGCGTCGATTCTAGATACCATAGAAGATGCGCAAATAATTCCTATGCTCCATTTAAGCGCCTTCTACTCGAATCGGAAAACAGCGTATGCCCTGCGAGTACGCAGTCGTTATACCCTCGGTAATACGTCTTACTAGTTTAAGTGGTACTCATAGTTATCGATAATTGGTAGCAGCCCTAATAGCTAAGGGACCTGAAAACACTGCTACTATACATACGGTAGGCATGTAGCAATTAAGATATTATGTCGTGAGATACAGTAAGATCGAATAGGATGACACGGGTGATCTCTGCTTTACTTGTTTCGTGGCGAGGATCGCGTTCCGGTGCTCGATAAGCCTTCCCCTCGGTTGCGACTTTGATGTAAGGAATGTAAGCCCTCACCTGAAAACGGTATCGTTACCTTGAGCAATTAGGTCTACTCGAGGACATTCGGAACGCAATACATACATGTTTTAATGCTTGGAATTTTTCCTATTTATCGAATTATTCAGTCAAGTATTATTAAAATCGCGATAAAGTTCACGCATTAATTCGCGACAAGACGTAAGAAAGGCCGTATATCAAAACGACGCCAAATTGATCTGCAATTTTCAAACTTCCGACGTCAAATGAAAGTAGGATCAGAAATCGTTTACGTAAAGTGGACCTTAGAATGTCCACGTTAAAGTACTTTTTGATATATCGAAATAATTGTACTACAGATCTTACCTCTACTGACGCTTCTACGCATTGACGTAGAAGGAGGTGAGGTTGTTTCTTGCTTGGTGTAGGTCCTGAGAACTTTACCCCGCCTATCTTGAATCAATTTGTCCACTTTTACGAAAATCCCACATTTATTCCGACAAGTGAAGTACCTGTGGCCATTTACAGCTCCATCGTTCTTGCCTGCGGAATTTATTTACAATTTGTCGCATTCAATTAAAAAAATGAGTAAAAGTGTAACAAATACAGTTCGAATGTGGCCTGCGCGTTTTGTACAAACTGGTTTAGAACAATTCATTTTTTATCTACTACTGTCTCGCAAGGAATTGTTTAAATTGTGAGCATTGGTACAAAAGATTGCAGCGAGTCACGAGCCAGGACCATCAGCAACGTTTTATCAATACTCCGAATTTCAATTGTTGAACATGCTAAAGACTTCATTCTTTTATAAAATATAAATATAATTCGAAGTCTGGTTTAAGGCGAGTTTCATTTCACTTTAATATACGACTTCCTCTATTTTCCCTCTGTTGTTACTTCCTATAATTATATTTATATATTTTGACAAACCTGTTGGGGCATCTAACTCGATTCCAATCCAAGTTCCTGATGCGAATTCCGTTGGTCCAACATAAGCGATTACCCCGGAATAACTATAGGGACGAACTAGAACGGATTCGCCGATCACGACCCATTCTGGAAGTGGAGGCTCGATCCTGGTCAAATCTGGTCTGGAGCCGAATGCCGAACTTTTGTCACTCACATCATCTAGAAACATACGAAAACTTGAACTAAGACGACAAGTCAGGAACACACCACTCGAAACAGCCATTCGCGTTCTGCTTTATTTCTTATAATTTACAGTCTACAGGTTGTTACCGTCAATACGCTCGGACGAGCTGTGGTCACCATTTTCGTAGGCCATATTTGTCTGCATGGTCTGCTCCAGGCGAGCTGCAGCTTTGCTCTCAGATAATTGTGGACGGACCATAGGGAACGATGCCCTGTGCTGAGAACTGGTAGGCCTTCCCGAACTCCCAGACGTCCTTCGTCTTCGAACGACCTGTAAAGTTACATCTAATTAACACTCGAATTCCTTCTAGGCAAAATATATCGGTAGTACATTAAACAGATGTTTAGATTATCCAAGATATTTAATTTATCTAATAAAAGTGTATCGAACCCAACGACACTGTTGACTGTATTGCGAGTGTAAGGACTAAGCACTCCTCTGCAGTATAGGATCATTGGTAAACATTAGATAATTATAAAAAAATGCGTTATACTTTTTGAAATGTGTCCCTTTTATCCTATGCAAACTTACACCTATTACCGTACCATAACACGTTTCACTTAAAAAAGACATCCTTTAGTTGAATTAGATCCTGCATTAAAGAATTCAACTTACCTTCCCGGGCGGCAGTTTAGTATGTACAACGGACGTTCCTTCCAAAGGACTGTCGTCACCAGAATTCGAAGTCTGACTGGTCTCCATTTCGTTTTTCTTCCTCTCGTCGTTAATATTTGACGATAGATACGTTCCTTGGCAACTACTACCACTCAAAGATTCGCTGTCTGCCTCCTTGTGAACTTTGTCACTCGTGGGAGTTGCTGCCTTATTATTGGTACCATAAGCGCCTGCTTGATTCAAGTTTTTTCTTACGGAGTCTGCAAACAAAACCAAGTTAAACTATTCACCTTAATTACAGTTTATAGTACACTAAACGCGATTGATGCAAATGTCTATACGTTAACGCGTAGAAATAAAGAATCATTGACCTGTTGTGACGTTATCAGGGATACCAGTCTTATCCAGGATAATATTCGAGTCCCCTATATGTTCCTCCGTGGTTTCTTCGACTAAGGAGCTGTCCATCTTTTCGGACTTCTTGTTGTCCAGTAAGCCTTTGTATTCCACGTCTGGGGTCTCATCCACGCTGATGGACTTTATGGAGATCGAATCGTCAGATGTTAGATTTGTTGTGGATACAGCTTGGGAACCGTATCCGCTGCTACTCATGCTGGGAGTATTTATTTTAGTCGCTTGTAACTCTACCAGCGAGTCCAAGGTCCGCGAAGATGTCAGCAGCTTTGTGGGCTTGGGCGGTGTCTAAGAGAAAATGGGGATATTTCATTAAAATTAATACAAATTCAATATACTTCATGACAACCCAAGGTACCATTGTATCATTTCGTTCTTGCCCTCACAACCAAACGAAAACGTTTCCATGCAAACATCTTCGATCATCCGCAATAAGGTAGTAACAAAATCTAATACGTGAATTTGTATTATGCGCGCAGCATATTTACTTATTTCTCATCACTTTTATTACTAATTAATAGGACGAAGACCTAAATCATCAGGAAATACTTAACCGAACAATTCATTTAAGGAGGTACATAGGATTAATGCGATTTATTCCTGATACCTTTTCGAAAATATTAATTTTGAAAGCGTCGGGACAATTCTTAGGTGATCACGAGTCGTGTCGAAGTTTCAGAGTTCGGTTCAATACCCTTAAAAAAAAAAGTGTATTGTTCGAATCAACTGATTTCAGGGAGGTTTCATTTCACCTTAAGTGGTGTATTAAATTTTTCTAAAAAGAAAAAAAAAAGAGAGAACTGTTCATCAATTGTAGCACTATTTAAGCTCGAGGAACTTGATCGACGTTGACAAAGAAGATGTTTCTAAATGCCTACGTTGCCGACGTTCGTTTTTATATCGACAGCTGTGTCGAATTAAATTGGATATTGTACCAAATGGCATACTCCACCTGTCGTTTTCGTATAATAAATATCAAGAAATCGAAGTAAAACTCCAGAAATCCCCTGGATTCATGCTTTCTGGGGCCCTAATTGACTGCAGAGGGACACCCTGCGCCATCTGTGATTTCCAGGTCAATTAAATTTTCACTCCGAGACCTCGTATTCCCATCGTTTTGGCATAGAAACGCATACAACACTTTTTTTTGCCTTTATCTCATTGAAATGCGAGTTTATCGATTACCAGAGTGTTCTAAATTGTTGTAAAATTGTCCTGACCCTTTCGTTTCTCATATCAGAGCCTTCGATAATTGTATATTGATCGAAATATGAGAGCTCGACGGCATTTTGGTTCTGGTCTGGGCTGAGTTAAACAATGTTTTCCAAAAATCCAAATTTTGAATGTGTCAGGACAATTCTTAGATGATCAGGAACGACGTGTCAAAGTTTCGGACAGTTTGGTCTAATACCCTTAAAAAAAGTGTTGTATTCGAATCGACTGATTTGAAGGGGGTTTCACTTCACCTTAATATAAAAAGAATACGTTACCTGATAAGCATCATACTCGGAATAATCAGCGTCGCTCTTTTCTTCATGGTCATCGTGGACAGGGGATGATAGTGGATTTCCAATGTTTGACGTTTCCTCGTGTAAGGTAGTCATTCGGAGGCCCAGTTTGCCACCAACCATACTCGGTGACGCTACACAATAGGTACGAAAATATCAGGAAGTACTCTACATTTCATATGAAAGAGAACAGACCATTATCGGGGCCGAATTGATTACATGTTCTAATTTATAAGTCTGCTTGAAGGCACTATAAACAATACGGCCAATGGCGATCAGCTAACTGGAAAATAAAAATGTCTAAGTATTCCTAATTACCCTACGCAATGAAAAAACGGTGTCACACTGATTCCGAAGAAAGCTGAAATAATACCGATTAACGAGATCGAAATTGACAAATGAACCATGCTCATCCCTACAAAAAAGCAGGATCGTATATGTACATTCCACGTCGAAGAAATAATTTTACCGAGTATTGGGACGTTAAAGAGTACTTGTAACGATAACAGGAAAACCACGAAAATTACCATAAAAATAGTTTACTGTATAATATAGTATGTTATATAATATAGAATATATAATTATAATATTATTCAACGTGAAGTAGAAAAATACAGGCTTTCAGTATTTCATTTGCATTAGTGTTTTAATATAATCGTTGATGACGTGGAATATACTCCGATTAAATGAAAACGAATGAGCAAAATACAAACACGGAAGAAACACATTTTAAACGTACTACATACGAAAAATATACGTTGAAGCACACGTCTCGTAAACGAATACACAGAAGTACATTGAGAAATGAAAGTGAGGAGCAAAAAAAACGTAACGAATATCAAGAGGTACCAGAATGATAAATCGAGCCCTTTCGAACGACCGGAAGAATTGGAACTAGCGAATGTTTCATTTTTTTATATTTGAAACTTTCTTAACAAAAATGTCCTTGCAATGATACATAGTGACGGCACTCGAAAAAAATCTAATGTTTCAGATTTATATTAATTTGATTCAATCGATCTTACAACTTATTTTGTTGATAATAGGAAGTAAAAATCACTTTGTCACAAGAATTCTATATTTCATAGGAAGCGTTTCTTTTCGCTTAGTGTTCTTTGACGATCCTCGATTATTTGGTAAATTAGGAAATGAAAATTAGGGGTGATAATCTTTAAAGGTATATGAGTTGCAATTACAGTTAAGGTGATGTGAAAGTGGCGTCGAAGAGTTCATGAAACCATTATCCAAACTGGGTGTACCGAATGGATTAAAACTTTACGATATAAATATGGAGGGTATAAGGAAGGTTCCGCAACTCATGAAATTTCATTTTTTTTTAAATAACTTGTTCATAGATATTTGTAAATTTTGTTCTAAAAAATGGAATTTCATGAGGATCAGGACCTTTCATATAGCCCCTATATTCACATTGTAAGGCTTAAAACGATTCAGCACATCCAGTTCGGGGAAAAGTTTCATGAACGATTGACTCTTCGGATGCCCTTAAGGGGATGTGAGAGCTCAATCGTTCATAAAACTTTTCTACGAACTGGGTGTCTCAAATCGTTTCATACTTTAAAACGTGAATATGGAGATCCTAAGGCAGGTCCTGAAACTCGCAAAATTTCATTTTTTATAAACTATTTTTAAAATACCTATAAAGAAATTAGAAAAGAATTGAAATTTCATGAGTTTCAGGACCTTCCCTATAATCTCTCTATTCACGTTGTAACGTTTCAAGCTATTCGGTAAACCGAGTTGAGAGAAAAGTTTTATAAACAAAACCTCTTCGACGCCACTTTCACATCACGTTAACCCTTCTATGCGCGTACAGTACGAATCGATCTATTTACAGAAGAAATACGCTACATCTACCGGAAATCAGTTCGAAAGGGTTATCGAATGTCACCTACACTTGGCAGAGGTGGTTTGTTGAAGACGCGTCAGAGAGTTGAGATTCAGGTTGAGATTCAGGAAAGTCGGTCTCGCTGAAAGGACACAGATGCGTTGGTTATAATTCATATTTCCTTACTCGATCTAACACGACAACTAAACTACTAAACTTGTCTTGCAATTGGCGAGCCTGGTCTCGAATCGGAGCCTCGAAACGTTCTCTACGGGAAATGTCATCGAAAAGCGACTAAATTGGGTCGCGGGTACCTCGGCGATCAAATTAAGGGCAGGTAAAACTCTGGCAAACCTGTCGATTCGAATAAAACACACATTTCTAAAGGTCCTTCGTTGCATCGAAATGGCGGAAATTTTAGCACACCACTCGGGAGCGGTCAAGGAATCTCCTGGTGTTCCAAATTTGGATTTTTACTTTTTCCTTCAGCCGAAGTTTTCATTTCATCTCCAAATTTGCGAAGCGTCAGAACATCCCTTGGGTGCTCACGAGTCGCGTGTTAAAATTTAAGGCCAGTTCGATGAAATATCCTCAAAAAAAAAAAAGGGTTTTATTCGAATCAACCGATTTGAGGGTTTCACCGAAACCTACTCGGTACAAACTTAACTTTTTAATAACGTAAATTTTTTTATACTTGGCCCGATTAATCGCTGCAAATATTCTGGTGCTTGAACAAGAGAAACAATTTACTAGGTTACAGAAACGTAAGGGCAAAACAAAGAATTAAAGAAAAAAGAAAAAAAAAATGTATTAAGATTAGAACGACACTTCATATGACAAAGTTTTTTCGTCCGGCAGAAGTAGAAATTGCTATTCCGTTTTTTAACCACTTCGCATTCGCGGCGGTTAATGGAAATTAACCTGCCGTTAAAATGTGGCGGAACGCGCAACTCATTGTAACCGAGGATTACCTTTTTAAGCGAGGTTAGGGAAACCGGACATAACTGTGGTATCTTTTAACATCATGGATTTAGTATTACATCAACAAAGTTACAACTTGCACCAATAGTCTTATATGAGTTAAAAAATATCTCGTTTGCGAATGCGGAGTGGTTAAACGCACGTTTTCGACTTGCCGAGAGTAGACGATTTCGGTAATCAAAATGGGATTTTAATTGAACAAAATCAACAAATCATGCCGTTTATTCCTATAAATTAATATACTTCTAAAGCAGGAGCAAAAATCAATCCTTTCTTTTGTTGACCTTTTGGTCATATTATACTGGGGCGGAATTCATCTCCGGAAGTTAAATAACATTCTGACAATCTACAACGCGATGTCCCGAGGCTTAACAATATGCATCTTGAAGTCGTTTAAAAAAAAAACTAGTTATCATTATCTGACAAGTTCAAGCTGCACCCAAAGAACAATTTTCGACAAATTTCCGATTAAACTAATATAATTATAAATTAGGAATGAAACAAAAATGAATCTGTACCATCGTATCGTAAAACGGTTTAAACTTCCAAATATGCAAATTGAACTTGTCACAAACTAGTTATTAACCCGTAGTATTACACCGTTAAAAATATTCATTAATTTCATACACCTTAGGTTCACAAATTTGTAATAAAATTCTAAATTAATTGTAATTTTATAACATTGTCTTACAACTTTGAGGAATGATGTAGAAAAGTCAATACACTTGTGTACTAAATTTATAACACATGTTTATAGTATGGGTAAATAAAATATTAGAAAATTAGTACACGATGAATAAAACTTCAACAAAAAAAAATGTTATTCAATTGCAATATCTTTTTTAACAGTGTAATTTAAAGACAGACGTATCAACGATCATACAACTAACTCCGGTCTAATTCACTCCATTATGCTTCGATGACTTATGAATTAATCTAATTAATTAATGTCAATCAAGTCATGCGATGCACTATTCGATCGATCGAAACTCCATGCAAACTAAGACCTCGGGATTAGTTGAACACCTAAGATTTCCTTCTAATTTCCTCTTTTCAAATTCGATTATTCGAAATGATGTTCAGCTATTATTATATACAGAGAAAAGAGAGAAGAAAGTACGAGATGCGTCTTATGGCTTAGTTCAAACTATTTTCAATGTGCCAACTAATTTTCAAGTTCGATGCAGACAACTCGTTGCAAGGGAATAATTGCTCGCCATCGTCAGGGTATAACATGCAGTATTTTATTTACAATTAAACCTTTTTCCTTTTCTCCTAAGTTGTTCGGTCTAGCCATTTACGTGTATTTCGACTTTAGGCGTATAACACTCTTCACACGTGACAAACGACAACGTAGACGAAAAGGAATCAAGCAACATCGAATCGTAGATGCCTCGTTAGTTCCACGCGTGCTGTAAATAGAATCATGTACAGAAACATACATACAATATGCAGAATGAACCCAGGGTCCGAGTCTCGTTAGTCAACAATGGATAGAAGACCAAAGACTGGCAGAACAATCTTGACAGTATTTCCCGAAAAAGTGCAAACGTTCTTAGAGCTACATGCACATATCGGTTCCATCAGTAACCTTTCGCGTATTTGATTAAATTATTGCCCCACAGTAAGAACCGAAATCATTTGCCGACAAAAGTTGTGATTACACGTAGAGCTTTTCCGTATGACAAGATAAGTCACTTATGATTTATAACATCGGGTCGCAATAGCAGTGAGGCATTTGTAAACATTAAAAAAGAAGTAGTAGAAAGGAAGGTGAAGAGATAAGATACGAAAACCCAATAACTTCCAAGCACTGATATGTATACTACACTGAGAGAAAAATCTAGGTAAATTGACAATTTTTTACCTAGTTTTCTTTGTTCAAAAATTACTCGGATACTCATTATAGTGAAATTAACATTTTTTTTTCTTCTAAACTAGAAAATCTCCTTACGGTTACTATATTTTTATACCTTCAGGGAGCAGTTAAATGACTTATTCAACGTTTACTTTCCTAATAAGAGTAAGCAGATTTTTTACTATTTATTTTATATGCCGCCCATGCAACTCAAAAGATTGGACACCTCTGAATTAGAGTTTAGCGAACGAATCACATACATTCACATGCAACACCACATTAGAGAACGCAGTTTTAACTAAAAATATAATTTCCCTTCGTCGAGAATTAAATTAAATTCTCATATCTTAATAAAGACGATACCGAAGACTGTATTCACGCTGACATTTATAAAACGTCTAGGCGTTTTACAAAACGCCGGATTTTACAATGTGACTACGACACCTACGAGTCATGTCCTAATGTTTCAAACAGTTCATTGAAGTAGCCTTAAAAAAAAATGTATTGTTCGATTTGACTGGTTTGAGGGGCATTTCAGGTCACCTTAATATTTTTCATTTTTCATAACAAATCACGTCCGCTACTTACAGGGCGTCTGTTCTAAAACACCCTGGACAAAAGCCGTTGGTTACATATAACATTTTCGATTTGCCCTGAACATTGTGGTCTTCTCGTTCCTTTAACAACAATTAACGAAAGTTGTTACATACGTACAGAATAATTAGGTCCAGAGGCACTTGACCTAATTATGTGTATGAGATATGAAAGGTACGAATTCATACTTGCCTAACACTAGAAGTCGCCACGTGGACTAAATAGTTTTATATGCATGAAATATGCATAAACTAAGCATAAACTATGCATAAACTAAAAAAATCAAGTTGAGAAACTAAGAGGAATGTTTATTACCGACGGTATTAGGTTGGTGCATAATCAATATTACCCTGCGTGGAAATAAGAAATATCGAAGTGTAACGTTAATTATACGCTAATCTAATAATAGGTTTAATTCTAATCGTATCTTTCTCGTCCTGTGCTTTATATATATTAATTAGTGAATTTTTCTAAGCATTCGACTAAGTGGATGCGTTAAACATTTAACACGTTCCATTAAATGTTTGACCGTGTAGTTGAATTTCTATTGGTTATCAATGAAATGTCCAAAGATTGTGTGTTTTAATTGGGACTTTACTGAAACTTGTAATACTTACGGAAATATTCTACCAGCGTGCAATTAAGGCGATATTGCTATTTACCAGTCGGTGACCAAATTATTAGTTACTATAGTTTTTCTTATTATTTCAGATTCAAACATTGCTATTACACGTTTGGACTTACTTCCTTGTCTACAAATATGTTTAATTTCGTCCTGGCAATTATATTTTTTTATCCCTCTATTGTATAATTCCCTTCCTGAAATATTCTTAAATAAATACGAAAAATCTCAATTTTTCGCTCGGTCGTTCTTAAAGCATGACTTCCTTTGAATAAATACTAGGTAATATACTGTTATTTTTTTTTTTTAATTACAATGGAATATCTATTTCATGTAACGGACATCAATCACTCGTCCACAATATGGTTAAAAAATATTGCTTCGAACTGATCATGATACAATATTAACAGATGTAACTAATAATTTGGCCACGGACAGCAGATCATTCATTCGGATGCAGGGATACTTTTGTGTGCTGTTCGAAAATTGTTTGAAATACAGGTTACTATGAAAAAAAAGTAATAATAAATAAATAAATAACAGAAGTTCTACGTTACAGGCAAGGGCGAACGTTGCAAATCAAACAGACAGATCCAATCACTCACGACACAAATTGACTAATCACGTTTGCCTGTGTGGCGGTCAATCAAATGTCGAGTCAAGACTCCATTTTACCTGAGCTCAGAATGGAGCCTTGCGAGGGCCGAAATTGTGGTAGAAGTAGTAGTAGAAGTCGTAGGGTTAAACAGAGGAACAAAATAAGTAGCATGAATTAATTAGTCAGTCGGATATTGATTTCTTTTAACTAAATAATGAGAGGCGGTCTCTATAGTTATTTCTCACCTCGCGGGTCTTTCAAAACAAGCAGGGTAGCTTTTAACTTATATGACAATGGTCAAGTATCCCATTTTGTTTTTTTCTACGCGAATTTTCCATATTTCCCGAATAGATGTTGAAAAACGCCCTCGTGAATTTTTTCTTTGGCTTTACTTTGACATTTTCATGTAATACAATATTCATTTTAATTGGAATATTTTTTTAATATTCATCACATAAGTCGCGGGTCTTTCAAAACAAGCAGGGTAGCCTTTAACTCATATGACAATAATCGAGTATCCCATTTCGCTTCTTTCCACGTGAATTTTTCATATTTCCCGAATAGATGTTGAAAAACGCCCTCGTGAATTTTCTCTTTGGCTTTACTTTGACATTTTCATGTAATACGATATTCATTTTAATTGGCATATTTTTTTAATATTCATCACCTAAGTCGTCTACATGGTTGTTCGATAACCGGGCACCCGAGTGCCGTTTTATATTTTTATGAAAATAGTACAAGCATAATTTTGATTAAAGAGGGCTCTGTAGTTAAGTAAATATAGCATATTTTATAGCTCGGGTCTACGTGCAAGTAAAACTTGCGAGAGCTGCCTCTCCGAGAGTTCTTGCCATCGTGTACATGGTTTTGCAAGTGAACTTGCGCAACAATTTGCACTCTCCCGCAAGGTAGAAAAAGTAGCTTTAAGGTGTTAATCCATTGGCGTCAAGCGGAAGCTCGAACCTAGTAACTTGCAGTGTTATTTTCTACCAAATTTTTCGCCATCCGAAATTTAAAAGTTTATATGAACGAACATCAAGCGTCAGCAACATCGTATGATTACGTGTTACTCGGGTTCATCATTAAGCTGACGTTAACGAAAAGGTATCTTTACATCAACGCGTATATTCGAAACATCGCGAAGGCGAAACCTATCTATTTTCTCCACATTTAATAATTTATACAAAACACTGAAATGGTACCGCACCACACAAGTACTAAATATTAGTAATACCGCAGGGTGTTGAAAAGTTTGCAATTGACGATGTTTCAGAATCTTTCGATGACTTGCCTCAGAGAAGTAGAAATTGGGAACGGCTCGTTTAATATATGAAAGTATCAACACGTGTACAACTGCTAAAGGGAAGACGGTAATAGGCGGAATTGAACAGCAGTCAAAACTAGGGTGAAAACGGAGTATCATGACAAAGGACGATATATAAGTATAATATTATCTATATAAATATATATCGAAAACACAGCATAAGCCACATCTCAGAGATGAACCGTCGACGTATCGCTTTATTCGCTCTCTCATCCGAGTAGGTCTAACAAGGGCAACGAGGAACCCAGGAGTAAGTACTCTCGTAATCGGTACTCCCGCGGTGCACAAAAAAAAAGTGAGTCAACTCCCCGAGATATTTCTGGAAGAAATTCGAGGTTCCACCCTGAAATGTGAACGATCGTGCGACGTTCGTGTCTGTCGTGCGCAAAGCTGCTAATCAAAGGTCCAAGACAAAGCTGGGCGAATTTTATGGGAGAGAAATTTTCCTATGTTGCAAGTCAAACCTTCCAATGAAATTCCGCGTAAGCTCGTCGTTACTCTCTACATGAGTAGCAGTCCAGTTTAAAGAGTGTTAAAAGAAGCTGGAAGGGACCTTTTGCTATCGTATGACAATAGATCCGGCAGTATAGTACGGAGTATAGTTGTAGCATGTGCTTGCGGTGCTTCTAAGAAATCACGCAAGTATTAAGATGATGCGAAAGGCGCCGAGGAATTTAATCGACGCCAGTGCCAAAAGGATCTTCTAACGGATATACCGTCCGAAACGGCGAACAATCTTACCGACATTCATATTTACATTAACAGCTGCGTGGTGTTACATTGAGCATTATACGGAACAGTATACTCCATGTCGTTTCGTTAGATTTAGTGCAACAAGATCGGAGTGAAACTCCAGAAATCTCCTGGATTCGTGATTTTTGGTACTCTAATTGACTAAGACGCCATCTGTTGCATTTAGCGGCAATTGAATTTCGACTCTAAGGAGACGTGGTATCCACGCTGGCAGCCACCATTCTTTAGCAATGGTTTATGAAACTTTTTCCCGTCTCCTTCCATCTGAGTCTGTCATATTCAACGTCTATAGTATTCTAACGTCTGAAAGTCTTTAGTTTCAATTCTAATCTCTGAAAAGGCATAAAATAATCAATTTAATAAATTGTAATTCAATACAATCGCGTTGATCCCTGCTCAGGATCTTCCTCAGGGCGTCCACATTTACGTGGTAAATTTGAATTGAAATGATTCGGCACACCTAGCTTGGGAAAAAGTTCCATAACCGATTTGATTCTTCAGGTGGTACTTTCACATCACCTTAATAATACTACTTTTAATAAATCGTGGATGCAGTCGTACTATTGGTCAACCCGCAAAATTCGTGGCGTGTCCGATTGCTCTCTGATCTAAAGTACACGAGAAGAGAAAGAATTCGTTGCACTTGACAACTAAATTACCTTTTTGCTGGTGTACTAATGTCAGTACCGTGGGGTATTGTTAAGAATAATTGTGAAAAAATATCAAGATGTTAATCATACATGGTATTGATAGAGGTTCGCAGAATATACACGAATAAAATAGGTCACTACCGATCAACGATGGGATAAATGGGAAACATATCACGTACATGATACTTAATTAATACTTTCCACTCAATAACCACATCGTCGCAGGTTATCGTTTCTTCCATGATTTCCTAAATATCAACCGCGCATAAGGACTTTCTAAGTCTTGCAATGTCGCGATTGAACGACTCGGCGAAGAGTTTTAAGAAATCACGGACAGTCTATTATTAAAATGGAAGCCAACGAGTAACAGCTCAATATAATCGAGAAGAATTAATCAACAACTGTAAGGCACCACTTACCGATTCCGAAAGATTTCGGCGGAGACGTAAGGAAATTCTCGTCGTTTCTTGAATGACCAGAAGATGTTCTTCGTGGATGTGGCAAACCATTTAATTCTGAATTTAGATCTGTCACGCTTTCAGATCGTGTCACGTTCAAAGAGTCCATCGAGGTGTCGAATCGCATGATCTGTTGACAAGAAACGTATGCTTTTAAACCATTAAGTTCGGCAGTTTAATAATAAATAAAACATGTTTTCAAAATAGAGAAACAATTTTCTAGAACAAATGAATAGGAACTTCATTCATACCTAAGTCTTTGTATTTCGTATGTATTAAAATAATTGGACATTAAGGTGAAGTGAAACACGTCGATAAAAAAGATTATTCTAAATACCTACGTAACCGACGTTCGTATTTATATTAACAGCTGTGTCGAATTATATTGGGTGTTGTACTAAATGGCACACTCCATATATAGTTTCCGTACAATAATTATAAAGAAATCTAAATTGTGCGAGCTAGGCCTTGAAATACTTTTTCGATTCTAAGTCTTCAAGAAGCGCAGAACATAAAAAGCGTGCACGGACCCCGCCATGTTGGTTCTAGTCCAAGATGAATAAACACATTTTTTACAAGAAATGAAATTTCATGAGTTTTAGAACCAACCTTAGAGCCTCCACATCCACGTGAGAAACTTTGAAACGAATCGGTAACACCCAACTCGGAGAATACTTTCACGAACGATTTGACCTCTCAGATATATACATATAAAGATTGACTCTTTCATATCACCTCAATGACTTTATAACAATGAGCACCGATAAGAAGGAAATAAAATAAAATGATAACATGAAAGTGTATAAGAAGAAGAAGCAAGTATAATAAAATAAATGAAATTATAAATAACATGAAAAGCATACAGTGCGTCCGAGACGTCGAAGAGGCAGTAGTACCTGCGAGAAGTTGGGCACACTGGCAGTCTTGCGCATTAATGGTTGACCTTGGGCTTGCAGTAATTCTTTCACGGCGACACTTTGCCTCAGTCGGTCCAGTGTCAGGATGCTCTCGACAGCTGACACTCCTCTCGTGTACTTTTCTGGAACATGAAGAAAAAACGTTATCAGTCGTGCTGTGGTTGCAATAACATAATCTCATCGTAAAGACGGTTTGGCTGGCATCATTTTACACGTTCACTGATGTTTATCCCTGAAAAACTTAACAATTTTATTACAACAATATGAACTGGAGAAAGGCAACCGACCTCCCGTTACCGTTGGCACGTACAATGTCTCTATGCGTTAAATAAATTGGAGAGAAGGAATTAAAGAAGTAACGGTCCTAGGTACTATTAAAACTGGTCGCGATGGAGCTCAATTCGAACAATTGAACAATTGATGACGAAGACAGCTATTTCTCGACGAAAAGGTGATAAGATGCAGCAGCATTATCGCCGGGAACTTGTAGATTCTTCAGGAGTTAACAAAAAATATTATATACATTATTGCAGTAAGAGATTCTTACCTATATAAGTTTCGCCATCGCAGAGACTGTTATCTTCTCCACTGGCAGCAATTTGCGCTAGACTTTCTCGATCTTCCAATTCTTCACTGGCTTTCGGTATATTGGACACAACTTCGTAAGTAACGCCGGTTTGCGACAAGCAGTCCGTTCGGACGATTCTTTTGAAGATTCTATCAGTGATACTCTGTCGCTTGTAAATATTCAAAGCCAATCTTTTGCGTAAAACGAGATCCATTGGTGCGGGATGAGAGAGACGAACGGTCGTCTTCAATATTAAGAAAACCCGTTCGTTCGCTGAAAATTAAAATTAAAATCAAGAAATACAGAAATATGTGCTTATAGGATATTCTACGTTGAAAGTGCCTTTATAAAAACCAATGAATTAAACATTAAGACATTCCCTTATTGCTAAAATATTTACATATGACATAAAAGAAACGTATAGCTACTGTGATCCAAACTCATGGTAGAATTCAATTTTCAATTCGATAAGAAATTCATATTTAGTCGAATCTTTTTTTAAAGATTTCTTCAAGTAATAATTACCATCGGTAACTCTATTCAAATGGATGTTGTCATGTATGCTAGAATCCCAAGCCGCAATAGCGCAAACGTCTTTCTCCAAATGTCGAAATATGTGTAGAGGATAAAACTGCTTTCCGTGTTCTTTGGGCAAAATAGAGTTCAAGCCTGTCACTGAAACTTCCTCTCCGGACTGATGCGTCGAAAGGTCGTCAGCTATTCAAATATTAACAGAAGAAAAAAAAAAAGGTAGTAAATTAACTTAACAAGAAAAATATTCACCATTTCATTCAACCTTAATATTACTATACTTCATTTAGTAAATCAGACATGTATGTATTTAACTTAAGATGATATGAAAGATGCTAAGAAGTTTAATCGACGTCGATAAGCTAAAATTAATTTATACCCTTTTTGGTGGTAATGCCATTTTGAATACTCAAGTGGTAACATGAGCTGGCGCGTCACGTTACCGACATTTATATTTATGTCGAAGCTTGGTACACTCTACGTTGGGAATTATATAAAATGAAGCGTTCCATATCCTCAGGTATATATAGACCGACCCTTTCATACCACCTCAAAGTAATAAAATAGCTCACCATTAAGATCTAGAAACAGTACTGGAATGTGCGGTTCCATGCCAGCAGGTGGATTCCAATCTGCAGGTGCACCGGGAATACCTGAACCTGCTGCAGGGACTAAAACTGCATTCCGTTCCTCTGTAAGGCTGACCCATTGGTCCACCAAACTTTGTTCCCGTTCCTTTTCCTGTTCCGTTTTATCTGATAACAAAAGGAAGGCGATTTGAGCTATTTTTGTGTTACATATATATTTCTTACAGTTTGCAGAGGATTTTATATTCCAACTCGTGATAACACATCGCTTATGTATAACGAGGATATCCTCAACATTTAGAGCTCTTACATCCGCGGCCATTCTTGTCAAACCTTTATTGAAATAAAATTTACCTTGTTTATTGATGAGCTTCTGAATTTGTTGGTCAAGATACTGCCGTCGTCTCATAAGTGCATCGCTCCATTTTTCCCTCAAAATACTGAGATCTTCATCTTGGTAACTATCTAGCGGTATTTGCAAACGATTCCTCACCGATACGCTGCCCACAGCGATGCTCAAAATGGATTGGCAAATTATTGGGAGCGTGCCCGAATTCTGAACTGGTTTAACGCGCACTTGAATCCTTCGTTGCTGTCCCTGTCGTAATTGGTAAATACCACCTACAATTATACGATAAAGGTCGCCGTTAAATACAGGATTATTACGGGCTTTAATATCTACGAAAGTGGAGGGAAATCTTTTACCGGTCCACATGTCCTGTTTAACTACAACTTCAACCGGTGAATATTCTCCTTGTTCATTGAGCTCCTGAATCTCCACCCACAGTTCGATTTTCCTGGTCAATTCGGACCATCGGTCGGCCAGGGACCTGGCCTTCGCTAATTGCTGCTGTTCTACTTCCCATCCCGGTTTACTTCGAGAGAAACCGGCGCTTCGATGACCCCATACTTCTATGCTGAATGCTCCCTCTGTTAAATCACACGGTTCTATATGCAGTTTGCAGTAATGAATGAACACAAAGTGTTATGGCAATTCTAGGGTCTTGTACATAGGCTGATTCTTTCATATCATCTTAAGTTGATCCATGCATATTTACCGGCACAATGTTCCAGGAATTCCTCGGTAATGGGTACGGTGAAATCTTTTGTGTGATCAAATTTGAAAGCCAATGAGTCTCTTTGGCCCGTGACGGAATCAGTAGTCGGTAAGTCCGTGTTGACCATGGGTGGTACGACTATCGGTTCCGGATGCCCCCAGAATATGTACTGGCAAAAGACGAAATGGCTCAACGACAGTGGTAGACCACTAGCCTGCTTTATGGTAACACGACAAGTGATGTGACTCGATCCGGAAAAGTCCTCGGGTTCAGAAGACGTAGAGTCAGCCGACGATTCCGAGGCCGCTTCGCATATGCGATCCTGCGGAAATTGTCCCGATATCCGACTGATCTCAACCTGAAGTCGACCAGCGACTTCTCCTTGTTGGCTGATAATTGGCGTGTGGTAATTCAGCCTGACATCATGAAAGAGAACCTCCAAAAAGATATTGGCCACGCCAATCAGATTATGGTTCTCCTGTGATTCGTAGAACGGGTCCTGATTTTTTCCTGGTACCTCGTCCTACAATTAAAGATGATTTACAGGAATAGACCACGATACGTACAAAATTACCACGGCATGCTGGGAACTAATGGATAATGTAACGATCTTCTAAAATGTAACTAATTACTTTAAAGGAATTATTGATTTAAATTAAGACAGTTACGTAAAAGAAATAATGTATTTTACTTAGGAACGTGAAAATTTCTCTTATACTGAAATCAAATAAGTGTTTTGCTGATTGATACAAATAATTATTGTGCTTTAATAATAGTAGTTTAAACATATTTCTGTATTTGGATTAAATAAACTGTTTTCTCAGGGTATGAACCTGATTATAATACGAAGGTGAAGTTACCTTAACGATGGGCAATCGCTGGTAGTTGGAGTCTTTTCTTTCCTCGTACATGTCCCGCATGTCCACCAGCTTATTTTCCAACTTTTCCATTGACCATACTTGACTACCCATGTTAGTTCGTTTAACTAATATAGCGGGCTCGCTAACAAAAGCTCCACGCTGAAAGAATACACTCTACGTAGGCAAGAGTGTTGGGAAAGCGAGAACAAAATCAAAAGGAATTCATTAAAATCAAACTAATGTTAAAAAATAAATAATTCTGGAAAAGGGAAAAGGGCCGACTTTTTGTAAATAGAACGATTTCACTATTATTCAAAAATTACTTAGCACAGTTTCGTACGTTCTGTATAACATTGCGAATTCATTGCTACACAGTAACTACAAAGAGGATAATTACGCCAAGTTTTTTCTTTGATTTACCTCAATTTCATGATCGTTCTTATTTTCTTCAATATTGTCAGTCATTGAATAGACTGATAAATAGAATAAAAATTCTTAAATTTTCCAATACCTTACATAAACCCTGATCTGAGAAAAAAAAACCATGAACTTTGAAGTTGTATACAAGTCGCACAAGGCTTGTTAAACAAATAACTTACAATTTGTACAATCTTATTTAAGGTGAACTGAAACCCGTTGAGAAATTGAATCGACGATGTAGAATAATCGTTTTTATAGACGTCAATCAAATTTCTCGATGCGTTTCACTTCACCTTAAGAGCACTGAATTCTTTATAAAGAAAAAGTCTCTTTTGTCAAAAGTTAAGTGAAAGTACAGTCTAATGGCTTAGAGAGAGAAAAAAAAAAAAAAAAACAGCGGTAAGTGTTTGAGTAAGCAGTCGTAGCTTCGATACCTCGATCCGAGCGTGCGATTTTCCCTTAGCTTTCTGCCTCAACTATTGAGTTTACAATAAAATCACAAAAGGACCTTTTTATAGAGAATGTAGTGCTTATCAACTGTTATTCGAGGTATTATTCCGTAAGCACGTGTTTTCTTTAAATATTCGTGAAAAACCGATTCGTGCAAAAAAGGCTTGCTTGAATTACATCCTAATTTGGCCATTTTCGTCTCCATTTTTCCTCGGCTATCGTACAAAGTAAAAGTATTACGTATGCAGGGAATAATTACGCAAATCAACAGGGTTTGTTTAGACATACGTTTATTCTTACCTTTCTATTTGGACTAAGATTATTTGGTGGTATTTGCAAGGTTACGCTGAACTTAGTTTGCTTCCCCATTTCTTCAGCCAGGAAGTTGGCCTCTTGCACCAAGGCGTTCGCCTTCAAGATGTCGGTCTTGAGTTGACCCAAGCTTCGTTTGAACATCTCGTCGCGTTCCTGAGCCCACTTTTCAACGCGCATCTGCGTCGTAGGGGTGCAAGCGGGTAGCTTTCCGCTTTGGCTACCCCGTAAGGGATCGTATGGTACGTAAGGAGGGTACGGGGTGGACGGAGATAGAATATTGCGCAATTGCTGGAATTGCCGTTCGTACTCCTGACGTTGTTTCTCAAGAGCAACCTGAAGTCACGGCCGAATTAACATCTTACAGGTTCAGGAGGTCGATTCATACAGAATCGTCGATAAAATACCTGCTTGTCTTCCTCGTGCTGCTTTTCAAGCCTTGCAATAGCTCGTTGGATGGGATCATTGGATAATTCATTCAGCATAAGTTCTTCCCTCGCAAAGTTATAGTCGATCGTTTGTGCGGGGGTTTGAGGTTCACTGTTGATTGCTGAAATAAATTTCAGATTAATATGCGTCGTCATAACTTCAGATTGAACAACGGTTCAAGATTTATCTCCTCTATTGAGAACGTATTTTAAGGTGATGTCAAAGTGGCGACACAGAGGTCTAGTTTATGAAACTTTTCTCCAAACTGGGTATGCCTGAATAGATACAAGTAGTAAGAAAGATTGCTAACCTGTTGCACTTCTAGGGCAATTGACCCTAAAAAAATGATGATTGCCCCAAACGATTCGATCACCATGTAGTAAGGGTGTTTTCTCCATTACCTGGCTACCATTGACGAAACACCGGGCTCCATTCAATGGAGTCATGTACAATCCAGATTCCTCTATTGTAATGACACAATGTTCTGGCAATATCCCTAGTCCATGGAGCTGAATATCTTGCTCCGTAGTCGCGGAACGTCCACCAACCAGGGTCCTCTCCTAATTCATCCAAATGTCCGTAATTAGTTTTACCTTATTGCTATCACGAGAAAATATCTCAAATTCATAAGTAATACAGGGTTTTTCCAAACGAAACGATCAGACGGTACTTGTACATTCTACGAATAAAAACAAAAGATACTTTTACAAACACGTTCCAAAATGCTTTGTTAAGAAATTATAACAAAAATAGCGATGTGAGACTAGCGGATTTCACATTCGCGTTTCGCTCACTGTTATTACACAGTTATTGCTACAAATGCATCCTAATTAATTTAGTAGTACGTTGTATACATTCGTCGCATTTTGCGGGTAAAGTTATACAATCATGCCGAAAAAAAAAATATTGGCATCGTATTTTAGTTACCATAAACCAGTTACTTTTTTTTTAGATTATGACAATGGGTGAATGTTACGTTTAGGGGACTCACCTCTGATGACATATGTTGTCGAGGTCACCCTCTTGAATGACCTCTGCAATATTTTAGCCCTCGCTCGTTATTTGTTAAAAAGTTATTAACAATGTAATTGAGCTTGAATGTACGTTTTCGACCCTGGGAGTCCATTTAAAGACTCAGAACGTAGTATATACACGTTGCGAACAAATATTCGTACATTGATGTTTGAAATGATCAATTTAAATTAATGTGGGTTTAGGTTAGGTTAATAATTAGAATCCGGCTACCAGTTACTTGCGGTAATACCCCAGTCTTTAGATGTATGTCCAACAACGAGAAACAAACAAACAACGAGCGACGGGTAAAAACTTGCAGAGGTCACTCAGGAGGGTGACCTTGACAACATATGTCATCAGAGGTGGGTCCCCTAAACATAACATTGAGCTATATTAGAATTAAGAATTACAGAAAATTTATTCCTGCTGCATGAATTGAAGTTGTGGGGAAATCAGGTATTAGACGAGAAAGAAAAATCGTCGCTTTTCCGTTGAAACTGTGAAATTTGGAATCCTGTTCTAATCAAGCCCTTTTACCGGGTTCATTTCTCGCACCACTCGGACGTTGCCACCTAAATATATGCACATAGTAGTAAATTAATGCTTCCATCGAGTTTTCGTGCCAACTTGCACGTTTTCCTGATATTCAAATTCCCAATTCGCACCCTAGATCCAAGCCGGAGAAAGACGTAATTCTACGTAAAAAGAAAACCTCGCATAATTCGTTAAGGTATGATGTTCTTGTCTGAAAAAGAAAGTACGTACCTTCAGATAATACACCAGCAATTCGTTAAGACTGGGATCGTCGTTGAGATTGACCAGATAATACTTGCTCTTTTCTACTTGGATGCCAGACGCTTGGACACTTATGCCCATTTTTTCTAGAGCTTGTTGCCTTTCATGTTGCAATCTTTCGGTTTTTACTAACTTCTCCTCCCAGGTTTGCGACATTTCCTTCATTAGTCGCTCGGATTCCGACAATTTCTCCGTGATGTCCGTTCGCTGTTGACCTACGACGGATCCCTGTCCCTGAAAAAAACGGAACAGGTTTGAAACGCTCGTACAATTTTGAATACATTAAACCCCCACATATGTAGAAAGGTGAGAATTACTCATCGCTGAATTTACACATTTCACCACAAATCAAGGAGGATGTTAACACTTTACACTCGAGAGGTGACTTTGTCACCGCCGTCAACTAGAATGGCAAAGTCCTAGAGTGCAAAGGATTAATAATGAAAATAGAAATTCTAAAGTTCGACTGACCTTAGCATGCAGCAGCATTTCTTTGAGGGCTTCCACTTCTTGTCGAAGTTCCCGTATAATCCTAGCATTAGGGTCCTCGTTGACAATCGCGTGATTTACTATTCTCTTTGCTCGATCGGCATATCGCAATGTCGATAGAGTTTCTTCATAATTATCTGCAGCTGGTGAGATTGTGGCTACCATTACAGTTTTACTGTTACCACCGAGGTTATCCTGCAATAAGTGAAGAATCCGTTATAACAATACCCTTAATACAGTTACAATCAAATACAACTTATAATCTAATGTTTTGTTACATTTATCTGAATTAACATTTGGATACAAAAAGAACTTCGCCCAATAAATGCCTAACCTAATCTATCATAAATTAACTTAAATTTCTTCTTCGTCCACAGCTGTCTACTTTCCGCACTTGTTATACAATATACCATTATGCAATACCTTTAGCAACCACGTGAGAACCGAATCTCTGTACGGAACGAACTTATCCCTATTCTTGCCACCGGAATTCTGATCCGCCAGCTTCGAGATCACTAGACCCAACGTCGTTAGCGACCTATAAAAAGAGTAACGTGTTTTGATTCATTCTCGTATTAACAAGAAAATAATTTTACTCGATAGTCATCTTATGATCATAACTTTAAAAGTGCAGTCCATAACGAACGTTCAGACATTAAACGTTAACCGGAGTATCTCTTAAGTGTCTCATGGATCCGGTATTACATCTACAAGGTTACACCTTATACTAATGGTCTTATACTTATGTCCGGTTCGACCAACCTCGTTTAAATAATTGATTCGCAAAGGCGAAGGAATCAGTACGTACTTGTTAATATTGCTGCCTTCTTTAAGTCTATCGCCAACAGCGCCAGTTTTCACAGCCCTTTCGCTTCCCGCGAGGTCCACCAGACTCATCCGCGAGACTTTTTCGCCACTAACGCCACTTTTCGCATCCGTCAGGGTTTGCGTCAAAATTACAGAGAAAACGGCATGAGATCGGGAGCTCTCCGAATTCATGTTCGTCGCTGCCACGGTTCGCGACTTGTTTCCTTCTGCCATCAAGTTATCGATATCCTAATAACAAAGGAAACGTACAGGTTTGTTAACACATTCGGTGACGAAACAAATGCCAAGTACCCTGTCGTGGCACGAGATGGGTTAAACGTGGGATGATATTCAACGTATTAAGAGGAAAAATCCAGTTAAATTTATAATATAATGCATTATTTTTACCTGAAAGGCAGTCACGGCGAGCTGGCTGAGACCATCCACGTAAGGTCCCAAGACATTGTGCTCTCTGACTTTGAGGGATTGCTTGTTCGGCTTCGGATCCAAAAGGTCGTGCACCTTTTCATTATAAATCTCCATGTAGGAAACCTCAACCTTGTAGGAGAGTTCGGAGCTTTGTTGCTTCGCTATCATATCGAAAAGACTGTCGCATAGCCGTGGAATAATCCCTTTGTTGTCGCCACTGCCCATCATCGTGTACGATTTTCCAGACCCTAGATCATGAGAAAAAAGTACCAATTAACGAATGTGCTTCAGGTGATATGAAAGAGTCAGCGTGTATATATATATATATTGAATTGCATGTACCGATTCGTTTCAAATTTTACCATGCGAATATGTATCTTTTTTAATGGCTCGTTTCCACGTGCAAGTAACTTGCGACACTTCTCGCTAGAACGACTTGCATTTGCGGGTACACTATCAATAAGTGTGTAGCGAATTTCCAGTTGCAAGTCGCTCTAGCAAGTACATGCAGGGCAATTTGCTAGAATAACTTATTTTGGCGTTTACACGGTAGTCCCAAACTTGCTGCAATTTTTCTTTAGCGGGAGATATTCGATATTGAAAATGTCGTACAACGAAACGATAGCAGTTGCAGTCGCTGCGTGGAAAAATAACCACATGTTTACGGCATTCGTTTGCAGAAATACAATTCTAAAATCTTGTGATTACGAAACTTTTTTTCCAGAATGATTATACGATAAGATACTTTAATATGGTCAGAACCGAGCTATATGAAGGTTTGAATTGGCCTGCCATTTCCATTATATTGAATTTTATTTGGGCCACTTTAGTTCCTTAATGTAGATGGCGGTAGAATCACTGTACGACACCGATACAAGGGGATGCCATCCCCTTACTCCAAAACGCATACAAATCCCTTCGCAGCTTGCAGCAAGAATTTCGGGACTGATTCGAAATCGACTCGCGCGACTTCAACTTCTATGTACAACCAGGTGGGTACACGTGCTTGCGGGAAAGTGCAAGTTCTTGCGCAAGTTCACTACTAAAACCGTGTAGAGACTATGGCAAGAACTGACGTAGAGCAGACCTCGCCAGTTTTACTTACACGTGGACACGAGCCTTAAAGCAATTGACCGAAATGAGACGACAGTCTATGTACAGGTGGCCAACTTATCAGTTACACTATAGCTTTGAAATACCTCAATATTTCAAATTTACATTCACCATATATACAAAAAGTAATACTGCTTCAAACTCATCATAGGGCAATCTTAACATGTGTAACTAATAATTTGGTCAACTACTGTAACACGGAGAGTGTAATTAAACAATTACAGTTATTAGAGTTGAGTACAAATGAATAGCTAAGTAAAAGGTGAAAAGCTTACCGGTCTGCCCGTAAGCAAAAATACAAGCATTGTATCCCTGGAACGCGTTGTCCAGAATATCTCGGCCGAGAGCGTCGAACACGACGTCTTGACTGGCAAAATTTTCTGCTCCAGGTACCAATGAGTAAAAACAATGGTCGAACGCAAACGTCTTTGGTTTGTTTCTGAAACAAACAATTACATCTAATTATTCGACCACGTTATGACTGGCTTCACGAGTACACCACCACACCCCCAGGTAACATTCCTGAAGCAAACCTTCGCTATTAAGATGAAAGGGAGGTGCAACCACTGAAATACAAAAACATTGGAATGCTTTAAGGTGATATGAAATTTTCAGCCTACACATATAACTGAGAGGTCCAATTGTTCGTGAAAGTATTCTCCGAATTGGGTGTACCGATTTGCCTCATCTCAAGTTTTACCGCGCGAATATGGAGGCCCTAAGGTAGGTCCTGAAACTCAGGAAATTTCAGTTTTTATATATATTAAAAAAAAAATGTGCAGGTCGCGGGGCACGCGACAAATTATACGTTCGTTTAACAAGAATCGCTTTAACAGGCCAAATTGTTCAGTTTATCAGCTCTTTTTCTCTCAGTGCGCCAAGTATTTATTAGAGTGCTAGAAAGACGGATATCAATCATATTACTCAGACATGAAATGGTGTGTTAACGTTTTCGTTCAATTTCATGGGTGTTCAATATCATATTTTGGATTGGTGTGCGGGGCACTGAACTAACAAGGAACAAGGGGGTATAAATCGACCTTTACTTGAAATTTTGCGTAATTATTCCCATAAACGAGTTATCTTTGAACACGGTGTCATTCGTTTGACTCATTGGCCGAGATATCTCCTGCGTCCATTCAGCAATATCTTATGATTCAATGTCGTTAGTCCGATACGACCGAGGTACACATATATGAGTTATTCAGCGATTGCACATAACCAAGACATCACTTTAGGTGCAGCACCTTGTCAGAGGTTATATTACGCCACTAATTTAATAACTAAAAAACTAAAAGCAACAATAATTGGGGGCGTAGTATTAAACGCGGTAATTAATTTTCAGTGTTAAGTTGAAATGAAACCCCCCCAAATCAGTCGATTCTAAAAAGACACTTTTCTGAAGTAAAACTTCTATGCGGCGCTCGAGCCTCGACCATTTGAGGAGTAAAATGCTGAATAGGATTAGATGTAACGAAAAAGTGTTACGAATTGGAATGTACCCCCTCTCCCTTTCCTGCGTACCAAGCCTGTGACGTCATCTATCCCGTACGTGTGTGTATATATAGTATATGACGTATCGAGTTCAATAGTTCATTTTACTCCTCCCAAAAGGTAAAGAAGAATATAAAAACGGTTACTGGATTTTCCAGTTCAGGAGAAAAGAAAAAAAAGAGGTAATTTTACTATAAAAAGCGTCCGAGTCCTCTTTGAACTATGAACACTAGTTAAAAAATAATTCATTTAAATGGGTTCAGGGCATGTTCTTCACTTCTCACGAGTAGGAATGATTCAAATGGCATGACTCCGACGTCTTGAAACAGTATACGCCTTGTTTAGCGCCGTGCAGACCAAAATCTGTGTCGTGTGAACCAGCTTAATGAATGTTCAGCGAGAAATCGGTCCATCCAAGGATTTCATACAGATAGATGGTCAGTGTTAACGCATCTGCAGAACTGAAATGTCGAATGCCCGAAAAGTAATAAGAAAGTATGGGGTACTAAGAGAGAGATATACTTAAAAGAACTATCTTTAACTAGATTTCATAGTTCAAAAAGAACTTAGTAAAAAAGCTTCGCCATCTAACGGCACGGTCGAAAACTAACTCGAACAAAGTGTTTAGTAACGTTCTATACAAATTGGAAGTTGCTTTAACCAAACCGCAATGCTAAACGTCCGTGCCAGTAATTTTATTGCAGTTACTAAAAATAGAGTAAATAACAACATCGTGCAACGAAAGTTGCCATTATTTAAAGGTAACCTACCTATTCCAAAATGATAAAAAAAAAAAAAAACTTTACCATAAATATTATCACCGTTTCTGCAAAATTTGTACGAAAGCCGGGAGGATGCTCAACTATTAAAAACTAGGTGCAGTGCCCCAATGTATGGTAAATCAACCCTTAAATTGCGGTCCTTTAACAAAACTTTAGCATTAACAGGATCAAATTGTTCAATTTAGAGGCTCTCTTTCTCTCAGTGTACGCGCTCGTTGGCTTGTGACCCCGTAAAGCTCACAAAGCCTATAAAAGCTTCGACTACAGAATACTTAGAACTTGCAGTCTCGCGTCGATATCCTATGTCCGATATCACACCTGGTCGTAAGTACACGTTGAAATGTACGTGTACATGAACTGACCTAATTTGACATGATTGCTACTTTCCAACACGATACGAGACACTGCCTGATTCACATCTCCCATTGTTCGTCATTGACAACATGAAAAAAAAAAAAAAGAAGAGAAAAATAAAACAGATCAATCAGGGAAAGGGAAGCGAAGCAATAGATAACTTCGAGATAGTGACAGAATTATCTCGATCGTACACGCAGATCTTGAAACTCGGCCAAATGCTCATGATAGGAAGCGATCGCTTATTGATATCATTTTCATTTTTTAAAGCTACTACCACTCGGCGCTATGCTAGGAGACATTGAGAAAACGATTTGTTTGATTGAAAATAAATATGTTTGAATGAAACAAATTTTTTTTCTTTGTTGTACAGCCGAACAAGTATATACTTCGTTCAAACATATTTGTTCGATGTAATAGAATGATTTGTTTGAGTGGAATTCAATAAATGTTTCATTTAAATAAATATTGTAAGAGAAGAAGAGATTTTCTACTAACAGAGGAAAAGAAACTTGGACATTCGACCAATTTAAGAACGTACCGTTGGTATAACTTTTTCACAGAATGTTACAACTCGTATCACCAAGTACAATTTTTTTTATCCCATTGAAGTATTACCCATAAGACTATTTACTCCCAAGGACCTTGCGGCACCCCTCAACGTATTTGTTGGAATCAAATAAATCATTTTTTAAATTTAAATACAAAACACTTAAACAAGTTGATTTATTACTTTAAAGAAATTATTGATTTAAATTAAGACAGTTACGTCAGAGAAATAATGTATTTTACTTAAGAACGTGAAAGTTCTTCATTTACCGAAATCAAATAAACGTTTTGTCAATCGATACAAATAATTGTTTGGCTTCGATAAAAGAAATTTAAACATACCATACGTCCTGTGCCCATGAGAACAAAATAATTAAATATTAATTAAAAACTAAAAGGATCACATACCGATCTATCTTATCCAAAGTCGTCGGATGCTGCAGGATGGTCTGCTGCCCAGTCATTTCCACGACACATTGCGTTCCAAGTTCCAGCTCTGTAATATAAAAGGAGTTGCTGGTTAGAATCGAAATCGATAATTCACTGAAATTGGAGTCAAACGAAAATGTCTAGCCGTCCTGTAAACCTGAAACCTTCTAAGGCATTTAAAAACCTAGCGTCTTTATATAAATTTAATTTGACCCAATATCAAATAACACCATCAAAGAAGGTGCAAATGATATGAAACATGGCTCAAATGATGATTTAATTTTCCGAAATTTCCGAACCGTGGCTAAACTTCATTTTATAAATAAAACTTCTGCCCAACCCTAGTGTCTTCTCCAGAGATTTAAAAGAAGAATGTCTCGATTGGTACAGAATTGATTCTCTTTACCGGTACTACAGCAAATCATATATTATTAACTCGAGCACGAGTAACAGGATCGCAGCGTTGTAGGATAGCTCGACATACCCAACCCCGTACTTTCAAATTTACGTTGACTATTAGAACGAGTTTCCACAGACTTAATTTTCCAATAATCGGGTTATGGCAGCTATCACGTGCGCGCGAGGTCCACTCCAAGCAGAGTTGGGTAATTTCGAATTTTTCGAGGTTTTTGACGTCTATTGTGTAAATCAAGTAGTTTATCATAGAAAATCGTAGGAAAAACCATTAATTCACGTTTACGAAATGAAAGACGCCGTAGACGTACGATATGTGGAATTAACAAAATATTTCTTTCGTACTATTCAAAGAAATATTTCTTCGGTTGAATGAATTTTTCTTTTTTTTTTTTTTCCTCAAGGCGCAGATGCTCGATATATCTATCCGCTAGGTTAAAAACGTCTTTTAGCGCAAATGTAATCGCGTTAAAATGTTTAAGGATCAATTAATTTGCTGCTTGTGTTCAAAATTCTTTCGACTTAACCCTGATTGATGTCAAATTTTTAACTGTGTTTATTATTATCTATTTAGAAATGGAAGGGGCGCAAAATACGTTGTGTTAGCGGAGAAAACTAGGGATGTGTTATACATCCTAATATACACATAGAAAACTATATTACATGACGTATTACATACTTACCCAACCCTGACTCCAACTGTAACACGACGAACCTAACCGCAAAATTGGTGACCTAACTGACGTCATATTTGTTCGCTGAGTTAACAAAAAAAAATTACTTTTTATGCAAAGAGCGATCCAAGGATTCGAGACTTCCAATCGATTGACTTTTGTTACGACCTACGTAGAATTAAAAAATACGAACAAAACTTAAATTTGTTTCAACGCGCACAAAAGGAAGAATCTGTCTTGGGAAAAGTAAATTATATAGTTGTTTCAAAATTAGAAACGATAACTTTAAAAACACTACAATAATTAAAATTTTAAATCCTGCGTACAACACTCTTTCGATTTACATGAAGAAATTTATTACGAGACGCTCCCTTTAATTCGCTGTTTTTAATTCGTTAAAATTTGGAGCAACATTACCTAAATAAGGATATCAATAAAGAGAGTGACACCCCCCTTTACACGCAGCCCTGACCATAAGCAAGCGGTACATGGTCGTGCATGGCGTACACAAAAGATGCATGGCAAAGTTCATTGAAATCGATGAAAACCAAGAAATAAAGTGGACAAGAAAATCCAAGAAGGAACATTACTCTTCCATGATGTTCTAAAGCCACAACTAAATCGAATAGATAACGAACATCGCTGGAATCGAATTCGTCGCAAAGCAAGAGATGGTTCGAGGGACACCAAAAGGAGGCTGCAAAGTAAATACTAGCGTCATTTGCCATTCACAATATAAATACTCCAAGCAAGCATCGAGGAAGGGGGGAGGGGGATTGACGGTAGAGGAAATTTTATAGTTTAAAAAAAAAAACATTACAAGACAACTTTGAACATTCCTGAAAAGGTATGAACGAAGAAACGTCAAATAGGAGTCGACCAATTTGGAGAGCGTCAACAAAGACGGATGCGAGGTCTCAAGGAATAGAAAGATCACGAGAGGTGGTCGATCGACGCAATCTCGGCTGGGCCGTCGACGCGAGAGGAACACCGGAGAGGATAAAGAAGGAATGGACGAGCGTCTTGGAAGGACTCGGAGCCTTCTTTGTGGGCGGCCGCGAGTTCCGAAAGCAGATCCGTGGAAACGTGTCGCCGTCTTGAGACAGCCGAGAGACAGGTGGGAGATGGTCGAGAGGGTCGAGCAGGAAGAATTTCGAAGAGACGTGGGCGGACAACCTCGCGAGATAACTCACCGCGTCGATTGAACGGCCGCACTCGCACGGCGACCTTTATTTTATCCGTGGCCATGATTTCGCACCGGCGACGACACAGCACTCTGACGCACGGAGACGATCGCTGAGCGAACTCGCACCTTTACAATTTCGCAGGCGACTTCGTACTTCACGCGTTCGGCATCACGCTACGTCATTTTCAACTCATACCGCGACTCGTTCATCCTTCAAACGGCACTACGTCTCACCCAGCTCGTGACACACTTCGCCATATTGGTTTGACATCGGTGGTGCGCCGACCGCGACCGAGCGCGCACGTCGATGACTCTCGGCAGCTCTCGGCATCTCTCGGCAGCTCTCGGCACTCGTCGTCAGGTGGCGCGAGTCGTCCACGGAATAGAGTTCGAAAACTGTCGTCTAAAACGTATTTTAACACATATGTAAACGCAGAAATATTTTGATGGAAGAATAAATTAATTTGACGTTTGTGTTCCACATTCTTTCGATATAACCCTGTTTAACATCAAATTTCTAATTGAATTTATTATTTTCTATGTAGAAATAGAATGGCGTAACATTGCGCTTGTGTAGAAAACTAGAGACATAACATACGCATATATTAATCCGATTTGCTGGATTCGGACCTGAAATATCCTGGATTTAGGAGTATAATGGCAGCCACTAAAATATATAGTAAACTAGAACACTCCCCTGTAAAGAATACACGGCTCGATTGTTCCAGAGAGAGCTAGATTTGGATGTCTCTGCATCCTTGTCGCACATAGTTCGATACGCATTTGTATGAGAAAGATGAAGTGATGGTGGCTCTTCGTCGCAGTTCCATTTCCAGATTAACCAATGCGTCCACACCGTTTGTACCGTCAGAAAAGAAAATTTAGTATCATTCACAATTAGCATAGTGCAGTGGTAGGACCAAAATTAATTTGTAATTGGACTGTACAAAAGCGGGACACGCTGGCGAGCGTTACAGTTTACGATATTATTTCAGGGTTGACAGCTCGAAAAGCGAGACCAACATGAACCATGGTGCAGGCCGAGTCATGGACAAAAAAGGAGGGAAATTCAAGTACAATTATTTCGATTGAGATAACGTAATCCATGGGGCCGTTTTGTTAAGTCAAAAATATAGTAAAAGATAAATTACATTTGCAATAACGTTACTTCTAGGCATTTCCCCTCGAGTTTAGAGTGTGAAGATGTCTTAAAATTTATAACGAAAATAATTTTATCGAGTAGCTGCGGAATCTTTCTTCCAAATGCTATAGCACGTATACCTACTTCTTGATATACTGTAAAATCCATTTCCGAGCTTCGTGTTACATGGAGAGTGAAAGTCACTTGTTTATAAATAAAATATCACTTAATCTGATATGATCAGTTAATCCTTTACCTTAAAATGGGGTGTTTGCGCCTTTCTCTATATTTTTCCTCAGATATTTTGTACTACGACAGCTTTAATCAAACAGTGTTAGCACTATACGTTAGCGTAACAGTTGCATTTACATTATGTTATTAAAGTTGCAAATGGTTATTAATTGTCATCTCTCAAGTGCAGTTGATTTCATAAACATTGTAACCTAACTTGTTAACTAGGAATGATAAATTGACGTGTAAACAAAAAAAAGTATTTGCACTACCCAATGTCCTGGTCCATTAGTAAAGTTAAATGTCTCTTTCTTAATTGATGAAACTGTAATACAAAACTACATTGTCGTTACGACTATTAGGCTATACTTTCAAAACAAAAAGCCTGAATATTTATTACGATACATAACATTGTTGTTAAATACATATGTAACTAAATTTATTTATAATATACAAATCCCGATGGAACGTAAACTATGACTTAGATGTAGCTTTGGTATCTCCTATGGGTTTACCTTCTTTAAGCAACTCTTGTTCATATTTAACTAGCGCTTCTTGATGCATCGGGCGAATATGCGTTATGTACTGATACCCTTGATATATAAGAAATACCGTTCCTACAGCTGTAAATGCTACACATACCGATACCACACTTTTATGCAAGGAATCAAAAATTAAGTTTTTCCTTGACCTTCTCATTTTGTACGTATTCTGAAATGATTGTTTTAAAGTGAAATTAACTTGCTTTCCTCGTGCACTATGTAACATAACACAAAAAATGTTCTTACGTCCAAAATAGAAGACACGTAGTAATGCGAGGTTACCGTTGAAATATCTGGAAAAGGAAAGAAATATGATTACTTAGTTGTCAAATTATGACATACAATGTCAGAAAAAACAGCTGGACGTTAATTAGACAATAACATTGTTCTCATTAAGATTTTATTTCAATATTGAGTTTTAAATTAATGATTTTAAATGAATGTTGGTCTCACATGCAACGAGTGGTTTTCATATAAAATGAACCAACGTAGTTGAAACGATACGTCACTAAAAGAAACCTACGTTTATCTTTAACATAATATTAACGTACATCAAAATTATCTAAAAATGTTAACGTTCTCCGGATACGATGAGCTTAACAAATTATTTATTTTCACGTAAGTTTACGCCTCGTGAGTGCATCACAGATTGCCCATGCCCCTTTAATCACGTCTCCATCGTACTTTTAAATCCGGGATTTATCAGGTCTGAATCATGGACGTAAGAATGACTACGTCTCCATCGCCCTCCTAAATCCGGGATTTATTGGGTCCGGATTCAGTAAATCGCACATCTCCATTGCATTAATAATTACGCAGATTCGATCCTGAGCATCGCGCTCGACCTTTAAATTTGGATTTACTGGATTTGAGCTCGATAAATTGGCATCGAAATTACGTTAATTGGCAACACTGGGCCGGACCCCTTGCAAGGCCTCTTCCCGGCTGGCAACACAGCAATTCGGGCTGCCACCATATCCCGTGCACGCGGCGACCATGGACATAAGAATAGTTGGATGGAGCCCAAGCCACAGGGGTAATCAGAAATGAGTTGGGAGATTGTTCACGGGCAGGGTCGTGCAATCGCGTTCTGTGCTGCCCCCCGGTGGAGGATGTGGACGGCTGACGCACTTGCCACCTGATACCCCCCAATGGCGGCCCCATTCAGGGATTCTCCTCATCTCTGTGATAACAAACATCTTTTAACATCTCTTACTAACAAGTCGAGGAAGATTTGCGGCGATGAACTACCTACGATGACTTGAAAATGAAAATGGATCCTGTTGTGATCAACCTAAACCTGGAAAGGGGCATAAAAGAACAGGCAAAACAGAACATAAAAAAAGAATCCAGAAAGTCTGAGATTAGACAGGGAATAAATTACTAAAAATCAAGAATATTAATGGCAGATCGATTTCGTTAAATTAATTGAACCGGTATTTTTCATATCACTAAGTAGGAAAAAGTACATTTAAATGTAGAAATATAATTTAACTGAACGTTCGCCGTCTGTTCTCCGTCAATCCTGACAAAGTGACACAGAAAAAAATAGGGGGGACAACGTTGCCAAAAAATGGATGGCTGTCCGTTCGACAGAACGGAAGGCCATCGTAGTTGCTCTTTTGTTAAGGAGCCGCTTCGGCATATAGCCTCTTTGACTCTTGCAGTCTCTTCGGGCAGAGCCCCTTACGTTTCGAATGCTTCGCAATCCCCTAAATTTTCGTAGTAAAAAAAATTCTGGCTAAAAAAAATTCCGGGTTTCTGACCTTGGTTCCATCTGCCTCCGCCTCGAAGTTAGCTCCGGATTAATTCCACCTCGCCATTCTCTAAATTGTTCACAACGTCTCGTCACGGCGGCTTATGCGGGGCAACTGCCGGTCCATCGGCCCAGGCCGCGACCGCTGGACGCGATCCAGCTCCCGGATTGGACAAGGCCGGGCCCAATGTTAGTTAGCTTTTAGATTTGCTCGCGGAGTGACTTTTTTTAATACGAAAATTTAGGGGTTTGCCAAGTGTTCGAAACGTAAGGGGCTCTGCCCGAAGACACTGCAAGAGTCAAAGAGACTATATGCCGAAGCGACCCCTTAAGAAAAGGGCAACTACGATGGCCTCCCGTTCTGTCGAACGGACAGCCATCCATTTTTTGAGCACGTTGTCCCTCCTATTTTTCTCTGTCACCTTGTCAGGATTAACGGAGAAGAGACTGCGAACATTCAGTTCGATTTCATTTTGTCGATTCTACATTTAAATGGATTTTTCCCTACTTAGTGATATGAAAAATACCAGTTCAATCAATTTAACGAGATCGATCTACCATTAATATTCTTGTCTTTTAGTAACTTATTCGCTGTCTATTCTCAGAGTTCCTGGATTTTTCTGAATGTTCCGTTTTACCTGTTCTCTTGTGCCCCTTTCCAGGTTTAGGTGAATCACAACAGGATCCATTTCTTTTTTCAAGTCATCATGGGTAGTTCATCGCCGCAAATCTTTCTAGACTTGTTGGTAAGATGTTAAAAGATGTTCGTTATCACAGAGATGAGTTGGGAGCAGATATGAGGAGAATCCCTGAATGGGGCCGGAGGATTTGCCTGCATAGCTGTACCGAACTCCTCAAACGGACTCGCCCACAAAATGTTATGAATGTAATTTTTTTTTTATCAATCTATACGATGCATATGTATACCAAATGAATATCCATGATGTAGATTAAACATCTTCGAAATCTCTAGACATCTACGATATACATATATATATATAATGTTTAATATGCGGTCATCTAGCCTTTCAGTATACCTAAAATAGTCTTCATAGATATCCGTGTATCGTACACGTGTTCAATAGAAATCGATATACGAGTATATTAGGTATACCAAACATTCAGTGGTGCCTGGGTACTATCATATAGTGAGTTAAATTGGAAATAATATAAATGTGAAAATGAACATATTCACATAATTACATTTCTAATTATAATCTGACAATTATTCCGCTTATAACTGCCCTAAATTGATTATTACATGCATTCAATTGAGTAGAAAAATACAGACTTTATCGATGAACATGGCATCATATATGTACATAAATCGTAGTTTTAGTATTAAATAGCGAGAACCGCGACAACATTTTGGGCAACCAAATACCACGTTACAAGTGCACCCTATCCCCGCTGGAGAAGGAACGGCAGTAAATCTAACGTTAACTCGCTCGCAGGCTGCAGCAACGGTGTTCGCGAGGACGACGGCGGTGGTGGTGGTAGTGGCGGCGGCGGCGCCGACGACGGCGACGGCGGAGGAAGAGACAGAGTCAGTGGTGGGTGGGGGCATCCGACTCGGAGGTAGGAGCAGTCAGGAACGGGGAAGCACGTAGGCCTCGACTCCGCGGAGGCCGGCTCGAGGACGGGCGGTCGTTTAGAAAAAACGAGGCGGTAGGTTTTCGGTGCGTCGGTCTATGTTGGCGTCGAGGCTGCGCTTGCGGGAGAGGGCCGTGGCGCGCCGCTGCGGGGTGGCGCCGACGCCGACGCCGCCGCCGCCGCCGCTGCCGCCGCCGCCACCGCCGACGCCGACGCCGACGCAGGAGTCGACTCCGTAGTCGGGGTGCTGGCATCTTCCCGATCGGGGCCGAGAGTACGACGCGCGAGTCCGTCTTGGCACACACCGGCGTCCCGCCAGAGAGTCTCTCGGAGAGTTCGTCGAGGCCGAGACCAGGACCGCAAGGCAGCCTAGTCGGATCGAGAGTGCGGAGCGTGACTTGCGTTAGATAGGATGCGTGTGCCTGGGTGCGGTGTGCCACCACCCAACCACGAGAAGAGGAAGAAGAAGGACCACCGACTGAGCGACGCTGAGATCGAGACTCGGCCGGAGCGCGACTCCTCTTGCCGCTGCATCTGCGACTGCGACTGCCAGGCCGGCTGTGGCGTCGACGCCGATAGCGTCAATCCGGACCCCAGCGAGAGCGGTTTCGAGAGCAATTGCGGTAGCGATCGAAGGTGGCAGCCGAGTCTTCGGGATTGGCCGACTCTCGAGCGTCCGGGCGCCGAAGTGGCGCGGCAAGAGCGCTTCCTCTCCTGGCGAACACCCTCAGTCGGTAGGAGCCTGTAGCCCGCCGGGACACCCACTCATGTTCATCCCGGATACCCTGAGGAGCTGCATGGTGGAACCGGATGTCTCGACTTACCTGCAGACCCCTTCCGTAGGACAGGTGCGCTCGAGGGTCCAAAACCGAAACTCGTCCACCTTCTTGCGCCACGCGCCGCATGGCTCGAGCTTTTGCTTCCGACGAGGAGTGCTTTTCGATTCTTTGCCACGATGAGTTTTCATTTGACGTTTGTCGTTCCCTTAGGAGGAATGCCTTTCGACCGTTCGCCTCTGACCTTTTTCTATGCGATCGAACATGAAAATCTTATTTTTCACACATGTGGTTTGTTATAGGGATTCGACTCCAAATTTCTTTCAAGGGGTGAAATCTTCCTTCAAAGTTTCGTTGAAAAATTCATATTTTTCCTGTTAAAAGCACTTGTGATTCGTCGATTTGAATTACACTTGCAAGGAATGGTCTTCAACTGTCTTGGATTTTTTTCCTTTTGAATGGGGATACCCCGATCGAAAAATTTACTTTCTATGCAAAATTAATTAGTTACGGGAATCTAAATGCTTTTTGTTAAAGAAATGTTTCGACTACGGTAAAATTGATTTTGTAAAAATTGTCACTGCTACAGCCCAAATGAGTTTCTCGATTGTTGGTAGTTTCGGTGTTAAAGAATGCCCGTGTTATGACCCAGGACGGCATTAAAAAAATTTGTTTAATGTGTACGTAACTAAGTAATTGGACTTTACATTGTATCTGTTCTTATTATCTGCGAACATTTAACGAACGGTTTTTTTTTTTTCTATTAATACAGTCCAGTGAGAGAAACAGTGATTAATATTAGTTCAATAATGGAATGATAAATGCCGATCAATTCAAGTTACTAATGCCCGGTTCCATCAACCTCGGTCAAAAAGCTAATCCTCGGTTACAATGAGTTGTACGTTCCACAACGTTTCAACGGCATGTTTTCTTCCATTTAGATTAACCAGCTAAATTAGATCGATTAACTACTGTTAATCGAACTTCAACCTACACACTGCAAAAACGCGAGGAAAACATGGATTAGATTGAGTATGCATTAACATGTTCTTAGGACGAAAGGATAAAGACGTTTTTGATTTGATTAACAATTTCTTAATGATCGAAATACGCTTGACAATATTTTATATTAATTCTTAACGAAAGAACTTTACATCGATTCTTCTTCATTTTTACTTCGATCGGAGTATCAGACAATCACGCGAACGCTTTCATCGACGATTCAACTTATTTTAAATTGTGTATACGATTAGTTAATCACGCTTTAAAAAAATATAGTGAAAGATTTACGTTTTTAACCTGTGATTAACTTAGTCGTAAACTTTAACCTACGGTTAGGTAATCAATGATTTAACCGAGGTTGGTGGAACCGGGCAGAAGTTATGTCAACGTTAACTCGAGTTTACAAGTAAACCAAGAGTACGGATTTATGAATTTTATCTTAACCTTGTAATTACGGTAATTTATCTATAGTAGTTCAAGTAAAGCTGTGCGAATTAGTTTCAAGATCTTTGCGCGTGTGTAGCAAGAAGGT